TTCCCCGACCGGCCGATTCATAGCCTGTGTCCGTGAATAAACTATCGATCATGCGTCTGACTCATGGGGTTATATATTCCCTGCTCAAGTTCAGGGCGGCGGCGTAAGACTCTTCAGCTCTTGGAGAGCTGTACTTGCCACAGTATTACGTCTTCTGGGAGCTGCGATGTGGTAAGCGGTTATGGGGAATGGGGTAATCTGCTTCAGAATGTCAGGCCATTCCGGTGAGTACATGTATCTGGGCCAAGTTAATTGTGCTTTTCGCCGCGGCCACTTGAGCTGCTAGTTAGTGTTTATTTCTGTTTCTATTTTGGCTATTTGTGTGCTCTTGGACGTGGCCTTATCTTGGCGGTGACGACGAGAATCGCGAGCACTCTGAATGGAAGCCATGAACTTGTTTCGTGCTTATCGGCAGACTCCACTTGAGCGGTTTCCAGGGTCTTCCTTCAGCGCCATGCCATGGCCCACTGTAGAGAATCCGCCTCCGAGTCCGGCTGGGATTTCTACGGAGTTCTTCTTCTCATCAATCAATTAGCGCTCTGCTAAGGCTTCCGCATCGCGGGAGGGGTTTGGGGATGGTGAATCAAGTCGATGGCGAACTGCGCCAGCCTCAGCCTCAGTTTCAGTTTCAGTTTATTTTTTCGTACATTTATTTTGGCCCGGTGGATTGGCTGCTGTGAGCCAAAAAAAAAAAACTTGTTTACGGTTCTAGCTCGCTTTTGGCTTCCGCTTGTTGTTGGCGCTCGCCTTAACCCCGGACAGAGGCGGAGCAGATAGACGGAAGTATCATAACTTGGCGAAGATCGATACTCTAACAGCGCCGCTCATTGTATTCGCTTCCGTTTATTGACCCCACCTGAACCTTGAGCAAAAGAAGAAGAATCTGATTCGGCATTAGCATAAACCCAGCAGAGCCGAGATCAAAAGAAAGTCGCTGTCGTCGGCGTGAGTCAGCGGTTTAAGCCCTCTGTGTAACTGGTCAAGCGCTGCCAAGCTGCCCAAGGTCCGAATTCTCCCAGCCCCGAGCTCCGAGCTCTCTAAGCCTCGGTCTCCAAGGCTGGTGCTGCGGTTCTGCAGCATTGAGCTGCTGCAGCCAAAGAAACCGCCAAGTCGGAATCAAATTCTGTCACGTGCCGCTGCCGCGATCCGAAAATAACTCGGCGGCATGCAAATCGAAACGAGAAATTAATTAATAACGGCACTCGGAGCAGCTTCAGCTTCAGAGATTAGCATGTGGGGTCGGGTCCGAAAATATCGTGAAGCACTTCCGTTTGACCCCAGATCGGAGGCGGAAGCCGAGGCGAGCCTAATCGATCTCGTAGTTCGCATAATTTCCGTTAGGGCCGCGAGGTGCTCCCCCAGTAACCGACTTCCTGGTTCCAGTTCCATTCTCGGACGCCGTCCGTCCGATTTGGCTGGGGTTCTGGGACCAAATCGGGGCCCGTTAATTCCGCATTATGCTGGACAATTACGGCCCATCTGCGATGCCGCGATAGATGGAACACAGCCAGCACAAACAGCTCATAAGCGATACCTCACGATTTTACGGGTGATGCGGGGAGCGGCCTGTGTTGGCGGCCAGCTCGGCGACGCGTCGGTTCATGGCTAGCAGCCACTGGTACAAAGTCCAAAAACTCGAAATTCCACACTCACACACACAGACTGGCGGAGCGGGAGCCGAGAGCTTGGACACATTACACGGAGCGCTAAATCATGCCAAAAGAGATTCATTCACGAACATTCTGCGGAGGTAAGTCCCCTTCGCTGTGCGATCCCCTGCTGCTCCGGGTTGCAGCCAGGCTTGCGACAACCTCTCAACCCAATCTCCGGCTGAAAGGGGAGTAAGCGCTAATTGAGCACCCTCAAAGTTAATTAGCTTGGCCCACTCCAAGCTTCACACACCTGTAAAAGGGGAGCACACACACGCACTCCCAGAAAGGTGGGCCAAGTTCAGAGAGCTGTTGTGACGTCGGCGGGAAGGCTTTCCAAAACAGCCAGCTCCAATGATACAGAGGCACTGGATGGTGAGCGATTGTACACAGAAAGAAACAGAGAAATTTAATTGTAGTTTAGGTTCATCTGTTTTAATTGTTCCCAAAGCAGCTTTAAGGTATTGTGTGTCTTTTAATACATATATTTTTTAGCCAACTTGTCCACTAAGTTGCAATAACCTAATTGAATTTATAAAAATATATAAAATACAAAAATAAATATAAATAAATGTATTACAAAGCAGTTTATTATTTATAAAATTCCCTTTTTCAGTGTAAAGAGAACGGGTTCTTGGAGCTCTGTGGAAGTTCGGGTTGTAGCAATGTGTAGCGGCTACCGTTGGGTGACCACAGGCAACTGTGACCTGTTTAGACGGAAGAAGCAGCCGAAGGGCAGAAGGGTGATCACCTATCATTCGGACGCTGAGCCGTCGTCAGAACCGGACAATCAGCTACGCAGCAGACTGAGCCAATTTTTGCACACTGCCGCATGACGGAGCTGTTTTCCTTTGTCAACTCCGGGCCTGGGCTTGCCCCGCTCCGAGGGAGGCGTCAATTGTTTTGGTATTGCGCACATTTCAGCTCGCGTTGCGAAACTCTGGAGTGGTGGTGGCTGACGCAACGCTGAGAACTGGCCAAGAGGAACGAACGAAACGAAACGAGATGCATTTGGCCCACAAGTTTCCCCCAAACAGAAGAGATCACTCATACGCCCGGTGTGCGCTGTGTGTGCGCGTGCTTACATGCTTACAAGAAGAGGCGGCAAAAGCTCACACATTGAAGCGAGTCATTGGACTAGTTTCATAACTGCCAAAACAACAACGTGCCTCCACAATCCCTCCCCCCTCCCCTCCTCGCACCTGCCCGCACCTGTTTTGCGCTGAGCGCAAGCGCAGCCGCAGTTCGGCTCGCCGCCGAGTCGGTTTCAGTTTCGGTTTCTACTTCGGACGCGGGCTCTCGGTCCGGGCTCAGGTGAATCTGAATGCCACACACCTGGGCATGACCTTCATGGCTAAAAACAGCGACTGCGCTGCCCGCTGCGACGATGCGGCGCCTGCCGAGACTGCGGCAGAGGACAGAGACGGTGGCGAGCCAACACTAAAGTAACATTTTATGACTAAAAAGCCAGCAAGCCGACGACAACAACAAGAATCTCGATAATAATAACAATAATCGACAAAGACGTTAAAAAGCAGCAACAACAAGTCAACAGACAACATGACGGCTAACAAAAACGACAACAACCCCTTTTGTGCCCCCGCTTCCTCTCCCACCTCTGCCAAAAGTTCCAAAGCTTTTAAGACGAGATCGAAAGCTAAACTGCAGCCTTAGATGGGCCCGGAATTGCTGTGCCTTCGGGGAACGGGATAGGGCCTTGGCCCCTACGCAGTGGGCAATACCCGAACAGGAAATACCTACCCAGGCCAAATAAAAGTTTAAAAAATCTGTAACTAACCCAAAAATGCATTAATTTCAATTTGGAAAGCTTTTCTGTGGTAGTTTTTAGAAGATTAATAAATCTGCATACTAAATTTAACATTGTAAGAAATCAAAAATTTTATCAATTTTTGAAAATTTTAATGATGTAACCCCTTATATTTTTTTAAAAAAATCGAAAAAATTTTTATTTCTTCCCCGATGGCTAGAAAGACGCGCCTGTTAATGCTGATCAAGAATATATATGATTTATAGGGTCGGAAATGACTTATTCACTGCGTTACTGGCTTCGGACTGAAGTTATAATGCCCTGAAAATAGTTTCATTTTTTTTTTTATGCTGTATTTTCCCACTGAAATATCTGAAATATCTTGTGTGGCACCTCCACTACACCCTTCTCCAGTCAATTTGGGACCGGCCCCTGCCAGTGGTCACCGCCTTGTGGAAGCCGAACCTGTTCTTGCCATATATAGGACGAGTGGCATCTCCGGTCCAGCGGTCGTGCCTCCTTTAGTGGGCCACCAGCAGCAACCATTTTGTGGACTCTGGCACTCTGCCCGTGCCATGCTTCGGACCCCACTTAATGCTGATTTTATGTTTTAAGCGTGGCCTGGCCAATTGGTATTCCGCCGGGCAGTTCCTCGCCTCGCTGCTTACCCGCTCCCGTGCCACCCATTTGCATAATTAGCAGCTGAGACGGAGACGTAGCAAGTCCATGATCTGTCTGCTAATTTTCCATTGTTGATGCTTTTCTGGGGATTTTTAGAACACTGCCTGTCTGACGTTTATTTTTACCCCCGGCCAGACGCAATATAACGAACGAGATGACAAGAAACGGGGATCAGCGGCGGCGGCGTCTCTGGAAATTCCACAATGACGGGGCCAGAAAAAACCCCATCAAGATCAGGCAGGCATTTCAAAATATTGGTCCTTTATTGACGTCTTAAGTACATGGGTTCGGTAATTCAATAATTATATATGCTGTGATAGGATAATGGGTTCACAACAACAACGAATATCACTCATACCACGCGTGGTACCGTCGTGGATCTGGCTGCAGTCTCATCCCAGGTTGCGGAGTGTGTGTAAAGTGTGGTAAGTCATCGTATCAAAAAGCTCGTTGGATTGTCTTAAGGTCGCGGCTGCCTCAAATCGGAAAACCAATTGAGTATTTGGAATCTAGGGCGCATAAATTACTGCCAGGCAGGCTGGAGGGGAACTACGCGTTAGCAGTGGATCGAGCCCGACTTCTTGATTCCACGGCGTGCGTCTTTCGCGACAGCGGTCACTGCTCGCTCGGTGCGCCCCGATGTCCGATGTTCAAGTGTCGCTTCGCGGGTGAAACTAATTAAGTAAATTTAACACGGCAGCACACCGGAGCACTCCACTACGCCGCCTCCTGCTCCCCTAATGGCAGGCACTAGTACGCAAACGCAAGTACGTAAGCGAAAATGAAAACTAATTGCAATTTCAATTTCAATGGAGAACACAAGTGGGCAAAGCTACAAAGGTATAACTGTTTGGCTATATACGTATATATGGCAACTAATATACTTACTACTCGGCCAATGGCTTGGTGTTTGGTCTTGGGGTTTTCATTAAGTTTATTATCACGTTACAGTATTGACTTAGATTATGTATGTATGTATGCTCTGTGTGGGTTCTATAGCGTCTATATGCATATTAATTGGACACAACACAATACATAACTCTATAAATCCAAATTACAACCAATTACAATCATTATAAGCCAACGCCAGCTTCAACCAATGTCTGGCATTGGGAACAGAATCAACCTTCATTTACTTAACTAAGGAAACAGAACAGTGGAACAATGTCTTTTCTTCTCCATTAAACTACGTACAAACAATTTGGCTAAACAATTTTCAGTTTGGATGGATAATATATGCTTTACTTAAAGGACTACACGGCCGAATGTTCGACGATAATGCTGATAATGGTTAAGTGTGAGAGGTTCTACCATAAGTTAAGTTAAGTTCTCTAAGTGTACGCGTAGATATGCATCGAAAAAGAGAGGAATTTCGACGTGGAACTAAGGAGTATTACGAGTTATTGACTAAGAGCAACGTATTCAAGCTAGGGCTGGTTAGTATGTTGAGATAGTTACGCCGGACAACCAGGGAGTCGGTGTTCTAAACACATTCTCCGCTTGGTACATCCGTTCTAAGTGAAAAAAGAAAAGTTATATTATATACGATATAGAAAAACAATAGAAAATTAATAATATGAATGAATCAAGCAACAAAAAGGTTAAAATAAACAAACATTACAAACAATTCACTACAAATTCTACAGATATTTGATAATAAGTAATAACTTTCTGCTACAGTCCATAGTTCCTGTTACTTGGCACTCGCCGAGTGTTTCCATCAATGTAAATAGTCGTCTTCTCTTATCAGCTAGAAAGTTATTGCGCTCAGTTGCCGTGTCTAGTCTGAGGGATTCGGTTGGACTTGGTTTAACTTAGTTATCATTACGGTCTAGATTATGCGTGATGGTTACGTGCGATGATGACGATCTTAGCCCTAGTAGTCAGTTCACTCAGTTCTATTCACCGTTCAGGCCACTCAGCTGATGGCTCTGGTGCTCCAAGCTCCGCTTCAGATCCACAATCGTGTTCAGTATGAGCTGCTGTTTGCTGCCGCCTCCCATTGCCACCTGTCGTCCCTTGGCCTCGTCCAGTGTCACGTCTTGCATGGAGCTTTTTGCCGACACAGAAGCGGAGAGCTTAAGCTGCGAGCGCTCGTGTGACTTGCTCCGCCCGTTTGCCTCTGCAATTTCTGTCGTTAGAAAGAGGGATCATTACCATCATCCATCTACTCACCCAACTCCAAGTCAAAGTTCTTCTTGATCCGCTCGAACGAGGAGCTACCCTTGTAGACCTTGCGCTTCAGTGGCTCGCTGTGCGGGCAATAGAAATTGTTGTTGATCAGGGACTCGGCCTGCAGCTGACTCTGGGCTTGGGTATCCAGCTTGACTTTCGGCTTCGGCTGATCCTGCAAGTAGTTGTGATTGCCCACATCTTCCACAGCCACGCAGCACTCCATCTCCGAGTCGCTGCCGTTGAAGCTGATCACTGTAGTCGTGGTGGTCGATGTCACCATCATGGTTCGCCGCTTGCCCTTGGGACTCTCCTGGAGACGCCTGCCATTCAGCTGCAACTGAGGCGAGAGCGGCGCCTTGGGGGCATTGCCGTTGTTCGCCTTGCGCGGCGGCAGCTCCGGTGGAGCGTTCTGGTTCATGAAGTTGGTCAGATGCGTCTTGCGAGGACTGCAGCGCCCCGGCTTGGGGCTGTTGGGTGGCGAGGCAGCAGCACCCGAGGTCTCAAACTTGAGCATCTCGATGCGCTTATTGATCGCGGCGGCCAGTTCATGCTCCAGCGGGGTGCTGTTGGGGGGCGGAGCCTGCTTCTTTGAGTCCACCTCACTGTGCTTAAGCATCTCGACGCGCTTGTTAGCCAAGGGGTTCAAGCGCCGTGGACTGGCAACGGGTGTGTCTCTGGGAATGCTAAAAAGGAAAGCCTAAGTTACGATGTTTTTCTCCAAGTTGAATATTCCTACCTTTGCAAGCTGTTCTTCATGGACTCCAGCAACGACTCGGCCTCCATGATGAGCTGCTTGTACTTCATGTCAGCCTCCAGGTCGGCTTTGAGCAGGGCCTTCTCGCTCTCTGCGATGGTGAGCGAGTTCTTTTCATTAACGCTACCAAAGATAAGCGAATTGGAGCGATTCGACAACGGCGAAGTCTTGTAGATCCTGCAAATAAACAAGGTTTTAATAGAAAACAATTTTGGATTAGGAAAAGGATCTACCTCTCCCTGGGACCCAGGAGATTGCGGCGCAAGCAGACGGGCGTGCCTCCCACGCTGCGAGTTCCACGAGGCTCACTCAGTGGCGAGAACGGTAGCTTCTCGCGGTTCTCGCAGCTCTTCTTGCGCGTCTTTAGGAACCGCTTGCGTCGCCGCTGCTGAGAGCCATCGACCGTCTCCTGGCCGCTCTTGCGCCTCGAACGCGTTGACGACTTCCGCTTCAGCATGGGGCTCATGGGCTGGTGGGGGTAATAGTGACAGCTTCCCAGATTACGTGCCAGATCCTGCCGATCCAGGACCACTTCTTGCATGGATGATGTGTCTATAAAGTCGATGTCCAACAGCTCGTCCGTGTCGCACTCATCGCCCGCATCCTGTCCAGTATCCAACTCCGAGGCACAGCAGTCAGTGGGATCCGAGTCACTGCTGCAAACGGAGGGGAAAATTGGGGGGAAAGTGGAAAGTGAGCAAGCCACTGAAGTTGGCCTCACTGCAACGCTCACCTGAGTATGTCAGTCTCCTTCTCGTAGATGTAGCTCTCGTCAAACTTCCCAATCATCTCGTTGAGGGTGGCCTCGTCGTCGCTGAGCACAAAGGAGGTGGTGGTGGCACCCGTCCCCCCGCCAGCTGCCACAGGAGCCGAAGTGGTTGTCGTCTCCACTTGCTCCAAGTGACGTCGCTTTATGGTGTGCGGGGCATGCAGATTTTCCACTTCAGTCGACGACGAAGAGCCCTCGGACTCGTAAGCGACTCCTGTTCCAGGTGCAACCACACCACCAGCACCAGCACCACAAACCCCACCGCCAGCAATGTCCACACCCACTCGGGGCGACTTGCTGGGAGTGCCCCTGCCGCTGGGGGTGGCTTTGTTTGCTGTTGTTTTGGCCGCCGCAGTCGGAACTTCCAGCTCATTGCTCGACTTAATGCCCGACGAGGTGGTGGAGGTGGTGCTGGTGGCATCCAGCTCCATGCGCGCGGGGCCCGACAGGGCTGGTAAGTGCTCTCCTGTGTTATACCAGGGATTGGTCCTTATGCGACAGCGCTGTCTCGGCGAGGGAGCTGCAATAAAGGGGAGAGGGCAAAGCGAAGTGGGGCGTTATTCCAGTCAAGTCGGGACTCGAAATGGGGTTAATTGCTCAGTTGGCGGCACCACTCCACGCCCACAACTCACACTCAAAGAGCTTCGGCTGCTGGCGAAGGGCCAGCGGACTGGGCGATGCCTCCAGGCCGAAGCTGCTCTTGGGCAACGGATCCATCGGCGACATCTCCTCGATGCGGTTCAGGCCGAACTTGTAGCGCTGCGCCTCGATGGCCAGCGAGTTGACGCTCTTGGGGAAGTAGTGGGTGCCGGAACGCATGTTGATGTAGTACTCTGGCGGGTTGTTGGTGCTGGCCGCGCACGGCGAGGTGCCGTCGGTGGAGTAGCCCGTGGAGTAGGCGCTCTCCGGCGAGGGCAGGCTGTGGGGCCGTGGTCCTGGCATGAAGTTGCTGCGCTGCACCCCCCGCGGAGTCCGCATCCGTGACCCTGCGGGCGGAGCAGGTGGTATGGGCGGCGTACTGGTCAAGTTGTCCAGAGATTCGCTGCCCAGCTGCGCTGGCGCCAGCTTTGAGGGCAAAAGACGGCCATAGCGCACATGGTTGCTGCTCTGCCTGACTGGCTCATCCTCGTAGATGAGTCGCATGGCGCCTAGGTTCTCGGATTGTGGCCGCTGATGATCCGCTATGGGAGGCGGAGGGCGGAGCAGCAGAGCGCCCACCTCTTCGTACTCCACCTCCTCCTCGGGTGGGATGTGATAATCCCCATTGGAAGGCTGCTCCCTAAAGGTGGCCTGCCTCCCAGAAGAGGGCTCCTTGGAGCCGGTAGACCAAGACAACGACGATATGGATGACGAGGAGCAGTTGACCCGGATGGGCGACTTGTCGGCGCCAAAGCTGTCCTTGCTGTTCGGCACGCTCAGGTGATGTGTTGGCTGCTGGGCCTGCAGGGGCTGCTGATAGCAGTTGGGGGCGTACAGCAAGTTGTCCGACTTGGGCGAAGTAATGGCGAACGAGTCGTCATCCGGGGATTGCCAGCCATAGCGACGATTCGGGGGCTGTGGAAGTGAGGGTATCAGAATTGAACGTTTTCATGGACGACTCCCGCTTACGTGAAACTGAATAGGCGACACTTCGCGCCTCCGCACCGGGCTGGCGATGCTGTGGCTGCCGCTGCTGGTCAGCACCGGACTGGTGAGATTGCTTCCTTGCGGGGGCAGGGTGCCCGCCTTCTTTCCGTTCCCATGGCCGGAACTGGAGCTGCCCGCCTCTGCGGCGGCTTGCTTATGCTTGCTGCCCTTCTTGCGGGGACGCACGATGTGCGTCTCCATCCAGGAGCGCAGCTTGGACCCGAACATCCTTCAGTTCCGTTAGTCTTAGTCGAAATGGACGGATTCTAGTTGCTGGCGTAACTGAAAGGAAGGATGGAGGGTAAAAGCTAACTGGCAAATGCAATTCGCTGCAACAATGGAGCAAAAACGGACTCCTGGGACCACTTTGCGCTGATAAGGAAATCCATTTAATCCGGCACAAAAGCAGGGTCACATTTTCTATAGTTTCCTCCTGTGTCTGTGTGAGCGAGAGTGGGGGATGTGTGTGTGTTGGCATTTTATGCGAAATTACCTTATTCGCAAATGCGGCCGACGTTGTCTGCCGCCTCATAATATCCTTCCTTTACGCCTCCTTTTATTGTGCGAGCGAGATGAAAGGCGGACCCAACGGTAAACCTATACGGCGCACACATACACGGATACGAACACGGACACACACCCACACGCAGGCACACTTCCTGGGCCTCTGTGTTTGTTTGTTTTTTGTTGACGGTTATTTTTTGCCGTTCAGTTCAGTTCCGTTCAGGCCGAGTTGGGGGTTGTTTGTAAGCCTGCCCAACGATGGATGCTAGCCTCAAGGACTCCACTCCCACCCCCAAAACGAACTCAAGCTGTGCGATGAAGTAACTGTGTTTGTGTGTGTGTGTGTGCGTGTGGGAGTGGGTCTTTGGCTGTGTGGGTTGTCTGTGTGCGTCTCATCCTCGGTTGTAAATCCCACGTAACTGTAAATTTTATGTCAAGCTATTTTCCCTTTTCGGCTGCAGACTCGAATGTTTTACGATGCTTTGGCACTTTGCGAATATTGTTATTGTTGATTGGCAATAGTCGAACTGCGATTCGATTCTTGTTTCATGCAAATTATTCGAAAATGTTTTCGGCGAAATTATAAAGAAAAAAGCAGAGGGGCTTTTCGAAGAAGAACGGCAAGTCCCGTTAGCTGCCGGTGCTCTTACGTAGAAATGCTACGTTTCACTTTTTATTCCTTTTGTTTTATATTTTTATGTATTGGTATGTGATGTATAAACTTTTCGGTGGTTGCGAGAAAAGCGTGCGGCAGAATTTCAACTAATGATGCGCGGACCGGCGCGAAAGGAAAGCGTCCGCCGCCGTCGAAAGAAAAAAAGCTAATGACGGAATGCGCAGCCAGGATGTGCACACGAGCCGTTACGAATTCGAAGCTGTCTGTCGCTGCAGGCAGTCCTTGTAAAATTATTCAGATAGAGGCAGTTTATATTTTCGCAACAAGTTTTCCACGTAAAAAAACCGTTAAATTTCCGAGTTCAGCCTAAAAGTAAACTATTTATTCGTAAATTTTGCCGAAGCCCGCGGCGTTGTGCAGCACTGCGCCAAAGCAGCAGCCGGAACGCCAGCTGACTGGTGGCGTTGTCCAACACTGCATAGTAAAATTTATCGTTGGGAAAACATGCGCTGCTATTACGAGGAGCTGGGACTCCAAAGAGACGCCAACGATGGCGACATCAAGACCGCCTACCGCAAGCTGGCCCTGCGCTGGCACCCGGACAAAAACCCAGACAGCTTGGCGGAGGCCAAGGAGCGATTCCAGCTTATCCAGCAGGCGTACGAGGTTCTGTCGGACCCGCAGGAGCGCTCTTGGTACGACAACCACCGTGAGCAGATTCTGCGCGGCAAGAACTCGGAGTACGCAGAGAACTGCCTGGATGTGTTCCAGTACTTCACCAGCAGCTGCTACAAGGGCTTCGGCGACGACGCGCAGGGATTCTACCGCGTCTACGGCGACGTCTTTGTCCAGATCGCCTCGGAGGACATCGAGTTCATGGACGGCGACGACCACCTTGGTCTGGCGCCCGAGTTCGGCAATGCGGATAGCAGCTACGAGGAGGTTGTGGGTCCCTTCTACGCCTTCTGGCAGGCCTACAGCACAAAGAAGACCTACGAGTGGCTCTGCCCGTACGACGTCCGCGAGATCAAGGAGCGCTTCATCCTGCGCAAGGTGGAGAAGGAGATGAAGAAGATCGTCCAGGCGGCCCGCAAGGAACGGAACGAGGAGGTGACCACGGTGCTCAAACTAAAAGTCTCTGTTTTCTGACCTTTTTTCCCACTTTCTCCGCAGGTGCGCAACCTAGTAAACTTTGTTCGCAAGCGGGATCGCCGAGTGCAGGCCTACAGACGCGTGCTGGAGGAGCGGGCCGAGGCCAATCGCGTAAAGCAGGAGGAGAAGCGCAGGGAGCAGCTGCGGAAGCGGCAGGCGGAACTCGCGGCCGCCAGGGAGAATCAGGTCTACAACGAGGGCTACGAGGAGCAGCTGAAACAGCTGGCCCAGCAGTATGGCAGTGACTCGGACGAGTACACGGATGACGAGGACGAAGAGAACGATGAAGGCGACGTGGACTCTGAAGACGAAAGCGATCCAGACGCCGATCCCTTGGAAGTGGAATACGTAGACGATCTCTACTGCGTGGCGTGCAACAAAACGTTCAAGAACGCCAAGGCGCGGGCCAATCACGAGGAGAGCAAGAAGCACCGGGAGAACGTGGAACGGATGCGTCAGGAGATGGAGGCCGAGGAGGAGGCCTTCAAGGGCGATGACTCCCACGAAGACAGTTTAAACGGAGTGGAAGAGGCTCTGGATGAATTAGAAATCGCCGATGATCACCTATCCGGCGACGAGGCGCTCAGCGAAGAGGAATCCACGCAGACCAAGCGCAGCAAAAAGAATAAAAAGTCCAAGAAAGCGGCTGCCAAGCAAGTGCCGGAGGAAGCCAGCGATGGTCCAGACGAGCCCATAGACCTGAAGGCCGCGACGAAGAGCGAATCCGAAGATGACGACTGGAGCAGCAAGAAGGCCTCCAAGAAGACAAAGAGCAAAAAGACAACTTCAACGAACAAGGTGAAGCCAGCAGAGCAAGCAGCTCCAGAACCAGCACCCAAGGAGGCCAGGGCGGCACCAGGCGGCGATGAGGATCTCGAGGCGACAACGCCGCAACACACCTGCGTCACCTGCCGGCTCGTCTTCGACTCGAAGAACAAGCTGTTTGCGCACCTGAAGAAGACCAACCACGGCGTCTACATACCCAAGGCCAAGCCAGATGTCGAGGGCAAGCCGCCCGGCAAGGCCAAGGGCAGGCGCAACAAGTAACCCTGGAGGGAAAGCCTCGTATCCTTACAATAGAAAAGTTAGACGTTTATTTATGCTAATGTTAAAGATAATTCGAGAATGAAGTTAAGTATGCTCGCTCTAAGCCAGAGATTGTGCTCCTTATTTGCGGAGGCAGCTACGGAATGCAGACCAGCTTGCTGCCGGACTCCACGCTCCGGCGGACACGGGAACGCATGTTGGAAGACTCCGCTTTCAGGCTCAGGCCGGCGGCCGCAAAGGTGAGTACCACGCCGATAACTGCGCAGTAAAAGGAGATTCCTGCAACGGGATTCAGGTTTAAGTTAGGTCAGCGGGGAATTTAATAGAATTACCTATGCTGCAATCGGCGGGATAAAACGGTTCCGCCTCCGGGCCGCACAGGCGTTGGACCCGAGTCGCTCGCCAGCCCAGCGGGTGCAGGAAGAGGGCCAGCATCACGCTTATTCCTAGAAAACGGGCATTACGTCATTGTGTTGAAGCTGGTGGGCACCGGAGCACTTGGTTTCTCACCTGACACCACCTGGGCGCAGGCGGTCATATTGTGGATGCTCTTGCCGAAGGCCGACTGGCGACAACAGGTGAGCAGGGTCAGCAGCACCGTCAGCGACAGAAGGGTAAAGCCCAGCGAGACGAAGAACATGGCAGCCTTCCATTCGCCGGGATAGACGCTGCTGTCCGTGGCCAGTCCGTCTAGGTCGAAGCGACCGCAGTGAAAGCCCCCCTCCTGCATCACCTTGCAGCGTGTGTAGATGCCCACCGATGATTGGCGCCGAGGATTTGCGGCTTGGGCGGGGCCCAGCAGCCACTTGGGCGTGACCAGGGCCACGGCGAAAAGCATGTCGGCCACCAAACTGCAGAGGAACCACACCAGGCTGGCGCTGGTGATAATAACGTAGCACATGTTGGCAGATTCTCCGAGATTCCGATTTTAGCAAGTTCACAGATCGCCAGCGACGTCAGCACTGGCCGGATAGATAATAGACTCTAAGCGTTTGGCTCTCGCTCGGTCTGAGCACGCACATCCCACACCCACCCACAGCTATGGCACCACAACCGCGTCACCCACCACCGCCGCCACGCCAGTCGCCACCACCAGCAGCGCCGGGGCTAGAACTTCCTCCCAGCTGACCAGCCCAAAATGGAATTGTTTATTTTATGCTTTCGCCGTTCGCTGTTATGCGCTCGCCTTTTGCGTCTGTTGTCTGTTTTATGTTATTCACCCCGCACACACACGCTCACTGCTGGAGGAGGGGGTGGGGCTGAAGATGGGCTATGGTGGGGGGTGGGCAGTCCAGCGGTCGCGTCAAGTACTCAATTTGTAGTTGCAATCGAAGCGGAGAAAGAAAGAATGAAAGAGCACATGAAAGAACTTTGCTGCCTCGATGGCGTTTTCGCTAATCCCCCCCAGCGGCGGTGGCTATTTGGCAAACTCTGTGCCACACTCTTCTGGACTTCCGTTCGCGCAGGCGTCGCCTATTCCGTTGCCGTTGCTGCTGCTCCACTGCGTCATCGCTCGCCGACACCAACCGACTGAATGAATGGGGCGCATTAAAGCCAGCTGCAGTCCCCCGGTTCCCAGACAGAGACGAAAACGGCGACGGAGCCAGGCCCCAATTGCAGCACTGCGAGAAATGCTTTGTGATGATAGAGCATTGATCCCTCGTTCTCAAGGTATGTAAGTGGAGTGCACTGATTATAGATAACAATATTTAATGGGGACTTTTATGTATTGTCTGATTTGTAAAGACAAAGAACTCTTACTAATATTAATTAATGATTAAAAATACCATAAATTGACCGAACTACAAAGTAAGTCTTACTTCAATTAAGGCAACACGCAGCGGTGGGGCAGCTGGAAATTTATATTAACCAATTAGGTGCATGTGTTTTTTGAGAAAATAAGTTAAAAAGTTTTTTAAAAGAATCAAAATCAATCATAAAATTCCCTTATTTTCTCCAAGTGCCGACATGCAGATGTGGGCGCCGTTGCCGCAACATCGAGAGCGCGGAAATCCAGACATTCCAGAATCGGGCCGCTAAAGTGCTCTCCCTGGTTATATTTCGCTCTCCGCGCACACACACATGATCGAGTTGGATCCGATTCGACAACTCCACCAGCGGCAGCCCCACTCCCCCACTCCCTGGCCGAGCGGGTGAGTGAGTAATGCGGCGTCGGCGTCTGCTCGACTCGATTCGATCGATGCAAATGGCTCTGCTGTAATTCCGATCGGGGCAATCTCCGGTCGAGCGGTTATCAGTTGACCGCGGCCACTGGGGGCCATTGCGTCATCTGGCTGGGCGCACTCTGTTTGCGTACAACGATCGTGACCGAGTCCGTAATGAGATCCGCACACAAATTGCGCCGCCTGAGGAAATCACTTTCACTCTCGTTTTCGTCGCCGGAACATAATCCGCCAGGTAGATCACTCTCAGTTGACCAAGATGTCGCGTCGGATCGCTTTCCTGCTGCTGCTCCTGGGAGGCACCCTGGTGCAGGCTCACTATTATTACGACTACGGCTACTGGGAGATCAACGAGCCACCACCGCTCTGCTCCGACTATGAGATGCTGGTGGTTAATACCCACCAGTGCGTGAGACGCTGCAACATTGTTTGCCGGAACGGCATCTGCTTTGAGGACGGACCCTGCCCGTGTGCCGACCAGTATATGGGGGCGAATCCGGACGGACTGGTCTGTGCCGCCGAGTGCTTGCCCGGTTGCCAGGCGGCCGGTGGCTACTGTGCCGCCCCGGATCTTTGCGTGTGCCGCAAGGACAGGCACTACTACTTCGATCCTCTGTTTCAAAAGTGCCGGCATAGGGCTGCCCGTCTTCTGGATCCCTGCCTGGGGTAAGTGAGCTATCTATGAGTGGAGTGGAGTAACAGGAAGATGTCCTTTGCAGGCGCTGTACTCATGGCACCTGCTCCACCGACGGCCAGTGCACCTGTGCCCAGGGCTACGAGTTGCGGGCCACCCTGCTCCACGGGCAACAGTGCATGCCCATCTGTGATCAGTGAGTTTTAAGTTCTGACAAACTGTAGCCTCTACTTATTCTCGCTCATCTCTTCCAGTGACTGTGGACCCCATGCCTACTGCTTCGCGCCCAACTTGTGTGCCTGCCGGCACAAGCACCTCCATTATGCTCGCAACGGCATCTGCTCCAGGGACTATTGACTCTGGGATCAAGTCAGCTGCAACAGCCGGGGGCTGTTTTAGGTTCCCGTTAACGTCTTCCAGCCGAAATTGCTGCATTTCCGCGGTTTGTAAATATATAGTTCTGATTTCTTATTTATTTAAATTAAATTAGTTATCTTTTAATTAAATAATTTGTCCCCAAACCGATATACCCCACCTTTGCTGGGTACTAGTTGAGAGAGAGAGCCCCAAGCTCCCCAAAAAAAGACTTCGAGAGCGGAAGACAAAGCTTGGCCAACAAGTTTTGTTGTTGCCGCTCCCTCCAAGCCAAATTACATAGCGATTTTGTTATTGTTTATAACAGATCAGACACATGGAACGGGCCTTCCTAAAAATTTGAATTAATTACATAAATACTATGTGTATATATCCGATAGCCAGGCAGATCGGCGGAGAATCAAGAGCGAAGCTAGGCAGAGGCATGCGTACGTGTTCTCCATAGGCGTCGCCATCGAAAGTGAAAATGTCAAGGGGAAGGGTAAAAAATTTAAAAATAATAAGAATAATATTTTTAAAATTTTATTTTATTGTTATTACTGTTATTATTATTGACCCAAGAGGGATGAATGTTTGTATACAAGAGCTGCTTCTATTTGCGATAAGAACTGAGTTTTAAAATCCCCATGTTTGCCTTTCCAAATTGGGGTGTTCCAGCACAGGGTGCTCCAAGTGCAGGGTATTCAGGTTCTTAGATAAAGCCACAGCAAGCAAGCCCAAGAAAGCAGCGCAGTTGACGTCGGCGGCGGCGTCATTTTTAGCTTTGCGCGTGTGGCGTGTTTTTATTTTGTTGTTGTTCCATTGGAGGCGGGCCTCTTGTTGTTGGCGACATCGCATAGTGGGAAATTAGTATCCAGTTTATTAAATACTAAAATAAATCTATATATATATATATTAAACAAATTAAATATTAAATTATTTAGGTTATTTGTTAGAGAAAAGAAAAGTAAGACTTAAAACCCGTTAACATATGGATATTTATTTTGATATAAAATGGAATGTAGTTTATTAAATACTAAATTAAATATTTATTAAAATTTTTTAAAATTTAAAAAATAAAATGTAATAAAATATAAAGTTCGGGCATATTTCTTTTCAATATTTTTTTAAGTTTTATAGTAAAAAAATATCTGTACCAAATAGTAGATATAAAATTTTATAAAAATATATATTCCTTAACATTATTAATCATTTAAAAATTTTAAAATTTCCACATTTATTTCCACTGTTCCCACCACCACCACCACCACCACCAGCAGAGGCATCAACAGCAGCAGCGACAGCGGCACTCGTGTTCCGATTGTTCTCCATCGCGTTTCAGTTGGAGTTTTGCTGTCCATCGGCGCGGTTCAATCTTTGGCTGGAAGCTCCTGCGCTCCTCGTCCCGATCCCCAAGAGCTCTTTCTCTTTTGCAACTGCAGCACTTTGCAATTTTAATTACCTGCAAGGCGGTTCGACCAGAAAACAAAAAAACAGGAAAAATATGGGACAAGTCAAGGTACGTGGACTCGGGGAAGAAGCATTCAATGTGTGTGTGTACACACCTCTTGTGTATACCGGTATATGTACGCATCCTTTTCGTCCTGCGGGGCGGCTTGCTTGGCAAGTGGGCAGCCCTCTACGTTGCGAAAGCGTGGGAAAATCCAAGTTGACAGTAGATTATAGCAAACAGGAAGTGCTCTCCAGGCTATAGATTTCTCCAAGAACTATTTTATTTCGTGTCATGACCATATACATATGTGTGCTTGCTCGGCGGGTTATGTAAGCAACTCGGCGAGATGCGGCTGCGGCGGTGGCGATGCAATGCTTCATAGTAATGACATTGATTGGAGGCCGCCTGGCGGGTTGCGTGTGCTCTCCACTTACAACATTGATTAGCCCGATTTAGCAATTATCCCTCCTGCCCCTAATCACGCGCATATATAGAGATATCTGGAGATATGTTAAGTACATACCCGACGGAGGCGTAGCTGCTGCGCAGTTTGCCAGGCACGCACACCAAAAAAAAGCCCCAAAAACAGAACATTTTATGAGTGTTAATGAGTGTTAAATGCACCAAACCGGTTAGGGCCATCCCGGCCAGCTCATCTGAGCGAGCAGCGCTTGCTTTTCGATTCTATTATTAAACACCCAACTAGAGGCACCGCTATAATCGCAGGGAGGCAGGAGGAGGAGGAGCAGACGGCGGCGACGCGTGTGCGTCCGTCTTATCAGGGAACTTGGCGGGGGGGCTTCGCCGGGCTTGGGCGAGTGGAAAATATTCTGATCTCCGATAAGCCAGCATTGATTGATATTAATAGGTGAGGTGGGAAACTCTTCCACCCGATACCAGATACCCAATTACCACCTGTTTATCGAGCGGATCATTAACCTAACCCCACTTCTCTGCTCTCTGCCACTCCATGGCCACACCCACTCTGCAGAAAGCCACCTCTGCGCTGAGCAAGCTCTTCGTTTACGGAGCCCTCAAGTACGGACAGCCAAGCAACTCGATCCTCGCCAGCACTGGCAACGGACATGCCAAGTTCTGGTGCAAGGCCACCACCACCCAGAAGCTTCCGCTGGTGATCGCCACCCGGTACAACATTCCCTTCCTGCTGAACAAGCCCGGCGTGGGGTATTACGTAACCGGCGAGATCTACGAGGTGGACGATCGCATGCTCAACTCCCTGGACAACCTGGAGGACTGCGAGGATATCTACACGCGCGAGAAGCAGGACATGAACATTGGCGTGGGCGAGGGGTATGTGCTGACGTCGGCTCCGACGTAGAAACCGATCTGACCATCTGTTTCTATATTTACACTCATTTCAGCACCGTTCCCTGCTGGGTTTACCTGCTGCAGAAGTACCCGGAGAAGCTGCTTAACCTGCCGTACCTGTCCAGCTACGAGAACTCTACCACGCATCCGTACATCATGCGCCACCGCCGCACCCACAAGCACCCGGCGCAGGACGACCTTAGCTACGAGGCCCAGAACTAAGCATCTGAGCTCCCTCGAGGGGAGTGGCCACTATTCTTATGTTACCGGTAGTTGCATTTCTAGACCGTACACGCCCAGGTGTACGGATCTTTATATACGCGCTTATATTGGCAATTGATATACACACTGATATCCGATGTACCATATGCATTATTTAGATTTTAGCGAACTTAGTTTGTAATTAAAAAGAATAAAAATAAACTGAAGCAATTCAAGGGAAAACCGTCTGGCTGTCACTTATATAAGCTACTTTAATCGAGGTACTTTTCCACTGGCCCCGCATCCGGCTCCCCACCCGATTTCTCGCGGTGTAGCCAACCAGTTGCGCTGCGAATGGCAGGAAGAAGAAGAAAGCGGGCGGGTTACGTCGACTGAGCAATCTCCGAGGCAGATCTGTGGCCCCGATAGACCGAGCAACCGATAAGCTTCGCGGCGAAGAGGAAGCGCCGCACGCGGCAGTGGCTCCATGAGAAGAATGGCGGCGAGGGTCTTTGTGTACGGCACGCTGAAGCGCGGCGAGCCCAACCACTATTGGCTGACGAAAAAGGAGAACGGGCAGTCCCGGTTCCTCGGCAAAGGCACCACAGAGGTGCGCTTTCCCCTGGTGGTGGGCACCCGGTACAACATTCCATTCCTGCTGGCCAGGCCCGGCCAGGGGAAGCACATACAAGGCGAGATCTACGAGGTGGACCAGGCCATGTTCGGCAAACTGGACGAGCTGGAGGATTACCCCAACTACTATGACCGCGAGGAACAGCCGATCCGGACCGAGCAGGATGAGTAGGTGGCACAGCAGGAGCTTGTAGTCTGGCTGAAGACTACACCCGCTTTCCCCGTTGCAGGACCGTCCAGTGCTGGCTGTACCTGATTCGCAACTTCCCGGAGAAGCTGCTGGCCAAGGAGCAGCTCGAGTCGTACCACAACACGCCGGAGCAGCCGTACAGCGAGAAGTTAGCACGCACTGTGCCGGCCCGAGACGATCTTTCCTACTGACTGACGCCACCCTTTCTTGCAGCTACTTGGACAGCCAGCCAGAGGACCTCAACACGGACGACGAGTGAGACAAGGACACGAGGAGGCGCTTATAAAAAAGTAACGTTTATAAACGGATTTCAACGCATGGCTATTATTCGTATTCTATTACATTGATTCCATACTTCAAAAAATGCAAAACGAAATGAACAATAGTAGTTTGTGGCTGTGGTGGCATAGGGTATAGTAGCAGTGGGGGGAGAAATATAGATGAATCAAGAAGCCTAGAAGGAGCGCATGAGCTGGCCCAGAACCCCTGGAACTGGATGACTTGAGCTCGGCAGCGGTTGACACTGTGACGGTTGACGACGGCTCCCGCGGCCAGCATCATCAGTAGCAGTAGCTGAAACCTAGCTGGCTTCATCATCGAGCGACTGGAATCGGTTGGCGGCCGCCACCGGGGCACTCGTGGCCTCCTGCACACGCTGAAAGCGGCCACCGTGGCGTACTTCTTCGAAGGCGGGTTCGTTTTTCTTCTTGCGCTGTTCCTCCGGGCGCGCTGCACTCAGCGTTGGGAAGAACTCGGTGTTGGTTATGTCCGGGGCGGCGCGTCGAGGACGCAGGCCACCGCCGACGGAGCCGCCGCCCAGTGCGCTCCCCAAGCCAGCTTGCTGCTGCAAATACAAAAGAGAGTTACGGTAAGTTAATGGTTCGGATCGGGCAGCTGCCATCTCTACTCACGCTGTAACGTAACGCGGGTGAAACGTAGGCCTTGGACGATGGCTTTTCCACCTCCACCGGCACCGGGATCTGCATTACTTCCTCGGCGGGAATCACCTTCTTCCAGGGTCCGTGGCCGACGCGCTTCTCACCGGACTCGGCGTTGTCATAGCCGTTGCTGTCCTCCTCCTCCTCGTCGTAGCCGCCGCCATCGGGAGCGGTGGGGACACGGGCTGCCCGCGCTTCGGCGGATTCAGTGGCGGTTCTGCGATGAGGCGAGTTGCTTTAGAGAAGGCGAGTTTTGTGCAATGGTGCGATATTGATGGGTTAAACGGAAAGTGAAATGAAAGCCTCGAGCTCAGATTCGAGTGAAATAATCGTGATTTTGATACACACGCAAACGGGGGCAGGGGCAGAAACTCACATGGTGCTCAGCTGGCCTATCTTCAGGCCGCTGTAGTCCTTGCGCTGCTCCTCCTCGAACTCTTTCCACTCCTCCTCCACGGGCTGTCAGGCGGATATAACAAGGGGGTTATGGTTATCCATTAGCTCTTACTTCATCATACCACAGAGAACACACTCACCGCAACGGACTCTGGCACCTTGGCGCTAGTCTCGTTTTCGCCTGCTGCTGCTGCTGCCACGCCGCCAGCGACCGCTTCCGGTTTTTTGGGCTTGACGACCTCGCGCTTGCTGCCATCCTCCAGGCTCTTCACCAGCTCATCGGCAGTCACAAACTTGGTCGCCTTCTTGCCCTTCTTCTTGTCCTTTTTCGCAAAGAAATCGTCCAGCTCGGCCATGTTGCAGTTTATTTTAGGCGAATAAAATTTGCGACTTTTTCGACGGGAAATTTGGCGGTGTGACCAGACCACTGCAGTGGTGACACACTCTAAGCTATCAATATATCGATTTTTGGTTATCGTTGAGCTACAAGTTGACGTCCGACTGGTTGTGAGCTCGACTGTCGATAAATCATATCCGGCGGTGGCGGTTAAATTCAAACAGGCACAATACTAACGGGCATTCAATTTTTTGCAACAATATTGGCAATATGCATAATTTAATGTGTGCAAAAATCACAGGAAAGACTAAGCACTGATTACCCATATTCGCGGCATTGGGCAACACGCGCCATTTGCATAGGAGATTGATAACCACCTAATTAAGTCGAACAAAGTGGAAATCAGCAACAACCGCCGTGGTGGCTGCGAATGCAAAGCTGGGCCATTGGCTATTGTGTAATGGACACCGCCGACTTCATCCGATCCGATCCGTGGCCAAAGCTAATTTTGCATCCCTAATGCATATTCATGCCCAATATATCTAGAGCCCTGACGTCTCCTCCGCCAGAGCAAAAACCAATAGCCAAAGAGAGTTAAACTGTGGCCAAATATGTTTGTCTGGGTTTGTCTATAGGGAGGGACTCTCCTCCCCACCCAAGTGCTTGGCCAGGGGACAACTAAGTACGAGTTCCGCCCAGATTAGCCAAGCTAATAGATATTTATGTCTGTGCCAACAACACCAACCTGGTCAATGTTTTTGCTTCGTTTCGGCTGCGTTTTAGCTTTAGTTTTGGGTTTGCCACATCCCGGAGCCACGGAGCCACAGAGCGCTCCAAACCCGAAACCGAAACCCATTCATATTGACAAGCAGCAGGCTGGCCGCGATCAGTCTTCTTTCGAGCGTCGCAGCGTGCACATCGAGCCGTTCCTCCTCCACAACCGCCGCTCAACACGTTCAGATACCGATTCAGATTCCGACTCCGATCCAATCCAGTTCGACTTAGTCTCGCATCGTTAAGCGTGCGCGAGTGACGTGTTTGATTTAAAAATATTGCAAGCGTTTTAATTGAGGAGCATCCGAAGCACCCGAGGTAATTGAAACACTTGACTGGTGGTCTCCATCCAACCACACTGACTTCATCTGGCCAAAGATCAACTGCCCAACTCCTTGACGGTTTCTCATTGTTTTTTCGGGGCAATTTGGTTGCAACTCGAGGCGTTTAGCTGCCCAGCGAAGCGTTTAATTGCGACGAATGCCTCTCTAGATGCCAATCTGACCACAATTAAGTGGATAACCCACTGCTGAGATCGCCCGTCTGTGTCTGTGTCAGGGTCGTGTCGTGAACTGCCGCCGTCTGATATTTGGATACTTCCAAGTTCCGTGAGCCCTTTTTAGTCTCAGTTTTCGTTTCAGTTTCTTCTTCTGCTAATTTTATGTGTATCTCGACTTCCATCTCATTTTTGTATCAATAGATATTTACATATTGAGGGGGGTTTTTTGTATATATATTTTTTTGTGAGACTGAAACTGAGGCTAAGGCTGTCCACCTAAGGCCAAATGGGCAATGGAATGGAAGAATTGCCAAACATTTAAAATTTGTTCGATTTCATGGTTTAATGTCTCAGCCACAAGTGGCTTCTTAATGATCCTCCACGCTCACACGGGCTCAGCTTCAGCTTCAGCTTGAGCTCTTCCTCTGCTTACATCAGCACTCTGCAACCTTTGGAAAGGGGTCACCCAGCAAGTCAATCAGTCAATCAGTCAGTCTTATTAACTGCAGACAGATTGGGGCCTGCACTTTGCATTGGAAAATTTTAATGGCCCCCCATCATCGTCAACATCGTTAGCTTAGATATTAGCCTAGACGAAGTTCTGAGGTTGCAGCCGACTTTGCAAAAGCGCTACGTACGTTCATCGAGGTTGCCGTCTGTAAACAAGAGGAACACACCATCAATAAACACAGTTACACTGCTGGCTAATTAAAGATTCGAAAATGTGACTTTACTTAGGCACGAAAGCCATACCGGTTTGGTCTCTAATAAAAATATGACAAAACGGAGGAGGGGCAGCAACAAAAATAGCTTTAATTTATCAACAGATTTTGCAAAACGTTTTGAATAGGGTCAGTTTTTTTTTTTCTTTTTGAGGCCCGAAGGCAGAGATCTTAAGGGGCCTTAAAAAATTAAATTTAAAAAGAAATATAAATGCACTTCAATGAAGTACGTCAATCACAGGGGCAGTTTTAGTGATATATTAAGGTTAAATTTAAAACTTTTTTGATCTGTTAGAGAGAGAGAGAGAGAGAGTTATGGCTGCATTTTTATCACGTTTACTTAGGATAAGTATATTTCGTATATTAAAAAGGAAGCTTACTTAAGAAATATATTTTTTATAGCTTTGCAATTTTTTCATTCTCTTTTATTTGCATAAGCTGTCTCTCTTTATGAGTTTTAATATTAATATAATTTAAGCCAGTACTATTAACAGAATTCCCCTTAGTTATTTTTAGATTTCTTATCAAATGTTTATAGTAACTGCTTTCTCCTTGGCGTCGCTTATATGGATCAAGTTCGTTGCCTAAGTCTTTCGTTTGCAGTCAACCAAATGAAGCTTCGTTGTTTTAGGCTCAGCTTCGGTCTCAGTTTCAGTTTCAGCTTCAGTTGGAGCTCCAGCCCAAGCTAGGCTCTGTGTTTATGTGTGTTATGCTTATGACTTCGGGTTTGACAACTTGGCCAGGTCGGCGGCGGCGGCGGTGGCTCTCAAAACTCGAGGCTTGCATAAGTGCAAGCGATCTGAGGTTGTTTCTCGACTTGGCTCGGCGGCGGCTCTACTGCTCTTGCTGTGTTTTCACACATTCGGCGGTCGCGTTTTAATTGGCAATAAAGCCCCAAAAACTGACGGCAAAGTAACAAGCGCCAAGCGATGAAGGAGAACCGCCCCATCGAGCTGGCGAGCTCTTCTCCGGCCCAGATTACAGCAGGTGGTTGTAGTTCAAGGTGCAGGCGGAGCAGCTGCGTCATGCTCCCTTGCAATTTCCATTTTTGCCTGGTTCGCTGGAGAAGGTAAACACTCTCCGGCGGATTAAGATACAGACACAGTTGGCCAGGCCGCAGAATCAACAGGTAAACCAACACACTCGGTCTTGCGTGAAATGTCATGACATGGCCAAAGTGCAAGGCACAGTCCGAGATTGTTTCAAGCGAAGATCTGGTCATGCCGTAGATCTGGCCAAGTGTAACGCAGCTGCAATCGAAGCCAGGCCAAGCCGGGCCAGGCCAGGCCACGCCGCATGCAGATTGGGCAACCTTACTTGCCACAATCCCCGCTCCGAGTGGACGCGGGAGTGGGGACGATATAAAAAGCAGTCGAGGTAGCTACCCGACGTTGCATAAGGCGGAGCAAAGAAATGCGAATCCGCAGGCGCAATCGAAAATCCAAATACTCGATGGAAACCGAAAGTCCAAATGGAAACCCGTTTGCGGCAGGTTGCTTGTGACTCCGACTGTCTGAGTCTGGATGTGGCAAGAGGGGCACGCGTGGCCAGAATCGCGAGCCCCAGTTTGTGTAGCGGCGGGCCGCTTGCGCCACTTGCGGCTTGCCAATCGCCAGTGTTTTTTTCCTTTGACTGGTTTTCGCTTTCCCGGAATGCTTCTTGCGCCACTCCATTGCACTCCAGTCCAGTCCAGTCCACTAATTGAACCCCATTCCTGTCTCTTTTGCAGCAAGATGACGGTGGATCTATCGCCCGTACAGGAGTACTACAAGGACAAGACGATCTTCATCACTGGAGCGTCTGGGTTCATGGGCAAGGTGCTGCTGGAGAAGCTTCTCTACTCATGTCACTCGCTCAAGGAGGTGATCATCATTTGCCGCCCCAAGCGCGGCAAGACCCCGGAGACGCGCCTGGAGGAGATGTTCAAGCTGCCCATCTTCCAACGCATCAAGGACGAGCGCCCGCACATGCTCAAGAAGGTGACCATCTATCAGGGCGACGTGACCTTCGATTGTGAGTGTTTTCCAGATCTCCCTAAAAAACGAAGACTCTAGCTCTCCTCCCTTTTCCAGTGCTGGGTCTGAGCGGTGACAGCCTAAAGCACGTGACCGAGAACACCAACATCGTCTTTCATATGGCGGCCACTCTCAAGCTGGAGGGTAATCTGCGCGACGCCGTCGACATGAACCTGCTGGGCACTCGGCGCGCCCTCAATGTGGCCAAGCAAATGAAGCAACTGGAGGCTTTCATCCACCTGTCGACGGCATTTTGCAACTGCGACCAAGAGGTGATGTACGAGAAGGTGTACGATTTCCCGCACAAGCCCGAGGACCTCATGCGCCTGGCCGAGTGGATGGACGTGAAGACCCTTGATGCCATCACGCCCGATCTGCTGAAGCCGCACCCCAACACCTACACCTACTCGAAGCGGCTGGCGGAGCTGCTGGTGCGCGACCACTACGAGTCCATGCCGGTGATCATCGCCCGCCCCAGCATCGGTAAGTGACCTCTTGACTAAGGAGCTCCGGCTCCAGCTGCCTCTCGCCTCTCTGTGTGGTGCTTTCCGTGTGCTTTGGCTTTTGCAGCAATTCGATTTATTTGCGCCATTAATTCCCCATGTCCAATGCCTTTGGCTGGGGGCTTTGCTTGCTTGGCGCTGGCGATGGAAATTCCATCGGATTGGAGACTGCTATAGCCTCCGGGAGTGAGTTAGGTTCCCCTCTGCAAACTAATCATGCGCCTTCGCTTATCTCTCGGCTTAAGTCTGTGGCTTGTGTATTATTTATTTCTTTTTTGGCCACCTGGCCAGGCTTTTTTAGTGTCTCTGCGGGAATGCACGATCTGTCCGAACTCTTGGCAGTCAATTAAACTTTTCTATTACCAATTTTTGGCCAAACCTGAAAGGTCGTTATTTATACAGTTTTATGTAGGGGAAATAGAGGTGGGGAGACTGACTGACGTATGGACTGAAACCCGTTTGTCTGACTTGATGCAAATCTGAAGAAAATAACACTATTATATTAAGGCTTGGGGGTAATTTATAAGTGGGCGGGTTGGTGTTTCAGGAGCTCTTGTGATATATGGCCTAGGAAATATAGTCTCTAGTTGCAAATATATATTTTTTGCAGTTTCTTTTTGCATATTAACGTTTAATTCCTGTTTCAATAGAAAAATTTACCTATTTTACTTTGTTTTATATATAATATATAAATATAGTTACAATGTGGAATAGTTAGAGCCATTTATACCATAGAAAAAATAAATTCCATTAGGCCTTATTATATATTATTAAAATCTATTAGTTCAAAACCCCTTTAAGGGAAAAAACGGGACGTAAACAAATATTTCCTCGTTATCGCTCCCCTTAATGATAGGTTCGAGGAGGAGCACACACTTGCCTCTCTCGCTAGCTTCTGGGGGCGGGTTCAAGGCGGCGCTGACCCGCTTAGCTGGGCAAATAACCCCATAAACAGAGTCAATATCGAAGCGTTGCGTCTCCATTTGCTAACTGGCGAGCAAAGGTCCGCAGAGTTTGCGGATTTTTTCGATTTAGCAGCCAGGGGTGTGGTGCTTAGTTTTAAGTCGCTTCTTGCCGCCCTCCGCTAATTTGTCCCGTGTATTTGCGCTTTCCGTGTGTTTTTTATGCGACATCGTTGCCACTACCGTTCAATTGGCCGCGTGCTCCTCCAAGTGGGGTGCTCCCATGTGCTTACCCTGCTCGCACACACTGCCCACCGCACAGCTCAGTTCCAGCCACAGCTCCCACAACAGTGCAAACAACAACAGACCACAACATGAGCTTGTAAAAATAAAAACACAAAACAAAAAGAAAAAGTCGAATTACATGGCGAGCGGCCCAAGACATTGCTTAAACACACACTGCCCCGCCACTGGCGTCGTCATTGACCAAAAAGTTCAATGAGCATGCAATGAAAACAGAAGAAACAGCCCTCGCTTAGCCCCTGCCCTCGCTCACGCTGCGCCCTGTCACTACCAATGGCTTCGCCACGCCACGCATCCGCGCATCCACCTCCACCACGCTTCCGATCTCCCGGAAGAGAGTCTGAACTCCACCATTGTCCGACCAGTGTCGCCGTCGGCCTACGAGCCCGTTCCGGGTTGGGTGGACAACCTGAACGGACCCACCGGCCTGATGGTGGGCGCCGGCAAGGGCGTCATCCGCTCCATGCTGATCGACACGCGCTACCTGTCCGAGGTGATCCCAGTGGACTATGCTATCAACGGACTGTGCGTGATCCCGTACCAGTTCGCACAGCTTAGGGAGCGACCGGCGGAGGTACCGGTGTACAACATCACGTGCGCCGACCACCGAAAGATGCAGTGGGGCGAGGTGATCGAGATGAGCAAGGAGATCGGCTATCGCTACCCAATGGAGGCAGGCCTGTGGTATCCGGACGGGTGCATAACGACCAACAAGCTCCACCACAACATCAACGTTGCACTCTTCCACTGGCTGCCCGCCTACTTCATTGACTTCATCCTGCTGTTGCTCGGCCAGAAGCGATTGTAAGTGGCGGCAAAGGTGGCTCCTGGATGGAGATCCTGACCTGACCTCCTCTTCCGTTTCTTTCTCGCGCCTAGCATGGTCCGTGTCCAGAACCGCATCTCGGTGGGGCTCGAGGTGCTGCAGTTCTTCACGATGCGTGCTTGGTACTTCAAGTCGGAGGCCTACTCCTCGCTCTGGGACATGCTCAACGAGGCGGACAGGAAAAAGTACGTAACGTAGCGTAAAGTGAGAGAAGAAGGGCCTGAGATTACTAATTTTCCGCTCGAAGCTTCAATATGGACATGGATCCCGAGGAAACCGTCCCCATGTACATTGAGTCGTGCGTCCAGGGCGGTCGGCAGTACCTGATGAAGGAGTCGCCCGACAGCCTGCCGCGAGCCAGGCTCCAGCTGAAGCTGTAAGCGAGCCCAACCCCGAGAGTCCTTCATCTCTGAGCACCCCACTCCCGTTCCTTTCCATTTCTAGAATGTACATCTTGGACCGCACCTGCAAGACGCTTATCGTGGGCTCGCTGTGCTACTGGACCTATGGTCTGGTGGCCCGTCTCCTGGGCGTCTGAGAGGTGCTGACTGGAGGGAGGTTCAGGTGCAGACCGAGCCCAATTCCCATTCATATTGCGCGCATTTCCAATCAATCTCCGCTTAGGTTCGCTTTGGGGCACAACTCCGGGGATTCCGGATCTGGTTTTCATTTCTACTTTAAGTGAATATCTATGTTTCATGTGAAATAAACGAGAAATCGAGCTAAAAGAAACCCAAGGTGCGATGTGTCTGTGTACTGTAGTCTATGTGTCTGTGCTTAAAGTGTCCAAGTGTGTTGATTCAGTGCTGAGGACCATCCGCTCCAGAGACAACACGAACCACACAAACAGAAACACAACCCCTACACGAACACGATCCACCCCTACAGACCAATTAGAGTCGGAGACTTCCCTCACAAACTCTCCTGTCCCCTTTCCAAAATTATTCCTATTCGCACACTCATCCCACACACTCAAAACCACACACATTCTAACACACTTAACACGGCTTCGGTGACCATCATCCTGGGCTTCGTGGTATGTAGCGTTTATCAGAGGAGTTAGTCGCCTTTAATTAACTCCCGCCTTGCTCCACAGTCTCTCCAGCTGCTTACGAGCCGCTGCCCGGATGGGTGGACAACCTGAACGGACCCACCGGCCTCATGATCGGCTGCGGCAAGGGCGTCATCCGCTCCGTGTTGGTCAACCAAAAGAACAAGGCTGAAGTGATACCCGTGGACTATGCCATCAATGGACTGATCGTCATCCCCTACGAGTTCAACAAGCAGGCCAAGCGACCGGCCAACGTGCCCGTTTACAATATAACCAATGCCGATCACCGGAAGATGTGCATGGGAACAGTGGTGGAAATGAGCAAGCGAATCAACAAGCAGATCCCCTTCAACGCGGGTCTCTGGTACCCGGATCCCTGCGTGACCACCAACACCTTTTACCACAACTTCAATGTGGCCCTGTTCCACTGGCTGCCCGCTTACTTCCTCGACTTCCTGATGCTGCTTCTTGGCCAGAAGAGATTGTGAGTAGCCTTTGGTAGTCCTCTTAGCCTGAATGTGAAACTGAATGCTGTTTTTTTACCTGCAGCATGCTGAGGGTACAGGAGAAGATCTCCACGGGTCTGGGTGTCCTTCAGTTCTTCACGCTCAATGCCTGGTGCTTCCGCTCCGATAACTACGCCTCGCTGTGGAACAAGCTCAACGAGGAGGACAAGGCCATGTAAGTGTTTGGAATTCTTTGGGTTTGTTCCTGGGCTCATGTATCTTCCCTTTCAGCTTCAACATGAACATGGATGTTAAGGAGACCGAGGAGGAGTACATGATCGAGTGTGCGAAAGGAGCCCGCAAGTTCATACTCAAGGAGAAGGAGGAGGACATCCCCAAGGCCCGCCTGCACATGAAGATGTGAGTAGCTCAGAGGACTTTCCTTAGAAGCCAAATAATGGGAATTGCTTCTTGTTTTTTTCAGCCAATATGTCGTGGATGTCGTGTGCAAGACCCTCATCGTGGGATTCTTTTTCTACTACCTCCTGAAGTGGACGGGGGTGCTCGCTTTGTTCTGAGTCTAGAGCTCGCTTTGTTTGGTGGTCACAGGCATTTACTTAGTCATTTAGCTTAGTCTTAGTTACGCATATTCGAGGTTTCGATTCCAAATAAACATGATCCTAGGTTGTTGAGTATACACACACATATACATAGCCCACGGGCCACTTTGTTTCTCTTCGGCGTCGTTCTTGTACCTTATCGCGACTCGTTACAAGTGGGCCTAGCTTACGTCTTCTCTGTGTTCTCCGGCAGTAACGCCAGCGATTTTTGAACCCCTGCCTGGCTGGGTGGACAACATGAACGGGCCAACGGGCGTATTGATTGGCGCCGGCAAGGGAGTCATCCGATCCATGATCTGCAATGGCGAACTCAAGTCCGAGGTCATTCCGGTGGACATTGCCATCAACGGCCTGATTTTGCTGCCCTACCACAGCAGTCTCTCGGAAAAGAGGTAAATTTTGAAGATGCTTCTCCAGCCAATCAAATGATGAACCTTCGTCTTCGTCGCAGACCTCTGCAGATCCCGGTGTACAACCTGACCGTGGAGGATGAAAAGAAGCGCACTTGGAAGTGGATCATGGAAGTGGGCCGCGACCTGGGTCTGAAGTATCCCTTCGAAGTCGGACTCTGGTATCCCGACGGCAACATAACCACTAGCAAGTTTTACCACACCCTTTGCAGCATTTTGTTTATGTGGCTGCCGGCCTACCTCATCGACTTCCTGCTGCTGATCTTCGGACAGCGTCGCTTGTATGACTTCTATGAGATCGTGGGCCAGGAGCTGGGTTGATGATGCCTTCTTCTCTCCTCTCGTTCCAGCATGATCCGGGTGCAGACGAAGATAGCGGTGGGTCTGGAGGTGCTGCAGTTCTTCACGACTCGCAACTGGGATTTCAAGTCCACGCACTTTGAGCAGATATACAAGGAACTAGGCGCCGCCGATCGGAAGATGTGAGTTTTCACTTTGAGAATTAAAAGCTCAGTCTAACCAGAAACCTCCCTGAATAGTTTCCGGATCAACACGGACGACGTCGATGACTATGAGTACATGAAAGGTAGCATTCTGGGGGGACGCCAGTACGTAATGAAGGAACCGCTGACCTCCCTGCCCAAGTCCCGCATCCAGTTAAGATTGTAGGTGTTTTCAGTAATCATCTTGCCAAGATTTTGCTCACTTGTTTTGGTCTTTTTTTGCAGCATGTATGTCCTGGATCGCATCTGCAAGACCTGCATCCTCTCGGGTCTAGCCTATTGGGTCTGCCTCAAACTGGGGATAGTGGATCTTGTGCGGAACGGATTCTTGGCCAGCAAATGAGATCCCAATCAGTCTTATTCGTAAATCAGGGCAAATGTTTACAGGTGTTTTGTATACGAAATCATACATTGTACTCTAGCATACGTACTTATATATAAACACAATTCATGTTAATTTCCAAAATGTAATTTTTTCAAGCATTTTTACATAACAATAAATAAATCTCAGATAAACACAATATGCATTTGTGTTACCATAAATAATGTTTTGATTTCTTAAAGTAATAAATAGCATTTATACATATCTATTGAAAGTTTCTGGACTTATAAAAATATTTTTAAAACTAAGAAAAATGTTTTAAGATAAAGAAAATGTTGAAAGGTACGGGAAAATTAAGACCAATTTTCTAATTTTTTTATTTTTTCATATTCAGGGCGAGTTATATTTAATTTCTTTCTTAATAAGGGCGAATTGTACTCGTTTTGCTGGTCCATAAATTTAGAAAAAAATTCTCATGGCCCTAAAAATAAGTGAAAATTTCTTAATTTAAGAAAAATAGACATTTCTTTTAGAAAAGCATTTTTAGGGATATTTTAGTTAAACGATTCTATGGGGTTAGCTAAATTATAGAAGAAAAGTGTGGATTGCAGATACAGGTGAGAAATAATTTAAAAATATTTTTAACGATTTTCCCTAGGTATTAAGTTTTAAACTTCTCGACCAGTATTTAGTATTTAGTGGGGCCTTATTACATAAACTTTAACAGTTTCTCCTAAAAGTTGCCTAACATTGCGATATATCGATAGTCGCAAGCTCTGTTAAGCTTCGTGATATCGATTTTATTTGAAAAGCCCCAACAACGCGCCAAGCCCCAACATCGCTGACACCGATCGCGGACTCACTTGCAGTTTGAATATCCACGAAGAAGGTAATGATCGCGGAAAGTGCTTGTGTTTCGTGAAACAAAAAAACTCTACAAAAAAGTGTTTTCAAAAAAGGTGGTTTTAGAAAATCCCAGCAATATTTCCAAAAACCAAACGATGAATCACCGCCAAAATCATTATGCAAATCTCTTAGATGCTGTGACAAAACCAAGCTCAAGATGACTGGGGAAGAAATTAAAGCGTGTATTATTAGTAAATGTGAATGAATCATGTGTAATGCAGATATGTGTGGGATATAAGAGGAATGAGTAAACGTAAACCGCAGTTGCAAAGATCACCTCTCCTCCAACCCACTCTACAACAAAAACGGCGTCAGTGAAAACAAGTTTCTTAAAACATTTAACGTTCCGAGCCAAGGTTAAAAAACTGCAGAAAACGGCGCCCACGGCGAAAATATAAAAAAAACTCAATAAAAATGACGTCGCGAGCAGCTAATTAATCAATTTGGAAAGAATTGCATTTTGATAAATGATTAATTCCTAATTAATTCTTGGTCCGTGACATCATCCGAGTTTAAACCAAATGCTTTTCTAATGCCTGGTGGGCACTGATCACGACCTGGTGGGTTGATGCCCTAAAAGGCGGTGGCCAGTTCTCTGAAGTGCCTTGTCAAGAGTTTACTCTGGAAACCCGAGTGGCTTCAAAGTCAACAAAAAAATATGTTCTTGCTGACCAGGCAGGCTTGGGGCTGCGTCGTGGAAGAGCCGTAATTGAACCCATGTTTACTTAACTGGGTTGGGGACAATCCAAGCCCCGTCATTTGCATGGAACTAAGGCGTCCAGCGCTTCCGTTCTACTCTGGGTTCTCCTCCTCCTGCACATGTACTGAATTTGCATTTTTTATTGTCCATTACAATTAGATAATCCATCGATTAGGCCTGTTAGGGATCCCTCTCCCTCTTGGAATATACAATCGTCGTATATATGAACCTCTGGAGAATTGTTTCATTCGCTCGTCTACTTGGCTCCGCCCCTGAGGCCTTTGGTTATTCGTGTTTGCTACTCTTCGTACAGCACAGCGGCGTAGATTCAGAGGGGTCAGAGCTTATTAGTTATTTGATTAGGATTTAATGGTTGCTGTTCTCCTCATCGGGCAATCTGTTAACACTCTTTCCCCAATTCTCCATACCAATTAACTCTCCGAGAGAGAGAGCGTGTGTTGGAATTTAATTAAATTATTTGAAATTACTGAATCGTGCGGAGAGCTCTGTTTCTGGATCCACATCCCTCCCCCAGATCTTTTGTTGTGTTTCCATGACGTTGGCCAGACAATTGTTTATGAAGTGCACAGCGGGTCGGTCGGGAGAATATATAGAGCACATGAATAGGAGGGCTATCCACTTATTTAACAATTTCCATGTGTGTCTGTTGTAGTTTTTTTTTTTTTTTTGACGTATAAACATTGCTTTTTCTGTACAACAAAATTTAGCTGCCTGTTGCTTTTCGGTTTTTTTTTTGCGGATGCTTCACAAGCTCACTTCAGCATGAAGTCAGCCCATCCGCATCTGTATCTGTATCTGTATCTACATCTATATCCACACGCATCCATCTTAATTATGAAGTTTTTATGACAATTTCGGAGCTGCGAGGCGGTTCAAGTCTCGCTTTGGCTGATGAACTGGCCTGGTTCACGATCGCTGTTTTTGTGCCACTCCTAGACTCTATTTTAGTTTTTAAAATTTCTCGGTACGTGTTCCTCTTTTTTTTAGCAATAAATCCAAGTGTAAACAAACAGGCGAGCATTACTTTTCATTAAATGCAGTAAAAGCGCACTAAATAAAGTAAACAAAATGTTTAGTTTGCTAATAAACACAGACTTTATAGACTTTTTATGGAAAAGCTAATTAAATTATTTTCGCCATGGAACGGGGTCTCCCGAGTTCTAGATTCCAGCAACACGATGTTCGATTTATCGACACTCGTGAAGTATTAATGAGGGCGCAGTTCATGGTCCCCGATCCTCCTTCCAAATAGCAATCTGCGGATGTACTTACACATATCGCCCTTTTGGCTGACACATTTCCAGACTTTCACATATATCAACTCCTTCCCCCTTTCTTTTTCCTGTCTGCTTAAAGTTTTTTCTTATTTCTTTGTGCTTTTCTTTATTCTGTTTCTTGGGACTGATTATAGGATTGAGATTTAGCAGCGAGTGCAGAGTCCAAATCTGGAGCCAAGAATAAACCATAAGACTGTACACAGCAGGTTTTTGCTTTCTTATATTTGAAATATAATTTCATTCAGAAGCTAATAACGCAGTGATAGAGTCATTTCCGACCCTACAAATCATATATATTCTTGATCAGCATCAACAGGCGAAACTTTCTAGCCATCTCGGAAGGAAATCAAAAATTTTCAAAATTTTTACAAATTTGACAATTCTCAAAAATGACCAAAAATTTTGATTTCTTAAAAATTAAAATGCTGTATGCAGATTTGTTAACCTGAAGAAAACTAGCATAGAAACGCTTTCCGAATTGAATTTAATGAATTTTTGGCTTAGTTAATGAATTTTTAAATTTTGATTTTCCCAAAAAATTATGAAATACAGATTTGGATAAGTGTTTAAAATTGGAAATGACATTTAGTTTGTCGTAAATCTGTGTTAACTTTCACACTTTTCTTTGTGGGAATCTATTTAAAATGTATCGTTTTAACCTGGCTTTAACTACGCTTAACTTCGATCACTACAAAGACAGGCTTTTCAGCATTCTTTTTTTTTCTCTGCAGCTGAGAGTTGTGCAAAACTTCCGTTAAGTGCAATTATTTGTTGGCCTCCTTTTGTGCTTTTCCTGTTGCCAAAACCTGATCGACGGGGACAGGTTTTCTTTTAGTGCATTCCAGGTGTTAGTGACTCGTCCGGATGCTGGAGCGGAGAATTTGGCTTTTAGCTTTCCGGCAATTACTGAATATTACGCCATTCTTTCTGTCAACTGTCGTCCACAGCTTTTTTGGACTGGGCTGGTTAGACAATGAAGCTGTTTGTCCATAATTGCTTGTACAAATAAAAGTTCTAGTGGACAAATAGTATGACACAAAAAAAAAAAAACAAACACACTGGAGCCAATTACGGAAGGTGATTGTGCGATTCTGTTTATCTTATCAGGCTTTTTGGGGGACCACCCCTCGGGGCATCGTCTTACAATATCCAATTTGCTAAGCCAAATAACATCCATAAGCCCTCTCATCGTTTCCTGATTACCAATTCTTTGGCTATTGATACATAATCAGCGGTGGCTGATATTCAAATTAGCCAGGTCTGTCTCGAGTGTGATTAGCCGATTTCTCACACATTTCAAGCCTCAAAGCAGAGACTCGAGAACTGTGTGGATCCCACAGAAGAAGCCGCCTTGAAATTTAGCCCAAAAGCCGCCGATAAATCGTGCGATTTCAGCACCCCAGGGCTCCCCCTCCATCTCCTCCCCCCATCTTCGGAAGCCCCGAGTTCCAGAAGAGTTATCAAAGCGTAAAGCGCAACAAATTGATGGCTAATTGATACTGATGTGTCGATTATTTTATGATTATTCTTTACGATCGTTAGGTTTTGATGGCCCCCAAGACCAAAACCTGATTGCGGATTGTGGATCACTCCCCTACCCAAGACAGCGGTCAATACGTATGTATCCGTATGAGGCCAATCAAGTACTCCCCGACCTCGGTTGTCTTTTCTGGCATTGTTATAATTTAATAACTACATGGGGAGCAAATTAAGACCGAAGTTCGTACCACGAAAACCACTTACAGACGCTTTCTTTAATTGCCGCCTCCGAAGCGAAGATTATGCTTGTCCAGAAACCAGTAGGGCAGCTTTCGGCTCCATCTCCGGCCACAGCTGCTGGCTGCTGGCCGGGCTGGCCGGCTTGTGTGAAAATCATCGTAGCATGAAGCTTTGTCAAGTCCAGCTATTGTCTTAGCATTCCAAGGTTTTAGGCTGCCAAATAGCTGGTCAGGTCAGAAGTTGACTGAGCAATGCGGGCTCTTGCCCCATTAATTTGGTAACCATGGCTCATCCGCCCTCACTCACTCTTTGCAGAATACACAAATGGACTTGAACAACTGCGGCTTCGTCGATCCGCAGGCCCAGCTGAGCGACGCTCTGGCCAAGCGGGACATCGGAAGATTCAAGGCGGCCTTGGACAGCGGTGCCCAGGCCGATCTCCAGGATGAGCGACACACCAGCATCTACGAGAAGGCGCTCTCCACAAAAGGATGCCGGGAATTCATAGAGGCTTGCATTGCCCACGGTAGTCAAGTGAACTATGTGAGTAGTCCACATATCCTGTGTCCGCATTAGATTATCATTCTCTTCCTTTTATCCTCCTGCAGATCAACCAAATGCTAAACAAAGCTGCTATTAATTTTGCCGCCGACTCGAGAGATCCCGGCAACCTGGCCGCCCTACTCCAGAACCGTCCCGGCCTAAAGGTCCATGTTGACCGCAAGTATGGCCAGCTGGCGCCCCTCCACTCGCTGGCTAAGAATCTCAGCGAGGAAAACGCCGTGGATGTCCGGCAGTGCATGCAGCTCCTGCTGGACTACGGCGCCTCGCCAAATATTGTCGACCAGTCGGACTTTACGCCCCTGCATCACGTGCTGCGCAAGAACAAGGTGAAGGCGGGCAAGCTGGAGCTGGTGGAGCTGCTCCTCAGCCAGCCGATGGTGGACATTGATAGCTATCGCAATGGAGAGGTCCGCCAGCTCCTGCAGGCGCAATTTCCGCAGCTGCAACTCCCTCAGCAGCTGGAGAAGGGACCAGAGCTTGACTTACAGGCCCTGGAGCGCATTCTGCGGGACGGCGATGAGGCCCAGTTCGAACAGCAGTTTGCCGAGTATCACCAGAACCTCAAGGGCCTGGCAGATAACCAGCTCAATGCCCACCAAGAGGAGTATCTGCCCCTGCTGAAGGAAAGCATCCAGAGGGGCAAGCAGAAAGCCTTTGAAGCCATCCTCGCCACCGGCATCAACGTCAACTCAAAGCCCAGCAAGGCCAACAGTGCAAGTCTCGTCGAGATTGCCGCCATTTGTGGCAACTGGAGAGCACTTTCTCGTCTGCTGGAAGACCCGCAGCTACGGATCAGCTCCGACTCCAGGCTGCTGAACGCAGTGATCAGCCACTTGGAGGAGGCGCCGTACGACAACTTTAATTACCAGCAGTGCTTCGAGGTGCTTCTGGCCAGCGATCGCGTAGACATCAACGAGGCGGACCGCGCGGGTCTGGTGCCGCTCTTCTACGCGGTGAAGTATCGCAATACCCGGGCCATGCAGGAATTGCTGCAGCGTGGAGCTTACATAGGTGCCAAGAGCGCCCTGGGAGACCTGCCGATCGAAGATATGCCACCGGATCTGCTCGAGGAACACCTGGATTCTTGCATCACCACGAACGGAGAGAAACCCGGCGAACAGGGCTTCGAGATCATCTTCAACTACAAGAACCTGATCCGCCAGGAGAGGGACCCAGCCGCCGGCCAGGCGGGCAATCCGCGCGCTCTTTCCCATCGGCTTCACGACGAGATGATCCCCATCGCCTATATTGCCGAGGCCAAGGAGCTGCGCCACCTGCTCCAGCACCCGCTGATCTCGAGTTTCCTCTTCCTAAAGTGGCACCGCCTGTCCGTAATGTTCTACCTGAACTTCCTGCTTTACTCGCTCTTCACCGCCTCCATCATCACACACACTCTGCTGAAATTCCACGAAAGCGAGCACACGGCCCTCACCCATCTGTTTGGCGCCCTGTCCTGGCTGGGAATCGCCTATCTAATTGTCCGGGAGGTCATTCAGTGGCTGATGTCGCCGGTGCTATACTTCTGGTCCATCACCAATCTCATGGAACTTGTCCTGATCTGCCTGTCGATCCTCACCTGCATCGAGTCCAGCTATGATCAGGAGACCAAACGCGTCCTGGCCGTGTTCACCATCCTGCTGGTCTCCGTGGAGTTCTGCCTGCTGGTTGGCTCCCTGCCCGTGCTTTCCATATCGACGCACATGCTCATGCTGCGAGCCGTCTCGAGCAGCTTCGTCAAGAGCTTCGCCCTCTACTCGATCTTCGTCCTAACCTTCAGTCTGTGCTTCTACATCCTGTTCGGCAAGCCGGCAGTGGTGGATCAGATGAACAGCACCACTCCAGATCCCACCAAGGAGCCGGAGGCGGAGGCTGACGGGGACTTCAACACGTTCACCAAGCCTATCGAGGCCCTGATCAAGACGATCGTGATGCTGACGGGAGAGTTCGATGCGGGGGACATCAAGTTCACCAGCATCTACACCTACCTGATATTCCTGCTTTTCGTGTTCTTCATGACCATTGTCCTGTTCAACCTGCTCAACGGTCTGGCCGTGAGCGATACTCAGGTGAGATCTGGCTTAATTTCCCCCGGGGTTCCATAACTAATGAATTTCCCCCTCCAATCCTTACCAGGCCATCAAGGCACAGGCGGAGCTGAACGGCGCCATCTGTCGCACGAACATGCTGAGTCGCTACGAGCAGGTCCTCACTGGCCACGGAAGCGCCGGCTTCCTGGTGAGCAACCAGCCCTTCAGAAGCATCTACGAGAGGCTGATGAACATCTATCCGAACTACCTGAGCCTGCGCCAGATATCCGTGCTGCCCAACGACGGCAACAAGGTTCTTATTCCCATGCAGGATCCCTACGAGATGAAGACGCTGAACAGCAAGCTGCAGGGCAGCTTCCAGCAAGTGCCCACCTCCAGTGCCTCACAGCCGCAGAAGAAGCTGCTGGATCCGCCGCTCAAGCTGCTGCTACTGCCCTGCTGCTGCTCCATGCTCACGGGCAAGTGTTCCCAGATCGATGGACGCACGGTCAAGCTATCCCTCGCTCTTATTGACCAGAAGAACACGGCGGAGCAGCGGCGCAAGCGGGAGCAGGTCAACGACCGACGACTCCAGCTCATCGAGCACAAGCTGGAGAGTCTGCTGCAGCTGCTGCAGGAGCGCCACTGAGTGTCCACCGAGAATAAGTATTTATTCCGTGCTTGCATTTAACAGAGAGCCTGGATAGGAATAGAAGTTGCCTTTCCAGAAGAGGAGCCAACCCGAATTAGTCGGAAATTGTTTTTATTAACATACGAATAATGAAATTGAACAAAACCCTTAATAATTGTCAGTAAGTAAGTTAGTATATAATGGTTATATAGACAGTAAATATTGTATAAACGAATAATCTTTACTGTACGTTCTCTTGTACCCAAGTAAATATATATTTAATTTCAAATGTTAGATGTATTTCTTTATCTTTTTTCGATTTTCGCTTAGTTATTCCCTTTACTTTGGTTTTGTTTCGTTTTGTTTTTTGATTTGATATGATTCGGTTCAAAATGTGAGTGTGAGTGTGCGTTAGTCACACACCAATTATGGTTAATGGATTCTTAATCGTATCTCCCCGTGCGTCGTCGTTAATAAGTATCGATTTTATTTAAGTCAGAGCTGAGGAAACTGAGCCCGAAATAAAAAACTTCACGCACCTAAGACCGAGCGAGGCAATAGAAATCCAAGTGGAAAATTATGCAAATCAAGCGTTCATAATTTGTTTATAAAATTGTTCTGCCTAATTATGGCCTCAAACAGCAACGGAAATCGAAGGGAAAACAATGAAAAGAACCAGCTTGGAGCGTGTGTTTGGAGCGAGTGGAGTGCAGGCAATGAGTTAAGCTAGGCTAGTTACGAATTATTAATATTAAGCTTTAGTTCCACACAAATTTACTTGACTTGATTACGCATTAGCTACAGGACTAGGACTAGGACTATGACCTTAAAAGCGGCAAATCAAAATAATTGACTTAGTTCTCAGAGCATATTTTTTCAACAACTGCTACAACTTGTAATCTGTTTCTGTTTCCGGTTCCGCTTTCGGTTCTGAGTCTGTTTCTGTTTCTGATCCTTTGCTATTACTCGTATTATCGTATTTCTGGTATTTCTTCTGTTTGTCCAATGAAACGTTAACCCTGCTTATATACTTTAATCTCAACAATAAATACGCTTATATAAATAAAATCGTGTATTCTGTAAGGCATGCCTAATCAAAACCTAGCAATATTGCTAACTTTAGGTATATGTATCTGTATATCTCTGTGTCCCAGCCCCATTGTCCTTGAGATCCCGAGGGTCCCGAAAAGCCTTTAAATGCACAGGACTCGGTTCTGTACGCTCCTGTTTCGTTTACGATGCTTTCGCTTGGTTCGTTTCGCCATTTTGAGCTGACTTTCGGGAGCAAAGCGTCGGCATCTACGATTACGATTCGATAATATAATATCTAAAGAGCTAAAATTGTTGCTAATTACTGGCCTGCGGTGTCTGTTATTCTGTCTGTCTGTCTGCGCTGTTGATTTGAGTTGGTTTCTGGGATGTTCTCGGTAACGTCTATATAATTGAATATATGCCTCATTCGTTTTATTGTCGTTATACTCTATGACTAAATTAAACACATCCCGTAGAGCTGTCAAAACATCGATATATTTGAGTTTTATTACAGGCCACTGATCCTAACGCGATAGTATACTAATTTTTAAATTAATTTGTTATTTATTAAATAAAAGAGTTTAAAAGAAATGGGTTTCATTAACGATTTGATAGAAATTTTCTTTAAAAAAATGTTAATAAATAAAAAGTATTAATAAGAAATTTTATAAAAATGTTCCAGTCTTTGTATTTTGTGTTTTATTGTTTTCCTTATTTTTCTATGGCTTTTCTTTAAACATGTAATTTAAAATATATAAAAAAACAAAGAATAAATGACAAACAAGAAGATATTATCGCGATAGTTTAAAAACCAGTCCAATCTGAATCCGAATCCCGTAGTACCATCGATGGCTTGACAGCTTTAATCCCGTTTCTGCAGCATCATTGCATCGCTCCAACTAGTCTCGCATCGCTCTCTAATCTTTTATATATATCTTTCTTTTTTTTTGAAGATAACTAAAATTAAAGCTTTTCTTTGCATTTTTTTTTTTGTTTTCTTTTGGTTTTAGTATTTTTTTTTTAAGGTTTTCTTCTTTTTTAATGGCTGAGGATGAGAGATTCTATTGCTATTTCGTTATCTTCATTATCATAATCGTTAGTTCGTTTATGTACAATCGAATACGAGTACGTACCAATATTAAATATCACTTAATTGACGAGTGTTTTGGTTTCTGTCTGTTGTTGTTGTTGTTGTTGGTTTTTGTTAACAATTCTAATTTAAAATTATGTTTCATTTTTCTGTGTAAAAATTGCAGTTAAAATCACAATAAGTTGTTGTGTGTACGTTTTTGGTTTCATTTTGGTTTGCTTTGTTCTTGTTTTTGGAGAAAACGATTTAATTGGTACCATAGAGTTTACTATATCAATTTACTATATCAATCGCTGTCTGATTGTCTGTTGTTAAGTTATGAATGTGGAGTTGGAACTGGAGTAAGCACTTGATCCTTTATAGAGTAAAGAGTTCGATGTGTGTAAACTTAATGCGATCACAATGGAGACTTAAGAGAGAACAACACTTAAAAACGTTAACACAAACGAAAGGCGAGTTTCTTGGAAACGTGGCCCGACCTTAACCATTATCGTAGAGAGAGAGTCGTACAAAGAGTCGTTAAAGTGAAAATCATTTTGATTTCAATAAAATATATATAGAGTTCTCGTGGAAGCTTGTCGGTTGCTTTTTGTATAGGAGTTGCTTATCCTGCTTTTGATTAACTTTGGAATCGAACTAAACTAAACTAAACTGATCAAAAAAGATCTTCCTTCTCGCGGGTACTTGACTTAGGTAGGACTGCTGATTGATTTCGGGTTTCTCTGGATTGGTTTCTTGGTAACGATATCGATTCTAGTGCAGTGTTTAGTGGCTAGATCCCGATTGGGACTTTAGATTGATTCAAATATGTGTGTTAGTTAGTGAGTAGTGATCACTTGACCTTGTTTTTTTTTGGCTTAGTTTCTTACTGTTGAAGGATGTCGAAGAAGGAGAGCGAGCTTGGGGCGGGGGCGGAGACGGGGGCATAAGATATGTACAATAATAAATAGTCAAATCTACTAATAATACTTCGCTTTTTGTACTTCGAACAATCGGTAATGGATAATATTCGCTATCGGTAATCATCGATCATCATCGGCAATTGTCTGCGCTACGCAACGAAAATCCCTTTATAAATATTTCAATAAATTGTTTCTAACTAATGTCATATGTCCCCGCTATATATGTATATGCTATATGTCTCTATATGTATGTACGTAGTAATAGCTCTTTAGTTTAAAATACTTCCTTTGGCATATGTACAAAATGTATTTAGATACTATATCCACATATACCCTCCGTTGTAGAGCTGGCAGAAAATCCATTATATTTTTAAGGATTAAACTAATGAGATCAACTCACATATTGAGATCATTTTCGTATATAAAAAAACAAGACAAATCGATTCTTTGCCAGCTCTACTCCGTTCCGTATATGCAGGATAACTTATAATCAATAATCGCAAAAGAAACACTACGAGTAATGAGCCTAGACCTAACCGCGATAGTTGGTTAGTTTTACATTAAGTAATGCCAATCTCTCTCTAGGTATTGTATAGTTCAAAAACAACCTTCGAAAATGTGTACTGGGAGAGGGGAACTCCCTGTGTGTTCGTTCCCCTCCTCCCATTCGATCTCATCTACAGCTACATACGTCGGTCAATCGGTCAGTAAACTACCGATCATCATCATCTCTGATTGTGACAACATGGCGATGGCGACTCTTGACTTTTTGATTTGACTTCGCGAGTTCTACAACGGTTTTTAATGCACGTTCTTGTTAACATAGAGTTAATATTGATTTCTCCTTAGATCGATCTATATATGGTATGTATAAATTTGGATAGTTCCGTATCTGTATCTGTATCTGTAACCGTACTAATATGTATGTATATCGTATAAAGCGACTAGCATATATAATTATATAGGTAATCGTAATCGACTATGATAACAAAGGGGCGTGCCCCGCGCCTAAGCCTATTCCTAAGCCTAAGAAACTACGAGTCGCGACACTCGGCACAAATGCACACAGGAATCGGCATTGGATACGCACTCAGTTTGGAGCTTGTCAACTTGGACGCCTCGGAGCCGAAGGGCCAGCTCCTGATGCCGCCGACGACGATGAGGACGAGCTATTCCTGGCACTACTGCTGCTGCTGCTGCTTGTGCTGGAGCACTGCTGCTGCTCCCGATCCCGTTGCGGAGTGTTGACCGAAGGTCATCTCTGTCTGTCCGCTAGAGATGCCTCTTCCGTCTGCTGCTCCTCCTCCTCCTCCTCCTCGTCCAGTTGGCCGCCAGTGCACCTCTCCGGATTGTAGTCGTAGAACACCTGCGATGTGTCGCCCTGCACATTTACATCGATGGGCGCATCCACGTCCACAATGGCTGGTGCTGGTGCTGGTGCAAACTCGGCGCTAAAGTCGCCGCGCGGCGGATCCTTGGGGCTGTCCACCATTATCTGTACCGTGGGCACCGGACACGTGTCCATGCTGCCCTCCACGGAGCCCGTGCTGATGCGTATCTGGGGCGGCGGCTGCTTGCCCTTTCCATTACCGTTGCCACTTGCCGAGGACGGCGAGGACGGGCTGCTCTCATCCTCCTCCTTGTACTCCTCGCTCTCGCGATGCACCAGCACGTGGACCAGCGTGGCGTTGTCCGGCCGCAGGCCCAGCGAGTGCGAGTGCGGATGCGTCTGTTGGTCCGGCGAGGGCTTCGTGACGATCACCTCGGGGGCTGGGGCCTCGGCTGGAAGGGAAAGGGGGGAGTCTTACTTTACGGCACAAGGGGAGAATCTCACGGACATTTAACACATACAGACAAAAGCGTTCTTGTTAACTCTTAAAGCGCTTTGTGCTGACAAACCTCTTTCTAGGGGCGGTTTCTTGCGTATGAAACTAGAGGCGCGCTTACGTGAGGGAGCCGCAGACGCAGCTGGAGCCGAAGCCGGAGCCGAGCCACTGTCGGAGGTGGCTGCCGCACCAGAGGCTGGGGCGGTGGCGGTGCCAGAGGTGGAGGCGGAGGTTGAGGTGGTGTTGGTCGTGTTGTTGTTGTTGTTCATAGCGGCTGTCGTGGGTGAAAGGCACGCATTAGTGTCGGGCACAACGCACAAGTACGAGGGTTGTGTGGACAGACAGGTAGGTCAAGAGACAGATAGATAGACTGATAGAGATCGTAGCGAGTAACAACAGTAGATATGATGAGTCAAGAACAGAGGCTTAATAACTAGGATTCGATTCGATGAAGTGCGTTCTCGATGGAGGCGGCAGAGCCGCCGATGAGAGGTCAGACTGTGGTGCAAGGTGCTGCCTCCAGGTGGCTATGTACACACAGAGAGTTGGAGTAGGGGGAGCGTATTTACAGGGGGCAAAGTGCACTGGGTGAGGTGAATGGAGTGAATGGAGATGGGTTACGGTTACGGTTACGGTTACGTGGATTAGGTGAGAGAGTTGAGGCTTTAGGCACTTGTCAATAATTACTTTTTCTATGTACTGAAGGTGAGGTTAAGCTGTCATCGACAGCATCCTGATGACGCAAAAAGAAATTATAAAAGCTTCGGCGACGACTTGCTCTAGGCGCTTCCACAAATATGCTACCGCTAATAATAGTTAATAGTTTAGTAATAGTTGGAATAATAACAGTAACAATCATAAGCATAACTTGTCATCTTTGTCATCGGGGGATGTAGAATGTCTTCGGGTATATATAGGTTCGATAGGTCGGGCATTGTTTCGTTTCAACGTTAGCTGCAATTTTTTGACGAACTTACAAACGAAAGAAGGCTAAGAAGCTGTACATGGCAATGGACGATCGATTCGGTATGAGATTTAGACGGCTAACTCCAATTTACCTGGGTGACACAGCAAGCTACGCGCTAAAACTAATATTATATTATAGGTTATTACATGATCTAGGAGAGGGCAGGCAACCAATATGAACGAAAAGTAACTCAAACAGCGCATTCACAGAGGCTCATCTGAGGTGAAGTCGGAGTGTGGGAGTGGTCTACGGATTGGTATTGATACTAGAGTTCAGAGAGGCTTCTTTGGATAGGCCGCTACTTACAAATGATCTTAACATGGGCATATATTACTCGAATTATCTGTGATAGGTAGTTGAATTGTTGGAGATTTGTTGAATAGAGAGTTGCTGTAGAGTTTAGTCAGACTTTCGCTTAAATGAGTTGGGATGGAGTTACTAGATAGAATACGACTGGAGCGAGTACTAGATAACAAATTACTCGAAATTTATCTGTGTTTCTTGTTCTGATAGGTAGTTGTTGAATAATTATAGAATTGTTTTTGAATTGAATGTTGAGTAGAGGTAGTTTTTGCTTGCTTTCGCTTAAATGAGTTGAGTTGGAATGGAGTTTCTAGATCTTATACGTATACAGTGATCGACTGGGGCGAGTTCTAGATAGTTGTTTTTGAGTTTTATTACAAAAAATAGCTAGCTGAATATACACAACGAGAGAGAGAGAGAGAGTATGTATGAGGTACAGTCGATAACTAAAAAAGAAGTTGGTTTTTGGTAAATTGCTTGTTGCATTTTGATACTGATTATTGAATTCTGATTGTCTGTTGTTAGATTTAAAATTGTACATAAATTGTTGGTTATATAAAGTAGTTAGCCTGAGCTGATGATGGGGATGGGAGTTTGCCTTTACCTAGGTAATTCAAGCCACTAGGCTGGGAGCCACTCCTGAGAACGGCAGTGACCATGTCTGCGAGCAGGGACTCATAGTTTAGGGAGATACAAGAGGATATGCTAGAAATAGGGCTCAAGTTCATATACACACTGTGGACACACAAAACGTTAATTTATCTGAGGTTCGATATTCGATGTTCGGATGTTCTTGTATGTGGGCATGGGCATGGAAAGCTTTCGTTTTCGTCTAAAAATTGCATTTCAAATTTCATCGCAGCCATGAAACACAAACATACATGGAATGTGTCTGTGTCTGGTGTGAGTTTGTAGTGTGTAAAGTGTACGGTATTGGGTGTAAATGGAACCAGAGATATCTACCGTTTGCCCAGCTCGTCGCTCTGCTGCTTGATGTCCTTGACCACATCATCGGCCCCCGAGACGAGCATCAGGGGCAAGTTGAGCCAGGGTCCGGCCAGCTCGCTAAGATCAGAGGCATCCGAGGCGCGAGAGGATTTCCTTGAAGAGGCGCGACTGCTGCAGGCAGTGCCACGGCGACTGACCTATAAAAGCCATCAAAGTAATAGAGTGAGAGCTTACCTTTGCTGGTCTTAATAGACTTCCTCTCACCTGCAGGTGGAAGAAATTCAAAGCCGAGAGCTTCGATTGCCATCCGCCAGGGCTGGAGTTCTGGGTGGCACTGTCTCCCGAGTTGGAGCGCTCCTTCTCCCGCTTCCGCCTGCGAAGAGACATGCACCATAGACAAGTGAGTAAAATAGAGTAAGGAAAGATTATCGATTGGGGAAAAGGCTGTCTCGTAGGTACCGCAAATACTCCTTCCAGCCCGTCTGTATGGTCTTGGCCGCCTTCTCCTGGCGCTTCCAGATCCGCGTCGACGAAACAATTTCCAATTCTTTGCGCGTTGGAAACTGTTTCTTGAACTTGACATCCATTTGTTCCTGCAACTGTTTGAAGTTATCGGTCTCCTCGACATGACCTAGCACGTGCTTCACGAGCGCGTGCAAAATGTCGAGGCAGTGTATTTTATTGCCCTTCGAGATGGGCAGATTAAATGACACTAGCGCGACATTATTGGGCTTCGAGATGCCCAATGGTGGATCGAGAGAGGCAATAAAATCGGACAGTTGCGAGAAGTGTATAAATTGGGTGGCATGTGGATCATATCTGCAAGTAAATCAATTGTTCAACCATGTAGTATCGGCTCTTCGTGGACTACAACTCGGACTATAACTAGGCTTCAGAAGACACATACTTGGACCAGCGAATGTAGAACATCTCCAGATCGTCCTCGACAATACCGATCTCCTCCTCCTGGTGCGCCTGATTAAAGTTCTCCAGGATAATGGCAATGTACATGTTGATCACGATCATGTAGCTGATGATGATGAAGCTCGTAAAGTAGGTGATGGCCAGCAGCGGGTGGCCGCAGTCCCCGTTCGTCTGGCCAAAGATGAAGGGATCGCAGTCGGGCGGCTGGATCATCAGCGACTCCAGCACGTCGTTCCAGCCGGCCGAGGTCATCAGCCGGAACAGCAGCTGCATGCTGCGCCCGAACGTCTGGAAGTTGACCATGTCATCGAGGGCGCCTTGCAGCTTCACGTGCCCGAACAGCGACATGCCCAGGATGGCGTAAATGAAGGTGATCAGGCCCAGCAGGGCTCCGATGTTAAAGAGGGCTGGCAGCGACACTACCAAAGCGAACAGCAGCTTCCTGATGCCCTTGGCGGCCTTGATCAGGCGCAGTATGCGTCCGATTCGAAACACCCGGACCACGCGCAGCAGCGTCGGGCTGATGGGCAAATCAATCATGATGTCCTCCATCAGGATGCCGAATATGGAGGCCAGCACCAGGAGAAAGTCGAACACGTTCCAGGGCACCGTGAAGTAGTGATAGCGCAGGCCCACAATTTTCACAATGGCCTCTGTTTTGGGAAAGGGATATCCAGGCAGTAGAATAAGGATATCCAGGGGGAGATCGAATCCTCTTACCTAGACCAAAGACCGTGGTAAAGAAGGCATTGCTCACTTCCAGGATGAAGAAGACGGCGTGCGGCTGATCATAGTGCTCGATGCCCATGGTAAGCATGTTGAGAAAAATCAGTACAAAGATCGCGATCTCGAACCTGCGCATCACAAAAGTTGATTAGATCCCAGTGGACACACTCGTAGACTAGCTTCGGGCTTCAGGCCGAAGAGGAGGTGCTCCCCAGGAAGGGGTGTCATATGTACAGGCAGCGGGGAGCACCCTACTACAGAGAGAGAGATTAAAACTAGGTCTAAGTCTAACTATACATGCTGGTTGGGGGAGGGTATTTCCGAGACAGGTGGGCCTTTCGGCCAAAGGGAGGCATCTAATTATCCTAGATAGAACATGCTACTCATTCAGAGTGCGGTAAGTCCGACATGTCTCTTAGGTGAAGGGGATAAAAGTGGCATCAAAGACAACATAAGTTATTGTATGCCTTATGTTGTCTTTGGTCGCATCATAGCAAGTAAAAGGTGCTCTACAGAACGTTGAGAAGTATGCAAAATTACATAGAATAGTTTACAGATTATAGATTACAGATTACAGAAGAGAGGCATTTTTGACGGTGTTTGTTGCTGGTGGGACAAGCACCGGAGTTCTGACCAAAAATGCCGGGGAATCGCCAAGTGTTCAAATAAGTTTTATCACCAAATCAGAAACAGTCTATATAGAGCGAGAGAGATTTGTGTTCAGATCGTGGGCCTAACAACTACGAGTGGGTAGAGACAGAGCTGGACTAAGATAGGCTAGGATAGTATAGGTAAAAACTATAAGTAGATATACGTAATTTTCTGGAGCTTAGATTGGTTTTCGGGGTTTCAGGGTTTGATTGGGCGGGGCTTGTTTACCTTCTCGAATTGGATAAATCATAAAACATAGCTAAAAAATGATTTATAGGTCGCTTAATAACTTTCTGTGGTTTCTTTCGTCCCAATTTTTTCATGGCCGTGTAATAGTGTTTTTGAGATTCGGTGAGAAACATTTCCAACACTCCTCCTTCATACTATATAAGAGTGATGAGAACAGAATGAACATTTATAATTATATCTCAAATATATGTACAGTCCACACACAGGTAAGAGTAACGCACAATCATATGAAAGAACACAGCAACACAGTAACACGGTTAAGGTTAGAGGTTAACGGTTATCGGTTAATGGTAAATGGTTAATGATTAACGTTAAGAGCGATCACAGGATCACAGAGATGGTTCGATCGATGATGGTGTAGCGTATGTACAGATGACGGTTCAGGTGGTCCTGGAACACAGCGGCATAGGCCAGAGGACTTACCTTCTTCTTGAGCATGTTAAAGTTATCAATGATAACTCCAATGAACAGATTCAGTGTGAAGAACGAGCCGCACACGATAAATATAACAAAATAAATATACGCATACAGGTTCGCCTCTCGCTGCGGCTGCAGGTCCACGCCACGGGCATCCACGGCATCGGCCATCACCTCCATCCAGCCCTCGAAGGTGGCCACTTGCAGCAGGGCCAGGTAGCCCATGCCCACATGGTCGAAGGTGATCTTCGAGTTGATCCACGTGTAGTTCTGCTCGATGCAGTCCCACTTGTCGTTCACCTCCTGCCAAGCCAAGCAAGCAGGTATAAGTAAAGGCAGGAAAGTAACCAAGAATCCAATCCTTCCAGAATACTCACAGTAATTGGCAGCAACTCGCCCAGCTCGTTGACGCACTTGAAAAATTTACCACCAAAGAACTGAACACCCATTATGGAGAAGATCAACCAAAAAACTAAACAAACCAAAAGGACATTGAAAATTGATGGTATTGCATACATGAGAGCGTTTACTACAATCCGCATTCCTTGCCACCTGGAATAGAAATGGGCGGTGAGAAGATACGGGAAGATGGACGCTGGCCGGAGGCAGTGCTAGGTGGGATTCAGAGTGGGTCGATCTCGTCTGCCAACTATTCTAGCTTAGCTAATATCTAAACGTATGTACACATCTACAATATACAGATTATACAGATACAGATACAGAGATACAGAGGCGGAGGAGAAGGCTTTAGCTACGGGCTACACAGATTCGAGCACGAGGACAGAGGACAGGAGGCGAGGACGATGCAATGCGTGTTCTACGAGTACGTATTTCTATTCGAAATCCATAAAGAAGACGGAATTGTATTAAACACTGCTCCATACTATAAGTTTACTATATCGAGAGATAAAGTCTTGTTTGATATATCGACCAAAATATCAGGCTCAATATACATATATAAATATTGACAATGTCGTAAGGCTTGATATATCGAATTTCGAAATATAACTAACTTTGCAAAGCCCTTGCAGTTTGCCATGGGATCATGGCATCGAATTTAAAATCTATCATAACTTGGCCAAAATTGCATTAATTTCAATTCGGGTAGCTTTTCTGTGTTAGTCTTTAGCAGGTTAATAAATCAGCATACTACATTTAAAATTTTAAGAAATCAAAATTTTTGGTCATTTTTGAGAATTTTAATGATGTAACCCCTTATCAAATTTGTAAAAAAATTGAAAATTTTGGATTTCTTCCCGAGATGGCTAGAAAGAAGCGCCTGTTGATCCTGATCAAGAATATATATGATTTATAGGGTCGAAAATGGCTCCTTCATGGCTTGGCAAGCTTCTGATTAAAATTATCCTAGCCTGCAAGGTCCTAATAAAACGAAAATTGCTTGTATATTTTGTACTTTTACCAATTATAATGTAATCTTTAAAATTAAAAACCTAAAACTTTTAACAGTGGGAAAGTAGTTCGATATATCAAACAGAATATTGAGTTATAGCAACGTCATTATATCGCTTCATAGATCAGTTTCTGCGGCAATTACCGATACAGTACGATTATCGGTATCTTTGCCACTCCTACTCAACACAGCTTGATCGCCTCGCTCGGTCTGATCCCATCTTCTCTCCGGAAATGCCAAGAGAGACGTTAAAGAGTAAACAGTAGTAGTAGTTATAGAAGTTGAGAATAGCAAAAGTTCCTAGGCTGAGAAACAGAGAGAGCCTTCTTCCACGGATGTCTGAGGTGGTGGTGCAACCTATCGAAAGAGAAGCCCGACTCTGGACGCAGCAACTTACCGAGAGATGGCTCTCAGTGGGCGCAGGGCTCGCAGGGTGCGCAGCGAGCGCAACACCTTCAAGTTCTCATTCTCCTCGATGAGCAGCGAAAATACCGACACCTGGAAAAGGTAGAATCTTTATATAAGGTTCCTTTCCAAGAGGACTCTCCAAGACCACTTACAAACACTATGATAAAGTCGAGTATGGTCCAGAAGCTGGTAAAGTACTTGGAGAAGCCCAGCGCCAGCCACTTGAGGATCATCTCCACGACGAATATCAGGCAGAAGGAGAAGTTGATCCAGTAGAGCACCCGCTTGAGCGTCTTGTTCTTGTCCAGGTTGATGTCCTCGAAGCAGAGCGTGATACTCGACGCAAAGATCAACACTAGCACAAACCACTCAAAGGCCGGAGTATCGACAACCGTCAAGACAGCCGTCCTCACGCGCGTCCAGTGCTTGGCGCTCTGCGTGTCCATGCAGCTCATGAACCAGGGGCAGCGGAAATAGAAGCTAAAAGGGGAGTCAAGATGAGACATCAGTGTGGGAATAACCCCCAGGATACTCACTGATCGTAGCACTTCTGTGGAAAACAGTCGTCGGGCACCTTGGGCGCCTTCGTGGCCCCGAAGCTCGGAAAAGTCATGGGATCATTGTAAGCTCCCTGCGAGTTACGTCTCCCACCGACAGTGAGATCGTCTACGTAGGAAACCAAACAATGCCATGGTTTTTCTGTCAGTCGCGTAAATGTCGACGGCTTCTGCGTGGCCTCTGGCGCCGCCTGCGCCGACTCCTGGTCAGTCTTGTGGCTCAGGGCCAGGGCCAGGGCCGAGGAGCTCGTGTCGGCCGCCCCCGAGCTGTGCGACTCGGTGCGCGCGGACTGGAAGGATGCGGCTTTGTCTAGCGTCGATTGTGGATGCTCCGGGCGTCGCCGATGCCCGGCCGCAGGACCATGACTACCATGTGCCGTCGGTCCGTGGGTGCGTGCGGTATGGGCGTGGCCGGGACCGTGAGTGGGATCTGCTTGGATGCTCGTGGCATGAAAGTGCTGCTGATGCTCGGTGAGAGCAGCCAGCGGCGGGGTGGCCTTTAGCGATGAAATTTGCGCCAGTGTCGGTGGCTCGATGCTCGACTTCAGGGAGGTGGGCGGCGTGGCGGGCACGGCCGGTGGCGTGGCCATGCCCAGCTTCTGCTTCTGGATCAGCAGGTTCTCGTACGAGCTGGTGCTCTTCAGCGAGAGGCTGTCCAGGCGCAGCTGGTCGCGCATGGGATTATGGAGAAACTTGCGCGGCATCTTCTCCGACTCAATCCGCAGCGTCGAGATGGGCTTCTCCTCCTCTGGCAGCTCCTCCACGCGCTCGATGAGGGACAGCCGCTTGAAGCGATCGAACTGCACGGTGAAGGGGTCGATCTTGCGCCGGAGGAAGGGCGACTGGGTAGTCGGTTGGCTTGAGCCGGTGGCCTGGCTGGCGCTGGTGGCTGCCACTGCCATGGCCTCCATCGCCACAAATGGCGCGTGGATTTGATCACAGATTTTTCGTATCTCGTTCGAGATGCTGAAGTCTTCGTCGATCTTGCGCTGCTTCTCCAGGCTGCGCCGCTTCAGCTTCACGGACTGGCGCTGGGCCGCGGCACTGACGGACTGCGAGCGCCGCGGCACCGTGGACAGGTCGTAGCTGTCGTAGGGGTTTAGCGGATGCACCACCTCGTCGGCGGCCGAGCGCTCCGAGGCTCCGGTAATTATGGCAATGTGGTCCATTATGGCCTTGGTGGCCTCATCGGCCGCCGGCGAGGGCTCCGAGAGCGTGGACAGCTTGCGCTCCAGCGAGGTGGTCGAGCGCTTGATCTCCTCCAGCTCCTTCTCAAAGCTCTGGATAATGTTGTCGAACTCGGAGTGCTCCACCAGCGGCTCGCTCTCCGACTGTCCCAGCTGGCCGCTGGAAGGGCGCCGCGATCGAATGGCCTGCGAGATGCAGCTGACGTTCTTGCCATCCTCCTCCTGCAGAAACTGGAAGAGCTCCTTCTGGTCGCAGTTGAGCAGCTCCTCTCGAAGATTGCCCTGCTGCGACAGCAACTCGTCCTGCTCGATCGATATGGAGGTGAGGGACTGGCCGCTCGAGTGCCGCCGCATCTCGGCCTCCTCCGACTTGAGCAGCGATCGCTGCGACTGGCCGCTGGACTGCGAGAGGCGATCCAGCGACTTGCGGTAGCTGGGCGACCGCGTCAGCAGCGACTTTTGGTACTTGAGGTAGGCCTCGTCGTGGTCCTCGCTCCCGTAGCGCCGCGACGAGTTGTCCTGCAGCGAGTCGCCGCGATTGAAGGAGCCGCAGCCGCTGCGCTGGTCGTTGACATACGGATCCGTGTCCGTGGAGTTGTACTGGCCCAGCAGGCGCAGCTCTATGGACTCCGTGTAGGTGGCCTCGTCGCGCGAGTCGTTCTGCTGCGTGCTCACGCCCGAGGAGATTTGGTGGTGCAGCCGCCGCTCCGCCTGCAAGAAGGGCGTCAAATTCTGGCCGTTCCCATTCCCATTGGCGCCGCCGGTGGCCATCATGGCGCTCTCATAGGTGGGGGGCAGCGAGTCTGCGTTGTGTGGCAGTGGATGGGCCGGCAGCTGGATCTGCTCGGGCAGATCCACGACTTCGTCGTACTCCATTCCGTCGACGATCGTGTGCAGGCCGTCGTGCAAGGGTATCTGGAAGCCAAAGTCTGAGCCGGACACGGGTCGATTCATGGACTCCTGAAAGCCACATAGTTTAGATATTGGAGCAACAGAGCCTGGGGAATCATTTACCTGATAGCTCAGTCTGTGGAACTTGGTCTCTGCCAGCACACCCGCCTTGTCTCCCCGCTCCAGACCCACCACAGCCTGCTGGGAGTGAGCCTGTGCCTGAGCCTGCTGCTGAGCGTCCAGCACGATCTGCTGGAACTTCTCGGCAAACTGCCGCTCCTTGCGGTCCTTGCGCTCCTGCCGCTTCTTGCGGATGAGGTCGCGCACGCGCTCAATGCTCCGCGCCAGCTTGGACTCCTCGCCCACTTCCTATTCGGGGTACAGGAGACATGGAGACACATTAGAACGCAGTGGGACACAGGGTGTGGGGTGAGTGTTTACTCAACTGAAGAGATCGCTACAACAAGTTTCTTTTTGAATAGACATCGATATATATGGTTACATAGATTACGATTTACGGTTAATTGGGGATCCAATGCATATACAGAACTGAACACGGTTTACGCTAAGGGCAGGCAACACAAAAGATTATACTATATAGTCTGATCTCTATATTTACACATACAGTTTGTCTGGATTTAGATACGTTTTGTTTTTTTTTGGGTTAACGCAAACGAGGCAAGCAGTTTAAAGCAAGTTTAAAAACGGTTTAGTTTATAAAAAATTACCTTCTTCTTGAAAATCTGTTTAACGGTTTTCAGTGTGTATTTAAGAGGTTTTAGTTTTTCGGTTTATCAGTTTGGGGGTTTTTTCAGTGTAAGGTGTTGAGAGTTGAGAGTTCAGTGTTCAGAGTTCGGTGTTTCGTGTGTGTGTTTTGTGTGTCAAGTTTAGATTTAAACGCATTGTGCAAAGTTGACAACAGAAATTGGTTAATTGGAGTACGCTTAAGTGCATGTAGATATTGTTTTTACACATTAAGACCTACATATAGACTTAAACGAGAGATTTGTTCTGGAGACAGATATTGTTATTAGATATATTATTGTATCAAGGATTTTTGCCTTAAATATCAGAATTTATTTTGTAAATTTTCAGGATTTATGGCCTTGTCAGCAAGGCAGTTACAGCTAATTTTCAGTGAGTCAATAGACTCTAATTAAAAAAAGCCCAAACACCGAAAATAAACGAAGTATTTTATTCAAATTCCAAGCGAAAAAAGACAATTTACGATAATTTCTTAGTAAGTCTGATTGTCCTTTAAAAATAGTTATTGAAAAAGACCTGCATGCTCTCAGAACAAACCCTATGGAAACACAATTCGGGAATGGCCGAACTGAGAAACCCAGCAAAGAGACGTAATCCCTGTGTTGGGTGGGGTTTTATTAGTCTTTAATTAATTAGTAACAGTTTAGTAACACAATGCAGAGGAGCGATGGTGACAGAGAATTTAGCTAGAGTGAATTTGAAATACATGAAAATCATAATGGAATTTGCTCGTTTTGAAAACAGAACATAGTGCCACAGATCGTATGGTGTATAATTCAAATGGCAATTCGATCCAGGGGGTTGTGTGTGTTACCATCGCACACTCGGAGACACACACACAAATACGCAAATACATGGAAATACGAGTACCGAAAACCACATCAAGAGTGCAAGGCAAATTCAAGTCAAACATGGGGAATCGATCTAACCATCGATCGTCTTAACCAGTCAGTTTATGGGGATCGTTTAGGACACGGGGCGAGGGGTGAGCCTCCGGTTCCCGTGCCGATTTCGAGCGTTTTTTTGAGTTTAGTTTAGTTGTTCGGTTGTTTAAGTAACATTGCTGGCACACACATAGACATAGACATTTATAGACACATTCACGAACGTAAGGATCAACTGGTGGGATCTGGACTTGCCTCTTTCTTCGACTTGAGCTCCTCGGAGTTGAAACTGTTGAGCAGCAGGGCCAAGAACAAGTTGAGCACCATGAAGTTGCCCATGACGAGCGTCGGCAGGAATATGGCAAAGCAGGTGGAGGCTCCTTGCTGGAATTGCACAGGGATTAAAGCTAAACTGGGGGGGTGTGCGTGAGCCAAGTCATACCTCCTCCTCGGCACGCATGCAGTCCCAGAGCGGCTCGATCCATTCGCCGCACAGAATGCGAAAGATCATCATGAACGAGTGGAAAAAGTCGTTGAAATTCCATCTGAGAAAGGATAAAAGGAACTTAAAAAGCCCGAATGGCAGACGACTCTTTCTCCAGCCTCACCTGGGCACTGGATCCGGGTCAAACTTCTCGGGCGTGTAGTCTTTGGAGAACAATTGCATGCCGATGACGGCGAATATGTAGATGACAATGACCAGAATCAGCGTGAGGTTACCCAGGGCGCCGATCGTTGAGATGATAATGCTGAGCAGCACCTTCATTGTGGTCCACGACTGGGCCAGCTTCAGCACTCTCAGCTGGAGGACATAAATCGAAATTTATAGAAGCTACTCTAAGCGGCACCCACTTCCTCCCTGCTCTTACCAATCGCAGCCCACGCAGCACACTCAGGCCATCCACCAGCTCGAAGATGATGTCCAGCAGACTGGCCGTCACAATGAGCAGATCAAAGATGTTCCAGCCGCACAGGAAGAAGTCCTTGGACAGAGCCATCAGCTTCACAATGCACTCGAAGGTGAAAATGGATGTAAAGACCTGCAAGAGCACGGGGAACTGTAGATCTTTTCAGGGAACCAAGTTTTTCAACTCCAACCCACCTTGTTGCCCACGTCCAGGGCGTTGCGAAAGCTCTCACTCATGCCGTGGTGCTCCATGGCCAGGAAGGCGGTGTTTAGGACGATGCACAGGGTGATGGCCAGTTCGAAGAGCGGATCGCGCACCACCTTGTATAGACAGTTCTGGAACTGCAGCCAGCTCTCGTAGTCAGTGCACCAGTGGACGCAGCGATCGCAGTTCCGGTCGGGCAGATCATCTACGAGGGATTATTAAACCTATCCTGTAAGAGAGACCACCCCAAACTTACCGATAACGACCACCTCTGAGGAGAACTCCTGGTGCAAGGCGTACACGTTGTGGTTCTTGATGCGGGCTATGTTCCCGTTGCACTTGATCAGCCGCACTTCGCGCGGCGATAGGGCCAGCTCCACAGTAGAGACGTGGCCCAGCTCGTTGACCGTGTCCTGCTCCTCGTGATCGTCCACCACGCCGGAGTCGTCCTGCGAGGACTCGCGATTGACGCCGCTGGAATTGGAGCTGGTCTGGCGACTGCTGGCTATGAGCTGGCCCTTGTAGTCCGAGGGATACAGCATGTTGGGATTCTTCACGCCCACGCCGCTGTCCTGGAAGCTGATGCGCGCCTTGGGCGGCAGCGGGGGAGCGGTGGCAGTGGCAGTGTCTGAGCTAGGGGCAGTAACGGTGCCGCTTGCCTTGGCCAGCTGGCTCTGCTGCTCCATCTGCTGGTACTGCTTCTGGGCCTGCAAAGTCAGCGCCGATGGACGTTCCGGTGTGGTGGCGCTGTGGCGTGGACTCCGCCCGGGACTGGGCGTGGCCGAGGGGGACTTGGGATCGGTGCCGTTGCTGCCATTGCCGTTCCCGTTCCCGTTGCCATTGCCACTGCCCTCCTTCCCGCCCTTTGCCTTTTTTCGCCGCGTCTTTTTCTTGCTGTAGGAGGCCAGGAGCACGCCCTTCCGCGAATCAATCTTCTTCTTGTTGTTCTTGTTCAGCTTCTTCACATTCAGCACCGAGGGATCGAAGCTGAATGTGGAGTCGTCGCGGTGATCCAGCAGGTCCTTCTTGCGCTCCTCGTTCGTAATCTCGGCCTCCTCCTCGTAGCTCAGCGCCACTACGGCCAGCATCAGGTTGATCAGGTAGAACGAGCCGAAGAACACAACCACCGTGAAGAAGGAGACACTCATGGGGCCGCAAGTGGCTAGCACCTGCGAGAATCCAGGAATGAGCAGAAGAAAAGAGCGGAAGGGACAAACACTCACCATGTTGTAGACATTCTCCCAGTAGTCCAGCGTAATCAGCTGGAACGTCGTCAGCATGGACCACATGAAGTTGTCAAAGTTGGTGTACCCGTGGTTCGGGTTCTCGCCCACGCAGAGGCACACGTACTCGAAGGGGCAGTGGCGGGCGCCGGTCAGGTTGCCGCACAGCACGGGCAGCTCCTCCTCGTCATACAGCCAGTTGTCCGTGTCGTTGACCCAGCTGCAGGGAACACAGACCCAGATTAGCCGCTGTCTCTCACCTCAACTACACTCACTCACATCTGCCAGTCTGCATGCGAGACGTTCGTCCAGTCGGGGGGCACCTGGCGCACACACTTGTTGCGCAACTCGCCCATGTACACCTGGAGGGCAAAGAGCGCGAAGACCATCAGGCAGAAGATGGTCAGCGTCATGACCTCCGCCAATTGACGGAAGGAGTGCAGCAGCGCGTTGATGATCGTCTTCAATCCGGGCATAATGGACACCGTCTTGAGGGCGCGCAGCACGCGAAAGGTACGCAGCCCCGCCAGGTTGCCCACCTCCATGCCGATGGTGGCGTAGCCGCTCGTGATGACCACAAAGTCCAGCCAATTCCACGGGTTTCGCAGATACGTGTACTTGTTGAGCAGAAATCCCTTGGCAATGATCTTGATGACCATTTCGATGGAGTAAATTGCCAGAAAGATGTACCTGTGGGGGAGTGGGTGGCATTTAATTTTGGACATTTGGACAGGCACCATCTATACTCACTCAGCCTCCTCCACCGTCTCGGTCATGGCCAGGAAAATGCAGTTGAACAGAATGGTGGCCATGACGCAGTAGTCGAAGAACTGGTTGGTGGCGATGTACACGCACACGCGCCGCGCCGGGCTCCATGGGTGGAAGAGGAACAGGCTCTTGGTGCCCGTGAAGCGATGGATGTAGTTCTTGCGAAACCGCTTGGACACCACGCAGAACGTCTGTAATTCGAAAGCATTAATTTTGTTTTAAATTTTAACAACCCTTTTAAAATTTTGTTCTTTGCCGACATGGCTAAATTAATTCAATCAACAAGATGTCAAGAATATATAATTTATAGCGTCGGAAATGACCCCTTATGACCCCTAGCTTCTGAAAGAAATTATAATATAAAATTTTAACATTTATCCATATTTTTAATAGATAATTTTTGGGGAACTTAAAGCTAAAAAAGAAAGAAAGCTAACTTTGGCCAGCCAAAGTTTGTATACCCTTGCAGGTAACAATTAAAATATATCATAAATAAGCCAAAAATGCATTAATTTTGATTCGGTAAGCAGTTTTGTGTTAGTTTTTATTAATTTAAAAAAAACTGCATACCAAATTTAAAATTTTAAGAAATCAAAATTTTTGGCCATTTTTGCTCATTTTAATGATGTAACCCCTTATCAAATTTCTCAAAAATGACCAATGTTGATGCTGATCAAGAATATATATGGTTTATGGGGTCGGAAATGATTCCTTGACTTAGAAAAATATTATTTTGTATTATAAAATCGGATTTTTTATATTAAAAAACTTCTTAATTTTGTTTAAATTAAAAATATCATACCTTTGCCAAAAGAGCATTAATTTTAAATCGGAAAACTGTTCTGTGCAAGATTTTCTACAGTTAATATATCTGCATACTTCATTTAAAAATTTTGAAAATTCAATTTTTTATCAAAATCAAAAATTTTAATGATGTAACCCCTTATCAAATTTCGCAAAAATCGCCAAAAAATCGATTTCTTTCTGACATGTCTAGAAAGATTCCCCTGTTGATGCTGATCAAGAATATATATACTTTATAGGGTCGGAAACGTCTCCTTCACTGCGTTGCGAACTTCTGACTGAAATTATAATACCCTGCAAGGGTATAAAAACAGAATAATTATACACAAAAAAAGCATTACATTTAATTAAAATTTTTATAAGTTTAATAAATCTGTATACTAAATTTAATACTATTTTTAAATTAAAATTGTTGCGTTTTCCGCGTTCACAGTTCTTTAATTTTTTTAACAATGATATTTAAACATTTACCCCCCGCTTCTCCATGAAAAAAAGAATTACTCCGGCGCCGAAAGTACAAATTTAATGTTTAATAACTTTAATTAAAATAATTTTAAATTTTTTTCAGGATCCCAAATTATTTTGAAAAGGGTACATATTCTTAAGTCCCTCTAATTTTCTGACAGTGTATGAAGTTCGAAAATATTGTTGTCTTATCAGAAGTGGTTAGAGTCTTCGCTCGAGCAACCAGGTAATTTTACACTGTTTTCTGTAAGCCTGTAAAACTTGTTTTGACACTTTACGTTTAGCTTCGAAATTCAGAGTGACCAGGGAAACAAAATTTCACATTCAAACACGTTCGTCGAACACATTCTCCCTCGGTTCGGTTGCAACGGACCCGAAGTTCGGTTGCAACGGAGCCGAAGGTGCTGCCGAAGGCTGCCGAAGCAGCGTTCGGTTCGCTCTCGAACACTCTACATTCTACACGAGAATTCGACCAAAAACGAGAATTCTACCCCAAGCGTGTAAAGCTTTGTTTTGACATTTTACTTTGAAATTCAGAGTGACCAGGGAGAAAATACCAAATATCGAGATTTCGGTATTTTGATATACTTCCTTTTTTACACTCTACACGAGAATTCTACCCCAAAACGAGAATTCGACCCCAAGCATGTAAATTGACATTTTGCTTTGATTCAGAGTGACCAAGGGGGAAAAATCCAAGAATATCAAATATTGAAAATTGATATTTGGTATAACACCCAAAAAGCAACCCTGACTCTGCGCTGTCAACGAGGCCGACTTCCGCTTTTCGTTCTTTCTTTCGTTCTCAAATCGTCGTTCCGACCAGACCAGAAGGAAAATGAGAGCTAAGGTAATTTAGAAAACTGAAAGTGGAGAAAACTAAACTCGAGTGACTACGGGCACAACATCAATTCAATTAACCGTGCGCTTTCTATTGTTTCAGTGGCGTAAGAAGCGTATGCGTAGGTTGAAGCGTAAGCGCAGGAAGATGCGTGCAAGGTCCAAGTAATCGCAGCGCCATCGCCCACTAAATGGTGAGTAGCAGCCCCCGGGAGCACCCCTGCCAGATGCTAATCCCGATTTTCCGCCTTCTGTGCTTGCAGGAACTTTTGACCGCAGCCGACACACCGAAACACGCCGTCTGGGCGACCCGCCTGCGGGGCCCACATGTAATTTTGCAAGACCAGTTTTCACACAAACGAACATGTGCATTTAAAATTCACTTTGAAATTTCACGTAAAAATTGTTTCCAATAAATTACTGGATTTTCGCAAAAGTTCCACAAATGAAGGAAAAGCCTGCGTTATTAATGAGAGTGAGCGAGAGGGAGGAGAGGTAAGCGTGCTCTTTCGACATAACCACATTCGCGCGAATCATGTGTCTATATGTGAATGTGTGTGCAAGTGTGCGTGCGTGAGCACGTTTTTATCAGAATTGCTACATATTTTCTCGGCATTTGGATGAGCCGGCAGCAGTGCGGATTGGAGCCCTAGAATCTGGAGACGGCATTAAACATTGATCATCTCGAGCATGGCCCGAGGCCCGTAATCGGCTAATGCCATTATTCAGGCCGCAATCGGACCAGCTCCCTACACTACTCTTGGCCTCCAGGGAGCGCGTGTCGTGCGCTCGTCATGCCGTTCCGCTCAGCTCTGCGCTGCCCTGCCCTGCCCTGCTCCTTGGGCCACATTCGGAAATATCGATTTGTTTGCCGCCGGAGGGGAGAACCTGAACCTGAACGCGCAGAGAAAGCTGCTCCCGCCCGGGCCAGGTTGTTCATTAGCGCCCTGATTTCCTCAATTATATATGCAGATGATGTGCGCCTCTGACGAGGATGATGCCTCGGCCGGCCAGCCCCCCGCCCCCCTGGAAGCCCACTTGTCTGAAGGTCGTTTGTCACTGTAATACACACATAAACGTCGCTCAGCCGAGTAAGCAGAAATTTTAATGTAACAAGCAAAAATTACGATTGGGCGGCAGTTTGCCATTTACCATTTTGTGGGCCGAGTGCTGGAGCTGGAAATTTGCATGAGCGAGGGCACTTGTGCTTGGTTGGTTGGGGCTTGCGGCGAGGCGGGGAGAGCTTAAGGATAAGCGTGTGTACTTTTAAGTGCCCGAAATGAAAAGTTGTGTTAGAGGCCCTTGTTCGGCATTTGAGGAAAACATGCGGCGACGCCAGCAGCAGAGTCGTCTGTGGCTGTGGCTGTGTCTTATCGCGTACAGAGAGACTACGTGTTTGCCAGGAGTGAGTGCCATTAAATGCAATTAAGCACTTTGATTCCTCCACCTGGCAGTGCCAGCAAATGGGCAGGGATTCTTGGGCTTGCTTTGCCACTTTGTTTGACTTGTTTTCAGTTGCTTGCTCGGCCTCGATTCGAGAGGATTTACTCTGGTCTTTTTAGGGGAAAACTCGGCGATACCTAGTGACTATAACTTGACCAAAATGAATAGGTATTTAATTTGGCATTTATTGAAGGGTCTTGGCTATGATTTAGTAAGATTTAATTAAGATATCTCGGAGAGATTTTTTAGTAAATAAAACTGAGATATTTAAGTTGGGGAATTTTTGAGCTTGTCATTGATATTTGGTCAAGCAACTTTGGTTGAATCCACAGCTAGGATTTAATTACAGAATATGGAACACAGGCTCTGGTCGCCGTCGTCGTGGGAGATGTGACCCATTAGCCAGAAGCCAGCAGCCAGCTTATATTTGCCTTTTGCTTCGGGCTTCGGCCGGACGACTCTAAGCCTCCGGCCAATAAGATTTAATTATAGATTGCCCTGGACTGTGTTTGTCTTGGACTTTGGAGGCAGAGCCAGCGGCACCGGAGGGATGTATGTCCGGTCGGTCGATAAACACATCACTAGATGTCGCAGGTACGCTCATCTCATGGCTCTATGGCTCCGCCCCCCCACTAAAGTCCATTTCCACCTCCCATTATATATTGCAGCCGTTGCCGTACCCTGGTCACTTGCATGTTTATTCTGCCCAGTCGCGCTATGCTATCCTGTGAATTATTTTGCCACGACACGTGGTTGCCTGGCGGAGAGCCGGGGCCCGAAAGCTGAAAACTGAAACCTGAAAGCCGCCAAGTCTTGAGTACACTTGCATGTTCGCCTATAATTTGTCCGCTGCGGCTGCTGCGGCAGCGGAGTACGGGCCAGTTTTGTTTGAGTCACGTAAATACGGTTGTCAACTTTGCTGCCCGGAGCAGAAAGCAGGGAGCAGGGAGCGGAGGACTGTGCTGTGCATGACATGACCCATATTCCCACACAGTGGCCAAGCCGTATTGTGTGTGTCCTTTGTTTGATGTAGCTCCAAAAATTTATTCCCGCCTTTGAAATTTAACGAGCGCTCTCGCTCTCGCGGCATTTACGCTGATTTCCTTTTCGGCTCTCGAAAAGGGCCCCACGAGGGCCGTTCTAGGCGTTTCCATTAACCCCGGTAACCCCGTATCCGTATCCGGACTCTTTGGCCACGGAAAGTGCATATCCACTTGTGCCCACAATGCTCGGCAAAATGCAACAGAAGGCAAAAAACTTGAAAAAAAAAGGTATCAAAACAAAAGCAAAGCAAGGCAAGGCAGCAGGCCGCGTCGCGTTCCATTTCCGCTGTGCCACTTGCACTTGCTACCGCCTCCGGAATCCTCCGTACCCTGCCCTACCCCACGGATCCACGGGCACTGGGTCGCGTCCGTGTGACTTTTTAATTAGAGCCAATGGGGCGGCCAACTGGGGTGAGGCGGGCAAGGCAGCGGCGGGTCTGCGGATAATGAGCGCAGTGCGCCATGGCAGAGAGTCAGTCACACACTCACCTCCTCGTAGATGAAGGTGTCAATCTCCTCGAGCGGCTTGCCGTACATGTGCTCCGGAAAGGGCTCGAACTTGCGGGGCAGCACGTCGCCATCCTCCACGGAGGCCTTGGTGCGCGGATGGAAGCCGTATTCCCGCACCAGCTGGATGTGCCGGTTCTCATGCTTGACCTGGGACTTTTGCGTGTACGCGACGACCTGGTGCTTGGCGATAGCTGCAACAAAAGTTCGAAAGGAAACTCTAATCAGTAAAGGGAGAATCAGTTGTTAACAAAATAATATGCAAAAGGTAATGTTCATTTAGATATTTTGATATCTTCTATAATATCACAATATTTTTAGACAGCACGCCATGAGAGAACTATTTCCCATGCCATACATAACCCAACCCATGATAGAATTAATTCTATCATGACCCAACCCAAGCGTAGAAGAGAGAGAGCAACCAAGACAGAGAGTGGGATCTTTCTGAAATGACTTGACTTGACTGTTTTTAAATTTTTGATCTTAGTTGGCTGCAAGGCAGCGTAAATTTATAAATGATGTGCTTTCAAAGTACTAGTATCTAGAGTCTGGCCGCACTCATACAGCATACGGTTTAATGGAGCGGGATCGTGATAAATACCCGTTGCAGATTCAAGTGATGCAGGCTGTTGCTGGGGCCATGACCGGAGCCATGACGCGGGTTGTTACGCATCCGTTTGACGTTCTGAAAATCCTCTTCCAGGTCCAGGTTGAGCCACTCAGCGACAGGAGCAAGTGGAAGTACCGCGGCATCTTGCAGGGCTTTCGCAAGCTATACGCCGAGGAGGGAGCCCGGGGCCTGATGCGCGGCCATTCCTCCGGCCAGTTTATGAGCATCTCCTACGCCATTGTCCAGTACTGGTCCTACGAGCGATTTCGGAACTTGACGCGCACGGTGACTTACCTGGAGGATCGTCCCTCGCTGCGTCACTTCCTCTGCGGCGGCTTTTCGGGTTGCATGGGCGCCATGGCATCCCAGCCCTTCGACGTTGTCCGAACATTGGTGGTGGTAGTGGATCCGAACTCCAAGCGCAGTCGCATGAATCCGCTGGAGGGAGTTCGGATGGTGTATCGCAAGTTCGGCTTGAGGGGCGTGATGACGGGGCTGCCCTTTACCATGGCCGAGACGTTTCCACTGGTGGGCTTTAACTTTCTCATCTACAAGTACCTCAACTCGTGGGTGCTGGCGGGGAAGGAACACCAAGAATGCCGGGTTCATTCGGCCCGGACAGGGCTGTGCACAGATATCCACGGCGGATATCTGTTCGTGAATGGCGCCCTGGCCGGAGTGGTGGCAAAGACGCTGATCTATCCGGTGGACCTGCTCAGGAAGCGCATCCAATTGGTGAGCCTCAACCAGGATCCCCATGGCTCACGAAGCAACCCCGACTGCCCCACGGTGCTGCAATGCATTTGGGCCACATTTCGGACGGAGGGCTTGCACGGATTCTACAAGGGAATAATACCGACTTTAATCAAGTCGGCACTGACCAGCGCCTTCTACTTCACCATCTATGATCTGGTCAACCGTCGGTTCATCGAGCCGCGCAATGAGTAGCCGCAGACGGGACAAAGAGACTCCCCAGTTATATGGAATCTGATCTTGAGTTATGCCTTAATTTTTTTTTTTACAAATAATGATCTAAAATATCGGAGTTTATATTAGGTGGTTGTGTTTTGGGGAGGAGCATACGGGGCTTTTTTCAGCAAACGTAGAATATTATTCCCAACTATTTATAAAACCTAACAATGAAGAGCTTTAGCTGAGATCAAAGGCGGATTTAAATTATTACACTAACATGGTTTATTTTGTACATCGGCATTGCGTGAGGATGTATGGAATATATGGATGAGCCGTATATAAGTTAAGTTCCGTGCGGATGGAGTGAACTGGAGGACATGAGGGCGCTATAGAATAGACTAGACGACCAGATGATGGCCAGGGTCGAACTTTGCTGTCTAAGACCAGCTGGATCCAGCGCCAGATCCTGACCAGCCGCCGGCAGCTGGTGCCGAGTAGCTGTATCCGTCACCACCGCCAGAGGATCCACCGTAGGAACCACCGCTGCCGGAAGCAGCAGCAGCAGCCACCACCTGTGTGTCGTAGCTGGAGCCACCTCCGCTGCTGTAGCCGCCTCCATGTCCACCGCTGTAGCCACCACCATGTCCACCGCTGTATCCTCCGCTGCTGTAGGACGAGCCACCGCTGCTGTAAGAGGAGCCGCTGCTGTAGGAGGAGCCGCCGCTGTAGGACGAGCCACCTCCATAGCCGCCAGAGGAGCCAGCGTCGTATCCACCAGAGGAGCCGTGTCCGTCACTGGAAGCAGCCACGGCAGCAACCAGCTGCGCGTCGTGTCCGCCGCCTCCTCCGCTGTAGCCTCCGTAGCCTCCACTGCTGCCTCCGTATCCACCACTGCTGCCTCCGTGGGAAGAGGAGTCCGAGCTGGCGGCGATGGCTGCAATATTGGCAATGGCGTGGCCACCATAGTCTCCACCGTGACCGCTGCCTCCGTGTCCGTGTCCATGTCCATGGTCGGAAGAGGAGGAACCTGCAGCAGCGGCTATGGCAGCAATCTTGGCGTCGTCGTGGCCAGATCCTCCGTGTCCACCGCCGTAGCTATATCCACCGGAGCTGTGACCTCCGTGACCGCCACCGCCGCCCCCGGCGCTGTAACCGTGATTCTCCGTGATGACAGCATATGTGGCCACATGACCACCGCCGCCGCCGCCGCCTCCTCCTCCACTGTAACCGCCATCGTGGGAGTGGACCTCATAGCCACCGCCTCCATGCCCTCCAAAGTCACCACCTCCGTGTCCACCGAAATCACCACCTCCGTGGCCTCCATGATCCCCACCGCTTTCCGGAAGATGGATGCGGATGTGGACGTGCTCGCGTCCGAATGTGGGCTTGCCCCATACAACCGGACTGGCCAGCAGGAGCGCACTGATCTAAGGAGGGGAGAGGGAAGGTTAGGGTCCAACGTTACGAGAAGATGTTCAGCCGGAAACTCACAATAAAACGGGCCGCCATGTGGTTGGATTCGTTGCCAAGGACTCTCGGATGATAACTCGCCTCTGAACTGACTGGAAATGATTCGGCAATCGTGGCCGCGCGCCGTTTTATAGTCTGGAGCTGGGAGCTGGGAGCTGGGTTATGTAAGAGACGAGACGCGACGGCCACCGAGCCACCGAGCAAGTGCAGAGATAATCTCTTTCGACGACAAGAGATGAATGGAGCCACGACCGCGACCCATTGAAGGCCACATTGTTTCGTCTTCGCTGTGCTTTATGCTGGAGCTTCGCTCCACTCTCCCTTTCCGCGGGGATTGCGATCGCGAGAGTGTTGACCTTTCACATCATATCCAGCATGTGCCCTTTGCAAATATACCAAACTCTCGCTCTCACTCAGTTTACACGGTAAGAAAGATTCGTATACTAATCATACTATACTTTTTGCTTGTATTGTTTCTATATATTATAAATATTGAACCAAAGAATTATATTTTTTGGACATATCAAAGTTTAAAAAATCCATAACTATGTTAAAAAAGTGTCAAATTCAATTCGGAAAGCTTTTCTATGCTAGTTTTTAGAAGGTTAACAAATCTGCACTTTAATTTTAATATTTTAAGAAATTAAAATTTTTGGTCATTTTTGAGAATTTTAATGACCCCTTTCATTTTTTTTTCAAAAATTGCTCAAAATTAAATTTCTTCCGGACATGGCTAGAAAGAAGCGCCTGTCGATGCTGGTCAAGTATATATATGATTTGTGGGGTCGGAAATGTCTGCTTCACAAAATAAAATCATAAGACCCTTTAAGAAGACGGAAATATTAGAATTCTTTATCATTATTTTTATATGATAATTTTTTTGGACAAATCAAGGCCCTAAAAATATCATAACTAAGTCAAAAAAGCAGCAAATTCCATTCGGAAAGCGTTTCTATGCTAGTTTTTTCCAGGTTAACAAATCTGCATACAGAATTTTAAATTTTAAGAAATCCAAATTTTTGGTCATTTTTGAGAATTTTAATGATGTAACCCCTTTCATTTTTTTGCAAAAATGGCTCAAAATTAAATTTCTTCCGGAAATGGCTAGAAAGATTCGCCTGTCGATGCTGATCAAGAATATATATGATTTGTGGGGTCGGAAATGTCTGCTTCACAAAATTAACTCATAAGACCCTTAAGGAAGGCTGAAATATTTCAGTTCTTTAAATGGGAATTTATCCATATTTTTATATGATAATCAAATCAAATGCTAAAGTGCTTAGTAGTAAGCCATTTCTCTCCGTGTGCTCCACACTCTCTCTCTCTTTCTCCGTTGTGGAGCAGTGGCTTCTGGTGCTCCACTTTCGTTTGAGAGAAAATCTGAGTGGCCCTAAGCTTTTGTGGGCTGGCTGGAATGGCCGAAAATAGCCGAAAATGGTTAAAATCGAAATTCAAACTGTAGTAATATGCAACTTGACCAGTTTTAGTTTTTTCTTTTTTGGCCCAGAGCTCTTTGTTATTGTTGTGCGCGATCCAAACGCTAACCGTTAGGTATTTTGTTTACTACGTTCATGTTTATGGATGTTTATGCAGATACGGACTTCCTATTGGCAATTCCTTATTGTGGCCCGGACTTGCATAACGGATTGGCCAAGGGTTTGGCTGCTGGCCAGGTCGTTTGTCATTAACCCATTGATGACAAGATGATGAAGGGGGGAACCAAGCTGCTGCCGGAAATTAGACCGATAATGTTGTTTGCTTGGCGGGCGAAACGGGTTCTGTTCTGGGCCCTTACTCCTTCGGCTTCCCGCGATGGGGGCTCTTGGAGCAGCAGCGAGCTGCGAAAGTGGCTCTCGAGCCGTTATTGGGTTAAGCCTCGCCTGCAGCGCAGCATCAAAATATCTCGTCATGCTCTGGGTTTTGTTTCAGCATCAGCAGAGACGACTGACGAACTGCCAGCGGAGGAGAGGTCATGGCCACTGGCCACCACCCATTGCCCAGTCCTCCCGCTCAGTGCCTCCCCATCTGTTATGCATTCGTCGTTGATTAGCTACAGTTTTCATTAGCATTGAGTGACTGAGCGCCGCAATTTTCATCCGAATCCGAATACGAAGCCAAGTCCAAGTCCAAATTGGAATGGGACTGGGAATCGGGGCCATGCGGCAATTTCGATTACGTCGCTGATTATCATCTTGGCAGCTCGTCAGCGGCGCTTGCCAGCTGGTAGCTCGACTCGGCAGATTCCATCGTTGCCGAATAATTAATACACATTTAACCGACTCGACTCGGATTGTAAACAAAGGGGGGACCTTACATAAGGAACTAGCCGCGCTGAGAGCGGGACACCAACGCAACAATCTGTTGCCAATCAAACCATAATGACGATCATAATCACGATGCTGTGGCGAACGGAGTTCGAATTGGGAGCGCAGAGCAGGGGCACTCGAGTTGCATTTCATTAACAGCGGACTGGAGAGTCATCTCTCGATTGGGATTACATCTTTCACTGGAGCCACGAGGGCCAATGCTGATGCTGCTGAGCTGTTGCTGCTGATCATCATCATGATCATGGTGATGCTGCTGCTACTAAGATGACTGTGACGACGCTGGGCAACCGGTTGGCGGTCGCACATTAACATCAGATGCAACAGCAACGCACATCTTCCCCGTATTGCATAATCCCCGAGATGCCAGGCCCGGGACTCGCTCTCTTCGCCACTCAAAGCATCTTCACGCGGAAGCAAAGTCATTCTCAAAGCGCCCAAAAACAAAAAGGAAATTGCACACAGACACAGAAAACTTAAAAGCCACTAGCCTCTTGCAACTAGCAACTAGCAACTAGCAACGTGCAATGTCGTGGTTTTCCCCCGAAAAAAACCAGTTGCAACCCATCACGCGAAGAAATATTGCTGTTTTATTGAAGGTAGAAAAATAGGTCAATAAAAGCACCTTAATAAATATATATAATAATACAAATAAATATATTTAAGCGCTGCTTAAATACATATTTTAAGGCATGAAAAGAGTCTCGAGGCCTCAAAGAAATGAGCACCTTTAAGCTCCTCTGAGTTATTGCATATTTACTGGGCTAATTATCATTATTTTCTCCAAGTGCAGCCATTGTTGCAGTTGCAGTGGCAATTCCCATTGCCGCGGCTGCTTCAGTTGCAGTTGCAGCTGCGCAGACCTTTGCACAAGTTCAATGGTGACGGGAATGGAAATGGAAATGGGATTGGGATTGGGACTCGTACTCGTACTTGGACTCGGCGAGCTCCTCGCAGGGGGTGGCAGCACTTTCTATGTGCCCCATTCGCTTCCTGGCCCTGGGCAAAACCAAATCCAATTTGGAGGAGACGCAGCAGCAGGATGAGAACGAGGAACAGAAGCAGCAGTGAGGCGAAGCGGACCGGACAAACAGAAAGTGGAAAAAGTGAATCGGGTGAAGAGGATAAAGCGAGATGCAGCCCAGCAATTGCTCTACATATTTAATTAGTTTCCGTTTCCGTTCATATTCGTAATCCGCAGCTGGCTGGCGGCAGCGCCCGTTGCACATGGCCTTTGTGCATTGTTCACCTCCCCAATGAATATCCTCCGCTGACAATGGCGCCCACCATTGCCCCAGACCTACTCGTTTTCCGCCTCCTCCTCCTCCGCCTCCTCCAGCGACAGAGAGGACAAATTGCGCTCTCTATCGGCGCCTGCAAAACGGTTGCGTAACTTATGGCCAGTCATCAGCCGAAAACTTTTGCTGGACGCTTCCCGTTTTTCGATTTGTTTATCATTTATTTAAATGGCCTTAGGGTCGGGTCGGCCTGTCCCGCCATTAAGCCGCTTCGATTCCCTTCTCGTTTTATTGGCCAAGACCAAGACCAAGACCCAGACCCAGACTGGGGCCGAGGCCGAGAGACCCAGACCCAGCACACAATGAGCAATGCTATTTAATTATGTTGATGAGCACGACCGGACAGGAGGAGGACAGGATTCCGGGACAGGAAGTGGCAAGGAAAACGCACAACACGCACAAAAAGCACAAATGCCTTCCCGCTCCGCCACTCCCTCCGTCGACATTCCGTATCCTGCACAGTGGGTGGTGGCTTCACTGCACGAGAGGATTCAAGCCGAAACAAGAAGCTGATGTCGAATCCACTATTTACCATTTGGTTGTTGCTTTGTTTACTTGGCCATCAGAAAGAACGATGTATGCCAAAAATGTGTTCATTTCTAGACAACCATAATTCAAAATAATCGTTTTGAAAACGGAATGCAATCATGTTTTTTGTATTATTTAAATGGGGAATAATATATTTGGCTTAATTTGTTAAAGGGCCAAGTTTTAGGAATCCGATGAAATCTTGGAATCCTTAAACATCTCACATATTATATATGCCCTATAAAATAGCTCCTGATAGCCTGCTACCAAGGTATCAATCAAGAAAGATTAACTAAATGTTCTTAACTCTCTGGTAAACAAGTCACAGTAACTTGCTGAACTTATAAGTTAATAGACATTCTCCTAGCACGTTTGGCAAATGATGATTACTTTTCCTTACTTCGATGAAGCCCATTTATTCATAGCTTTGAATCCGCGTGCTGTCTATTACCACATAAAAATGAGTAAATAAGTCCCTTTTGGGTTTAAAATCACAAATGGCACCTTGTCGCCTGCTCTTGGCGTGGATTATCCACCAAGGACATGCCACAAGATCCCAAGGAGCCAAGGAGCGAACGTGCCACCACATCTGTGTGCGGTGGCGCCCACTGTGCACGTGTTTCGCTTAGTTGGCGTGCAGGTGTCGCTGTCATGGAGCATGGGCCCAAGAAGCAGGTGGAGCCAGAGCAGGTAACCCCTGACACCTGCCCTCTAGTTGCTCCGGCACTGGCTTTCAATGCATATGCCCTCGTATACAGATTTGATGGCCTGGCCCCATTAGCCCCGCCGCTCCCCCTGGACACCTCAAGAATAATATTTATGAGGTCGGGCCGAGGGGCTGCAGCAGCTTGGGCTTGGGAAAACTATCAATAGCGGGTATCGGGGCTTAGTAGTTGGGACTGAGAACTGGGAACTGGGACTCACCTTTCTCATCGTTGGACGCCGTTTGATCATCACTCATCTTGACTGATTGTCGTCGTTTGGTTGGTTGTTGCTGCTCTTTCCTCCTCGTCCTTTGCTGCTACTGTTGCTAGCTCGCTCTTGCTTTAGCTGGGGGGTCCTTAGGGCAGTTGCTGCAGCATGTCTCTCTGGCGCTCTTCCTGGCACTCACGCCAGCAAGGCTTGTCACTCGATTTTCGAACACTGTGCATACGTATGTCTGTCTCTGTCTCACACTATATCAGGCGACCGGATCGCTCAGTTTACCGTTAATATTGTCACGCTTATCACGCTTGGGCCTTTCATTATGCCGACTATTGCTTGTGCTATGCAAATCTTATGACTACGACAGTTTCCAATAATGGCATTTGGCATCGCCGACGCCTCAGCTCGTGCCGCCTCCTCCTCCTCCTTTGTCGCTTTATCTTCTCCTTCTACTTCTATTGTGAGAGCTTTGGCTGGCTTTGTTGTGTTGATTATTGCTTTACATTTTGTGATGCGTCTGTTTGGTAAATGGAAGAAATAGAGGAAAAGAAATGTGTGTGAGAGTGGAGAGATTTAAGCTTATGTAAGACTGCCGGGGTGAAGACTTGGGCTAAATTAAATCCGTTCTCTCGGCAATTGCTATGCGTCGTGTCATGTAACGGTAATTGGCAAAGCGCTAATCCCCGTTAGCTCAGGACGCCGCACACACGGGCATACAGTACGTATACGTAACGACTCACTCGCCTTACGTATGTGTAATGTGCGTAACGGAAGAAGAGATAAACACCTGGGCAAGAAGGGACAGGGACAGATTGAGCGCCGCTTTAAGACTTAAAGCTTACAGGAGATAAAGTTAATTAACATTATGGCACACACACACACACACACACACCCTCTCAGACAATCTAGCAAAACACATACACACACTAACACTAGCCCAGCGCGCACAAAGTGAGATACCAAGAATTGATAAATGGCGCCCAACAAAAAGCAATGAGGTTGCGTGGGCGATGGTGTGGGAGGGAGGACCGACATGCTTGGATGCTGCTCATTGCTCAGCGCTTTGTTGCTGCTCCCCGGCATTGTGGTATGTGTGAGTATCGTATCTGTAGGCCTGCTTCCTGTGTTGGGTTTGTGTTTTTGTGTTTTTCGCCAACTTCTTGACACGTCTGCAAGCGAGCAACTGACGCGAAAATGGAAAAGCGTTAGATGAAGGCGCCCATAAAATATTCAATATCAAGTTTCCACCGGTCCCGTGCCGTCCCCTCGTTATGGCAGTTGATGTTTGCTGGCGGAAATTTGCTCGCAGCAAGAAAAGGCAGGTAGGCAGGGAGCAGGAGATGCCATTAGGCCAGGTGAGGAGAGTCAGACGCAGCGCCATAGGAGATCCGAAAAAGAGATCCACCTGCAGCTGGTCCGTCCGTACACACAAATCGTGAAAAATACTTTTATTACAAACAATAAGAGCGGCGCACGAGGCATTAAACAATGTGTTGTTTGTTGGCTTACAATTTTACGGCGGGTCTTCCCCTTGGGCTTGCTGCTGGCTGCTTGCTTTGCTTACTTTGCTTGCCCCCTGCTCGCTTTTCGGTTTTGCTGTTTTCTGGGCGTGACCAGCACAGCACAGCAGAGCAGCACTGCTCTGCTGGTTTTAAAGTTGGCCCATAAAAGTGCGGCGGAGGCAAGCAGCAGAGCTTTGCCAGTTGGCCCCTAAAGTTGTGCTACAAATTTGGTATGACTCCGGACTCCTGCTACATTCCCGCCTTGCCAACCTCCACTCTCCGCACGAAACGAAACAAAAAGTGTGGCCGCCTAGTTAAGTGCACATCAAGAGCTAATTTATGGCCCCAATCCTCATGCCACCATTGCCTCCGCGGCCGCCGCCGCCACACTGCGGTTGTAGTTGTGGGCGGCCACCGCACACACACACACACACACTGAACATACAGTCATACAGGACTCTCGCACATTTGAATGTTCGATTTTACCTTTAAACATTTGCGTTTAATTGTTGTTTACTCTCCGTTTGTTGCAGTTGTAGCAGTGTATGGATGTTGTTGTCGGGATGATAGCGGGGCTTTATGTAATCGCTGGTGTGTGCTTGCACTACTTGGTATACGTATACGGTGCGCTATTCTATTTCTATTTTCGTATTTCACTTTCTTGGGCCTGCAATACACACACACACACACATACGGCTTACACACTTATACCTTTGCACTTCACTTTCCATTCGCGTTCGCGTTCCATTTTCCACTCACTAACTCCCGTTAGTTTTGCTGCTCCGCTGCTCCTGCTCCTGCTCCTACTGCTGCTGTGTTTTATTTGATTTTATTTTACATTAATAACATTTTTATTTAGTCGCAACTGTGCAACAATGCGGGGGGGTGGGAATGAAACGGAACCAGCAACAAAAACAGAAACAAAGCAAGGAAAAAACTTTGGGCACGCACATTGTTTGACAAACACACACGCACACACAGCAGAAGCAGACTGAGAAGTGTTATTACAATTTACTGTTGATTTCTTTTGCCAACCAACTGGCGAGTGCGAGCGAGTTAGCACAATACAATGGCCCCTTCGCCTCTGCGTATGGCTGTGTGTGTGTGAGCGAAGCGTGCGAAAGAGCGCGAAAATGTAGGTTAGTTTCCGTTGTATCCCGATGGCCCCTCCCCCCATCCCTAGCAGTAGCAGCAGCAGCAGCAGCAGTAGCAGTAACAGCAGCAACAACAACGTGCAGCACACATTTCACTCTATTTTTGGGCGCTGAAGAATTTTTTGCCCGCTGCCTCCGCCGAAATGCACTTATGTGGCTGTACTAGTGAGTGTAGTAACTGTAAACTGTAACTGTATTCGCACACGTGTGCGTGAGCGAGTGACTCTGTGTATTTCCTTTTTCAGGCTTTTCACTGCTTTTCACCATATATTCCTTGGCCGTGTCCCACTCTACGTAAGTGCGCTCGCATGGCGACTGCTCGGCTCTAAGGTTCGTCGGCGACTGAGCTCGGCTAACGGGTTTTCCTTTCCGTTTGACGTAATCTGCAGGGCGACCGCGATGCAGAGCGATGAAAAAACACACTCGAACTTCCCTGTATTTTCGCCTAAAAAAGGACTCGTCGGGAAATGCTCTCCCTCGCTGTTTGCCTTCGTCGCTCGCGCTCTCTCCTCTCTTCCAGGTCAGCCGGCATAAACAAATGCCGTGCCACATGCCACACTCACACACTGGCACGCTCATGCCACACGACCATAACTTCCCCATATTCCTGGTCGTATTCCTTGGCTGTTGCTGCACCGCAGGCTTCCTTCCCTCGCCGCTTTTCCCTGCTGCGGGGTAAAATGTCAAAATGATTAAGCTTGAATATGGGCCACTGGCTAACAAAGCCAGCACCAGCGGCATGCGGACGGACGCTGTTCATCAGTCCAAGTGCGGCGGCCCCCTTTTCCAGCCCGCCTTCGATTTCCGCCTCAGGTCGCTCGGCACACGCCGCGTATACGTAATGTGCAGCACGTGACGCATACGCAACGTTGGCCGGGGCGTAGATCCGCGGATCAAGCCGCCGCTCCCTTTCGTAATGCCAGATAAGCCGAGCCACTGATAAGCTGGCAGAGTCCGAGTGGCAGCCCATTTGGAAGCTCAGTTCTCGTCGAGATTCCGCCAGAGACGAAAGAACGCGGAAAGCAAAGTTCCCCCGCTACGATCGCAGTTGCAAGTGTCCCAGATAAAGCTTATCGGGAAACGGGAAACGGAAGCCAGCCTAGGCCAAAATGCGTATTTTTTGGCTGTGGTTGCCCCTTCTGGTCCTCGTCCTACTGACGATGGTGGCAGGAGAGGGTAACTCTACCCAATCTACTTCAGCTCCTCCCCGCAGTACTACTACTCCCACCACCAGAGCACCCACTAGGGCTTCCAATCACACCGCTGGCTATGAGCAGGCCACCCAGCAGATCCTGAAAAAGGCCACCGACCGCATGCACTTGATCTGGCACATGAAGCGGCGCATCTTCCTGCAGCTTACGGCCAAGGGCAAGTCGCCGCTGACAGGCGGCCAGGCCTTGAGCGGCAAGATGGAAGTGGAGGCGGACACCTACCGACTAATGTACGACCTGGCGGCCAATCTGAGCAGGGTTCCAGTGGCTTTGTTGGGCGATCCTTTGCTCCGCAGGCGAGTGCAGCGCCTGGCCAAGCTACAGCTGCAGGGACTGAAGCCCAAGGACTACGAGCAGGCCAAGGATCTGCTGAGAACGACGCACAACTTTGTAAGTGGGCAGATAGTCTGTCCGCAGGAGGATTGCTCTGTCCGCGGACCGCTGGCCATGTACCCGCAGATAGTGAACAAGAATATGCGCAGCAAGCTGTACGAGGAACTGCTGGTGAGCTGGTTCAGCTGGCGCAAGACCATCAACGAAAAGGAGCTGGCCAAGTCCACGTTCATCGACTATGTGCGCCTGCTGCGAATCGCTGCCACCTACAATGGCCACGTGACGCCCTCGCGCACCTGGTACCTCTATTACGACACGGAGAACTTCCAGGCCGAGCTGGAAGCGGTCGTCTGGGAGATTATGCCCCTCTACCGGGAGCTGCATGCCTATCTGCGACACGAGGTCCAGGTCTTCTACCCCAAGGCGGACACCAAGAGCGACGGCGCCATCTCCGCTCCAGTGATGGACCAGATCCTGTCCCAGGACTGGTATCCCCATCAGTTCTTCCGCACGCCGCATCACAGTCGGCAGCACCAGCTGCCCTCGGTCCACCGTCGCCTCGAAGAGGTCTTGGTGACGCCCGTTAAGATTAACCGCAAGGCTGCCGAGTTCTTCGAGTCGTTGGGACTCAACAACCAGTCCGCGTAAGTTGATCCCCTAATCCCATAGGATTAAACTTACTCTGGAAATCATCCAACTTTCCCTATTCCCTAATCCAGTACTTTCTGGGATCGCTGGTCCCGCCGGATGAACGACGACGATGGCGGGCTGGAATGCAAGTCCCAGGTGTACTACTTTCCGCCGGACGTGGCCTTGCGCTACTGCCCCAAGCTGGACTACAAGAAGATGATGCAGATCCACGGTACGATGTCGGAACTGCAGTACAATATCTACAAGCTGTCGCAGCCTTTCGGACTGGACACGGAGCCATGTCCTGGCTTTGGCGCCGCCATAGCAGAAACGGCGATCCTGGCCTCCGGCACACCGCGTCACCTCGAGAGGCTGCACATCCTGCTGAACAAGAGCCTGTCCGAGGAGCAGTCGCTCAACCGGCTGTTTCGCATGGGCGTGCACACGCTGATCGCCGTGCCCCAGTATTTTATCAACGACAAGTTCCTCGTGGACGTGATGGACGGCCGCATTGGGGTTAAGGACTATAACTGTGCCTACTGGAATCTCCAGGACAAGTTCGCTGGCGTTCAGCCACCAAAGCAGCGCAACAACAAGGACTTTGATCTGGATTTTAAGTTCTATCGCGGCTTGAATCCGGAAACCTCCAACACCAAGTCAGCCCCTGTAAAGAATATCTGGAAACCCTTTTATTAGCTACTCTCTGCCCACAGAAAATTCCTGGCCGAGATTCTGGGCTTCCAGTTCTACCGCTCCTTCTGCCTGGCTAGCGGCCAGTACAGGCCCGGTGATCCGGAGTATCCGCTGCACAACTGCGACTTTTACGGCAGCAAGGAGGCGGGCAAGAAGATGCGGGACATGATGAAGCTGGGCTCCAGTCGTCACTGGCGTGATGTGATGGAGATAGCCACCGGAGAGCGCAAGCTGAGTGGCCGCGGCATCCTGGAGTACTTTGCTCCTTTGTTCACCTGGCTGAAGGAGCGGAACAAACAGCTGGAAATTGAGCCGGGCTGGGATGCCGATGAGTGTGAGTACATAAAGCAGGAGATGAGTTCTTGCAGTTTTTACTGAAATTTTGTGCTTCTCTTTGTGATTTTGCAGTGTGCCGCAGGGATTAGACCCAACATAAAATAATCCTTACTTACACCTTTTGGTACCTTATTTTTTAACCTCTGAATAAAATATTTGAACATATTTTATGGTGATTTCAAGTAGGTATATTCAGGGATTCTTAAAAAAAAGATCTTGACAGAAGGGGTTCAGATTTACTTGAAGACAACAAAGCCCGGTTGTCCTGGTGCAAGGACTCTGCTAATGTAGAGCGCCTGTTTCACTTAATAGAAAAAAGAACAATAAGCTCAACGACTTTGTCCCCATCCTGACTTTTGCCAGGATCCCTGCGGGAGGTATTCGTCTCTCTAAAACGAAAGAGTACACCTTTTGCGAAGAAATTTCCACAATGGTTTTACAATGTAACAAAGCTGAGTTCAATTCATTCGCGCATACATATTTTAAATGTTTATTTACAAAGGCACTTTGGTAAAACGACAGAATCTTACGTCTACTCTAGGCACTACACATATCGTTAGCTTACGGATCGAGTGGACAGTTTCCATGTGGTTAAAGCGCAGAGTGGGTATGAACATGGCTTGTTGCACAAGAATATAAATAGCAATGACAGCACTGGCCGTGATGATGATGATTGTTTGGGTGGTGTTCCGAGATCCATTTTGGATGAGGGCGAGACAGAGGACGGACTGGGCGAGATTGCCACCGAACGCTTCTACATGGTCGTCTCCGAGTCGGGCGGCGTGTGGTAATTCAGATTGTAGGCGGGCGGGCCGTTGTTAAGGAAAGCCATCGAGCGGATGCTCTCCCGCGACGCTGTCCGCTTGGAGAAGCTCATGGCGCTGACGTAGGCAGGCGCCGGGTCCATGGGCGGCGGCGGAAGATAGTGTTGCTGCTGCTGCTGCATGTGCATGGGATGCTGCTGGTAGAGGGGCGGCGTACAGGGAGCCTGCGGCGGACTGGCACTGGCCCCGTTCAGTCCGGCGAAAACGTTCTCCCCGGCGGCATTCCCGTAGGCGGTGGACAATGGCCGGGAACCGTGAAAATTGGAGTAACTGGAACGCACTGAGGGCGGCCGATTGTTGTACATCTCGTCGGGCGCGTGGCCCACGTCGTTTAGGTGGGTGGTGGAGTGCTGGTAACTGGGATTGTAGTGTCCTCCGCCCGACTGCAGAATAGATGATGATGATGCAGGCGCTGGGAGCGGCAAAGGCGGCGGTGGTGGCAGGGTCGGCGAGCCTGGCTCCTCGAGCACTGCCCCCTGGCCGTTGGTGTTGTAGTAGATGGGGTCAAGCGGAATGTTCTTGCGATAGCTGTGGTAGTAGTGCCGGTTGCTCTTGCCCAGGCTGCCCAGCTGACTGCCGGACACGTTGGTGTTGTTCACGATGTCGTCGTTGAGGGACTGCAGGTTGGAGGCGGTCAGCGAGAGCTTGTCCTGCTGCTGCTGCTGGCGGTGGAAGGAACCCAGGTGCGGCTGCTGCTGCAGCTGCTGATGCTGCTGGAGCTGCTGGTCAATGATCTTGGTCACCGGGTTCTGGTGATACTTTCTTCGCGAGCTGCGCGTACTGCTTCTCACATAGCTGCCGCTGCTGCTGTCCGCCCCGCCGCCGCCGTGACCCGAGTGGCCATGCTTGGATCTCAAGGTGCCGCTGGAGCCGTGATGCGAGCGCCTGCTGCTGCTGCCGCCGCCACTCGACTGGCGTCCTTGCGTGCCGCGTGCCATCACCGAGCGCCGCTTGACGCGACGTGGCGTCATGGGCTTGGGACTCAGCTCGCCACCGCCGTCCTGGTCGCCACGCGGATCGCCCAGTCCCAGGGCCATGGAGTGGCCGCCGTGCCGGATGGTGTCGCTGCTGCTGCCGCCAAACTCGATGGAATACAGAGACTGGCGGTGCTTGGACTGCTTGCTAATATGCTTCACTGCGTCGGGTGGGGGGGAGGAGAACGAGATTGGATCAGTCAGAGATCAGCAGAGCTGGAGCGTTATTTCCAAGAGATACGAGAGTTACCTGGGGGTTAGCTTGAGTGTGTGCTTTTATGATTGTAGGAGGAGGAGCTGTTGTTAAACAAGTTGGATTAGCTACGATCGGAGGAGAGTCGAGAGAGTTAGCGTTGGGTTAGAGCCACAAGTATGCTACGGAAAGCCAGCTACCGGTGAGAAAGAGGACAAACTACAGAGGAGGAGCAAGAGTCAGTTCTTTTGTTTTCTTCTTTTATTGGAAACGCTTCGAATCTCGCAAAGATCAAGGTCTAAACAGGGGAGTCTATCTAAACAGTAAATGGTAAATAGAGTCTAGGCTACGTAGGTTTGGATCTGCTCCGCGGTAATGCCTCAAGCTTAATACTTAGTACTAGGACTTAACAGTTCTATAAACCTTTGTTTCGTATAGCGAATCTCGCACTTAACCCAATAGGCAACGTTTGCATCGTAGTACAGTTTGTAATTTATCGTAAATATGTGTATATAGCATATATATGTATATTATTAGTTAAACAACAAAAGGCAGCGGCTGTTGCGGGGAGGCTGCGCTCTCCCTCGCATAACACATCAATATATGTATGTCTAATCTCTACTACAATCCGTCATTCTCATCCAAGGCATCTCTGTTTGCAATTGGCATTCTCATCATCGACAAATCTCTTCGTCCATCATCCCTCCGTCGGGATGATAGCGATAGTTTGTGACATTCTCATTCGCTTTGTGAAATAATCGTTCGTTTGTTTGTCGTTCATGTTCATGTTTTTGTTTATAGTTTATCACAGATCAACATAAAATTTGTTAGCGACTTTTCCTCCTTCTCCCTCCGACTTTTCTATCACAGCTCGGGCCGGGTCCGGGGAAGAGCCCCTAAATGTATGCACGCGCGTGTGAATATGGTACTTAGACTTAAACTAAAGACAGCAGCTCGTCCGAAGCTAGATCTGGGCATGGTAGCCGGCTGGTTAGGCACAACAAAGAAACAGTAACACGCAAATAGGTGTGTCCAAAGACAGCATAAACTGCAAGATGCTTAACGCAGAGCCAAATGCATGCGCGTTACGCATCTTGAACACTATAAGGTCTTTGGTATGTCTGAATGGGTAGTGTGAGGGTGTGTGTGGGGGAGTTAGTAACATCCTGCTCCTTAGAGAGCGTGATCAAAAGAGAGTCAGAGATGGAGAGACGTACTCTAGGCCTGGACGCCCACTATGGAGTTGCAAAAGGAGCGGGGACGGGACTTTTGGCCATTGCCATTGCGTCCACTTCGCCGGTTTACGTGCGGAGCTGCCTCCGCCTCCCCCTGCGTCTGCTCCACCAGCCGGTCGTCGCTCTGGGCCCGCACCACATACCCCGGAGGAGGGGCGCGTATCTGGTCGCAAAAGTTCACCGGAATCGGTGGCCTTGGCCGGCGATTACTGCGACGCACCATGGGCGAACCGTGGGGCACGGGCAGGTGTCCGTGTGCCGGACCCAACTGGGTGGGCATGGCATAGCGCTCGGCCACCTCCGGCGAGAGATCGGGATAGGGCGCTTGGCCCAGGCGCTGGTGGAAGATGTGCGGCCTTGGAACCGGAGGTGGTGGTGGCGTTAGGACGCCGTCCTCGCCCTCGCCATCCGCCTCCTCCTCGTCGTCGTCAGGCTCCATCTCTAGGCAACTGTGCATGGGCACCGTGGGCAGCGGAATCTGCGTGGGCCGACGGGCCATGCGAAGGGGCGAGGGCAGGCCGTTCTGCTCATAGGGATAGGCATTGTTGTTGGAACTGGAGCGAGAGTTCAAGTGGAAGACGGCAGACTGGGCATTGTTGTTCTCGCCGAGGAACAGGCCATTGGGCGTGGGACTCTGAAAGGGCACGTAGGTGACGCCATGGTCGCCGGGGGCGAATTGCTGCAGCGAGAAGTTGTCCTCGTCTTCCTCGAGGTTGCGCGACAGGCGCTCGAGCGGACGGACAGGCGAGGCCAGCTTGGAATCAATTCCTCCCTGAACAGGAAGCCCCGACTTGGGTGGCTTTGGCTTGTGGTGGATGCGGGCAAAGTGGGAGAAGCTGCTGCTGCCCTGGATCGAGTCAGGACTCTGGAAGATGCTGTAGTTGCTGTTGCTCAGCGAGGTGTTGCCACCGCCGGCCAGGTAGGGATTGGAGTTCTGCAGCGAGGCGTACGACAGCGAAGGCGTGGTCTGGGCGGACATGGGACTGGGGCTGATGGGGGCGCCCTTGTTGGCAAAGTGGTATGGGTTGTTATGGTGGTGGCGTGGGCGGCGCAGGCTGCTGCTGTTGCTGGGTGTTAGGTGTGGGTGCTTGTTGGCTTGTTGTTGTTGTTGTTGGAATGATGCGCTCTGGTTATTTGTTGTGTCTGGCGACAGCGGCAGCAGCGAGTTGGCGCGCTGCCGGAGATTATGGTTAAGTAGGGTATTATTGTTGCTGCCACTGCTGCCGCTGCTCAGCAGGTAGTTCTGGCTGTTGTTGTTGTTGTTGTGGCTACTGTTGTTGGTGTGGAATTGGTGTAGTTTTGGTTGCTGCTGCTGCAACTGCTCGGAAGCAGCATGATGAGGGTGGTAGAGTTTCAGTGAGTTTTGCTGCAGCTGCAGATGCTTGTTTGATTGCATGGTGGCGCTGGCAGATGTTGTGGGAATACTTGTATAGCTCACGTACATGGGATGCACCACGGTGTGCTGTGGACTCTTGGCGTCGCCGTTCATGAAATCGACTGTAAACCAGAAATTGATTAAGATGCTTTAACGTAGAAGAGAACAAACATCCGACGACGGCACTGTGCAGGAGTCAGTCTTCGCCCGAGTTTCCCTTCCAAAATTTCCATCCATTTTCGCTGCACAGTGTCGTTGTTTGGGATTTTCTTGATTGTTATGAGAGTGAATGACTTGGACTTGGACATAACATGGATTACAATACGAGTATATGTATATAATGGCGAGCTCTCGCGCACACAGTTCACAATGTGTTGGTTAATGTTGGGTATACACTATATATATATATATATGTATGTATAAATATGTGTTTAAATCAAAATAGTCGCATTCCAGGGTGCGGGTTTATGGGTGGGGGCTAGAGCCATATTATAGCTTACACATCGACAACACTGATATAACAATAAACAATCGTTTGCTGGCTCGGTGACGCTTCTCCTCGCCACTATTTCGCTTGGTACAAACATTCGCTTCACATTTCGGGGCGGGTAATCAGGGGAGTAATGCAGGTTAAGTGACATAGAGGGGAAATATACACACACAGATACCACATAAACCCACAGTGCACAGAGATAATAATGGGATTATAGTAAGTGAGAGTGAGGAGGGGTTAGACCATGACCAGTTTCGGGTGTTAATGGAGTCGAGCATGAAGTAGAGAGCGAGCGAACGCCACTTACATCTGTCGTCCTCATCGAGAAATATGCAACTGATCAGAATGGCACCCAGTATGCCCAGCAGCTGTGGAAGCAGAGCAGTGATTTAGCCAATTTACATAATTCCGGCCACTTGAGCGGCACCAACTCACCGCCAAAGCGCATTGCACGCCCGCCTGCACCGTCTCCACCAGCGGATAGTCCAGCAGGCAGTCCTCCACACGCTCCGGTCGCTGCGGCCGAAACGGATCGTCAGAGGTCATGTTGTAGGTGGGCCGGCAGCCATAGCCGTTCGCCTCGAACCAGGAGACGCTGCCGGTGCCCAGGTTGAGCAGGTCACTATCCTACAAGGCCCCCGAAAAATGGATAATTAGCAAAGAAAGTGGAATCTAGAGCAGGCGCAACTCACCCTGTCCAACTGCCCCACATTCAAATAGAAGCAAATGAGAAAGGCGTTCCAGCCGATCCACAGGAAATTCCAAATTAGATACTGCAAAGGAAATTGGGGTTATCTGTTATCGTCGATGGCGATATGATAATGCGTTTTAGGGGCACTCACCGTAATGATGTACTTGACGCGAAAGTGATAGGCGCCGTAGAACCCGAATATGATGAACAGAATGTGGAAGAAGTTCACCAGTATCGGAGCCCACATGTACCCGAGGAAGTCGAATACCTGCCGCTCCACGATCGTTATCTGCGGCACACAGAGCGATTACAGATTACGATACAGAGCTCTTTCAAATAATCCCCGGAAGGCGGCATACTCACCACTTGCAGGAAGCATATCGACAGCAAAAAGTGCCGCCGCGTACAAGAGCACGAGCCCATCACAACATCATCATTCCATCCAGAAGTCTATGCAAATAATCTCTACGCCGCGCTCTCGCTGGCTATCTCTCTGTTTGGTCCCGTCCTGGCCTTATCGGGCCTGGAACTGGAACTGGCTGTCGGAGTGGAGTGTTGCCGTCCCCGTCGCCTTCAATGGCATTTCCGCGTCGCCTGCAGACAGCCCTGCTGCAAGTCAAGCGTGGCAAGTGCACTCACACACACACACACTAGCTAGCCGTCGAGAACGCACAGGTGCAGGAGTAGGAGCCAGGGGGCGAGAGAGCGAGAAGGAATGCAGCTGCCTGCGCTGCACCGAACAACAAAAAACCTGATCTGTGTGAACCGGAGAGTAAATAAAAAGAAATTAAATGAGTTGAGCTACCGAGAGAAACTCTACACACAGGCAGGCACACACACACACACTGGAAGCATATCTACCAACACACGCGGACGGTCCCTAGCTCACGTAACGTAAACTAAACACGCACTATTTTCGCCCATTTCATCTCGGAGTACACATATTTCTGGCGCTGGTGCTTCTGTTCAGTGTCCAGGTCAAGTATGAGCAATTAATTAATTAGCACACAGCAGCCAGCGAGCAGAGCGAGCTGAGAGCAGCGATCTCAATTACGCCATTGTCTATATTTGTTGGGGTTTCGCCTGGCGACTCACTGCGATCCAATCAGGGCGACTTCGCGGTAATCGAATTAAGAATTACTTTAATGGACAGCACATTCATAAGCATGCATATGACTCAAACGCAAAACCCATCAATTTCATTTGTTTTCCGCTTGCGACACGGAAGCCCCACTCACACACACACACACACACACACACGTACAGAGTCACTGACCACACACAAACACTGGGACACGGGAAGCACTTTCCATATGTTTGGAAAGGCTCCAGCTCCAGTTCAGCGCTATCTGTCCCCTCCCGCCCACTTTACATAATACGAGGCACCGAGCAGGCCGATTTATTATCACGGGAAATTAATAGTTTACGGACTTACGTCAAGAACAAGTGCGCGACACGGTTTTTTTAAAACTAATGTGCCCGCAGATTGTTTGCTTGGAATAACCACCGTACTTTTTGGGGGAACACTGAAAGTATTTCTGACTTGCCGAGCGTTTGGTCACACTTATAATATAAAGGTAAAGGTGTAAAACTTCGCTTAAATGGGATCAAAAAATGGTCCCCATCTTGAATTTAAAAATTTCCCTGACCGTTACTTTTCTAATTAATTCAAGTTAACTGGCTTTACCAAAACCACCAGAATAAATAAAAACACTCGACATATTTTGGGTTAGTTTAGTTTATTCTGTATGCATATTGTATAATTTGTGTCGTTACCGGTTATCATACATAAATAAATTAAATTTTGCTCGTTTTCTTCTCTCGCCTTGAGTTCGGATTATTTTGTCGTGTTTGAGGGGGACCCCCCCAAACACCATAAAATATATATTTCAAACTCAACGTATGCTGCTTGCATGTCTCCTTTCACTTTTTATTGTGGCTAAGTCAGTTTTCGATTAAGATTTCTCGAAATTCTCAATTTTCAATGCTCCAAGATGCTTTGCATATTTCCACTAGTCAACATATAGTATTAATATTATTATTCATGGTGTGTTTTGTTTTTAGGTTGTAGTGTTTAGCTAGTTTTTGAACTCACAAGTTCTTCAATTCAGTTGTTCTCAGTGTATTGTTTTCGGCCGCAATGGTTCCTACGTTTCGTCCTCGTCTCTCTCGTCTAAAGTTCATGTACATGTCCTATATATCCATGTTTATTTACAGTTTTACAGCAATTGAGAATACAATAGTAAAATGTTCGCTTTCTTTTTTGGGGCTGGGAATCGTTTCCGCTGATAGTTTGTTTCCTCTTTTTTTTTTTGGGTTTTGTTTTGCTAATCTTTCTCCCTAATCGGTAAATAAATTGTTTCCTTCATTCGATTTCATTATCATTTTCGATTCGTTTCTTTTTGTACAAATAGACGCGCGCGTGTTATCTTTGTGTGTGGTGTTATCAGTCGTTTTTCATTTACTTTACATGAATGTGTGCGGGGGAAATTATTGTTAAGTTTTACTTGTAAATAATCCTCTTCTCCTCGCTCCCATATAATATGTTTTTGCATGCATACAGGTTGTATTTACCAGAATTGTATTTCTAAATTGACACAGATAATTTAGGATCGATCACAAAGCGTAGTAAAAATGAGAAAAAGATAGTTACAGCACACGCCGGGGGCCAGGGACAGACGGGGTAAGTAAAAAGGTGTCCGCCCTCGTGTGTATAATATATATATATATATATATATATATGATACAATAATTACATGAATATATATCTATATGTGTGTGTGTGTATACATATATTTATAATAATATAATATGTTAGTTAGCTTCCCACCGCGCTCCTTCTGCGCTCTCCAAAAAAGTTTGATATACAAATAATTCGACGTAATTCCACCTGTCTGCCGCACATCCTGTCACATCAGCAGCGAGTTGTGCAACTGACAGCGGATGGAAAGTTCCTGGGGGGTCCTTGGGGGCGTGCTGGGGGGGGCCTAGTCTTACTGCATAGCAATGCGATTACGTTACAGGACTTATGCGTTAACGGGAAGAGATTACACAGACAGAGACTGTTGCGTGGCCTCTGGACTGCGCTAGTGTGTGTGGGTTGTGGCTGCTCCTGGAATTAGATTCCCCGGACTGTTTGTTAGGAATGCATCTACACCTGCTCGGATCCTGTCTCCGAATCCCTCTCCGTGCCTCGTGTGTTCTTGGCTGACAATGGATCAGTCAAACTTTACCCATCGCCGCAGCTCCTGGGTTAAACAAGCTTCGCCTGGCTCCTCCTTACTTCTTGCTCTTGCGCTTCTGCTTCGGCTCCTCAGCTCCGGCCGCTCCAGCTCCGCCTGCCGATGCAGAGGCGGCGGCCGCTGCTGCAGCTGTGGCGGCGGCATTCAACAGATTCATGTTCGGCTTTACCGTTCCCTTCTTCTGCGTGGCCGGTTGCTGTGGAGTGGCCTGCGTGATGTTGTTATTGGTGGCACCTGCCCCAGCTGCTGCTGCTCCACCTGTCGACAGATTGTTGGCCGGCGTGGCCGGCGTCTCGTCCAGGAAGAGCGGATTCTTTACCTCCATTTCGCCGGTGGGCGCCAGGCCGGGGCACTCGTACACGGTGTAGTCGCCCTCCTCGTTGTCATCGTCGCTCTCCACGTCCGAGAGGCTGCAGCTGCCATCGGTGGCCTGGCAGTTCTCCATGGCGATGATCTGCTGCTTCTGGTGCTGATAGTGGTACATCTGGGCGCTCTGGGCCAGCTTCCGGTCGCCGGATGGCGAGACATCCTTGTTGGGACCCGTTACCCCGTAGGCGGGATACTCCACATCCGCAGCCGCTTTGTGGCGATTGTGGAACCTGTTGAAGATTCAGAGATTATCGTCTGAAATATGTAGCCCAAGGATCTGGGGGATACTTACCAAGTCACGCCCAGGGCCAGCAGCCCCACGGTCACCGCCGCACTCACGCCCGCTATCAGGGCCACGATGTACACTCCCATTTCGCTGTTCATTCCCAGGTGCTGGCGCAGCACGATCTGCTCTTGGCTGGCCACGCCATCGTTGACTAGGGTCAGGTGCGGGGACTTGCTCTGCTTCTGCAGTTTGTTGATCAGGGCATTCAGCTCGTGCGGCGATACGTCCTTGCCCTGCGGTAGATTCACTCCGGCCACGGCCGCAGCAGCTGCGGACTGGGGATTGATGCGATGGAAGTTGGCGCTGGCCGCGTCCAGCAGCTTCGGCGGCTCCACGGGCACGGGAGCCGGTACTGGGGCCTCAATCTTGGTCTTGCTGGAGGCGGTGGCCACCTCGGGAGTGGGCTCTATCGGAGCATACTCCTCGTAGTCTTCCAGGGCGCGTGAATCGAGCTCGCCCGAGGGGTCGTTCGGGTTGTCGAAAAACCGGGCATCATTGGGACCCACGGCAAAGGGAATCCGATCCCTAAGCACACTATTCCGGCCGGGCGACGACTTGGGCAAACTGGGCAGCGGTGGCAGGTTGGGCAGGCGAGGCAGGTACAGCGGCGGGGGTTGCTGGACATCCGGCACCGCCTCCAACGGACTGCCATAGCTGGCCTCCGCCTCTGCGTTGTCGTACTGATCGTACTGCTGCTCCAGATTGTTGCCCCCATTGGCCTCGTAGTCCTCCTCCTGCTCGCGCCGCACCTCCAGCTCCTGCTGCCGTTGGCGGTATCGTTCCCGCTCAAGCAGCTGCCGCTGGCGGTCCATCTTTAGGTTGATCTCGTGCAGCTGCTGGTCGAACTGCTGCTGCAGCCGTCGACGGGCGTATTGCTCCATCATCTGGGCCAAGAAGGCATACTCCTGCTCGCTCTGTGGATCCATCACCGGTGCCTGGATGGGTCTTCGGCGTAGTCCTGCGAAGGAAAGCGGATTCATTAGTGGGCGCGGCGGGCAAGGTGATTATGTTAATGTTAATGAGCCTGCGGCCGCCGCCGGTGGCCTGCGTGTCAGCGCAAGGCTCGGAAAATATTAAGAATATAGAAGGCAAGGACCGAAAGGTCGAAAATAGCGCAGCACGAAGGTCTGACCCTACCTCCTTGACCCCCCCCCACCAATGCGAGTTCCAGAAAGGATTCGATTCGAAATAGACAAACAAAAGTCCGTTTTTATTGCCGGAGAGGTTAAAAATAGACCAATTACACACGCGCCCAGCGAGGGATCCTTGGTGTGAGGGAGACCACCATACAGACGGGGGCCGAAGCCTGTGACGTGCTTCCGAAACTTTATTGCCATCGGTTGTTGTTGTTTTTGTTGGTTTTATTTTTGGTCTCCATTGTTGCGCTCAAATCAAGAAAGTTATGTGGTGCAGGGGTCTAATACGCACTAATAGTGATTGGAAATCAACCTGGGCAGGTGTCGAAAAGTATGCTATAAAAAGCGAAGACTATAAATAGTTCTTAGGAGGTCCTTTTAGGGAGTTTTTAAAGCATTTCGCTTTGTTAAAGTAACTGAAAACTATGCAATAGACTATGAAATTAAAAATATTTAAGGTTTTAAATAACCAAAGATTGACTGATAGACTTTATTTGCAAGTTTTCCTGCCGGATTTCCGCCTTGCAAATTTCCAGCTGCTAGGGGGGTGGTGTGTTTGTGTGTATTTCCTGTCTCTGTATGTGTTTGTGACGCTGCATTTCACTTGAATTTTCGCCGAAGTGAAAGAGCGTGGGTGTTTTGGTTTGATTCGTGAATACCCCGCACTCACACCGACACCGACACACGAAGGCAGGACATACCCTCGCTCAAGTATATACTATACAAGTATCTAGTGCAGGGGATACACAAAACGAGGTGGTAAACTCAGGCCTGCCCCCTTCGCCTCCTCCTGCTCCTCGCACTGCTGCTTACTTCCTGCGCCATTCACCACGCACCCAAACTTAAAACTAACGCTGGCTATATGTGTGTTGGGTGGTTGGGGGGCGACTGAAGTGTGATATTTTTAGGCTCACCTGGGTAAACGGACATTTCGCAGTGACCCACTATGCAGCAGAGCAGCGTTGCAGCCAGGGCGAAGCTAACGGTGATTTCCAGGCGAGCCGCCATCTTGCACTTGCAAAATTCGATTTTCTCCTCAGTTCTTCGGTCCTCTAGTGTCTCTTGTGTGTTCTTTTTTTCTTCTGTAGTTCGAAATTGGCTAACAATAATGCAGTGCCTCTGCCATATGGCCGGTTAATGGGGCTGCTACACTTGGCTGATGCTTTTGGCCAAAACGACTACGTCGTCGACGGGGCTTATTGATTTTCGACACCCCCTCACACTTGCACACACTCGGGTAGTCACACACACACACACTCTTGGTGGCAGCTGCTGGTGGTTGCTCCCCAAACTTTTCGCGGCGTGGGCGTGCAATATTTCGAGCAATTACCGTTGCTTAACGCCACTTTTTCGACACTTTTCGAGCGTTGACCGTTAGACGGATGCACTTGGCACTGCCACCGGCTGGCGGAAAGGTCAAATGTTGCACTTTTCTTTTAGATTGCAGGCGAAAAGACTGCGGACATATGGACATATGGAGCTGGGGATTTTGGGGGACTCGACCTCCTGATTCCTGGGCCTGCGTTGCTGTGCCGTCGACGTATACCGTTATACTGAAGAAACTGAATGAGCCTGGCGGCGGCAACCCGAACGACACGACGCGACAAGACACGACACCGAGTGGAGTGCTCCGAGAAGAAGCAGAAGCTGTGACGCAAATGTTAGGTCCGCCCCCGCGCTGTTAAATGTTGCGGGCAGCTTTTGGGGGCAGAGCAACGGGCACCGTGGTGGAGCCCGAGGAGGCGCCTGCGCTCACGGGTCGTGGAAAGCTCAGCACGTCCCATGGTTCTTTGAGTAAACACTGGCGCATTCATAAAGAGCCGAAGCGAACTCGACTCTCGACAGCTAGCAGGTGGCTGCCACTCACAAGTCCCCGACCCCAAGGATCTCGTCCCACTCCTTCCCTTTCCCGCAGCTTTTTCGCTTGGGATAGGGCGCGCTTTATTTTTATCAATGAATTTGCAGCAGTAGAGCTTTTTTCCCCAGTGAAAGATGGAAGATAGGGTGGAGGTGGAGAGTCCTTAAGTGCAGATTATTGGATTATTATGATTCGGTCATTCATCAAAAGACTACAGGTTACAAATATTAAACGATTGGTCCTTAATCAATGGACGTAGCCTGTATATAAGGTTTTAAATTATAGAAATAGCTCAAATTAGAGGGTATAAAAAATAAAACCAGCTAGGGCTATCCCATTTCTCTTTCAGTTTTTACCCATTCATGAAAAGCCTGTCATTAATAACGAAAGCTTGAGGGGACTTAAAGGAACTTTAAGGACCTTATCTGAGTCCCAAACCAAAAAGATGTATCTACTAATTTAGACTCTTTGGTATTTTTCTGGTATATACTTATACACAATTTTGGTATTTCAGCTGGCCATTTGCAGTCACACTGAAAAACCAAACGAACTACACTCTGTGAGTGTGCTGTGAGGCGACAAAGGAGAAATAAACAAACACAATGGCCACTTTAAAGGGTAAGGGTAATTATGCAAAGACCTCTAAGGCCCAATTAACACTGAGTTTTCCATCTATTCTCTGCACTCACCTCTGATCCGCCACCTGTCCCGGGATGGACCTGCAGCGTAAGTCTGGGCCCACCCCCGCCTCTGAACGATTAGTTATGAGTTTTCCCTTTGCAGCCTCATCATCTGCGCATTCCTCACTTGCATGGGCCTGACCTTCCTGATCCTGGCTTGCGCGGTGCCCACGCCCAAGATCTTCTATCCCTTCTTCGTGCTGCTCTTCTACGCACTGTCCGTGCTGCCGGTGTTCATAGCCAAGCGAACCGTTCCAAATGGGGAGACCAACCCCAAGACGGAGTTCGCACTCTTCCTCACCGCCGGCATGGTGCTGAGCGCCTTCGCCCTGCCCATCGTCCTCGCCCACGCCTCAGTGGTGAGTACCCCTGTGTCTTGAATGGGGTAAACCGCTTCTGATACGTTGAATCTCCTTCCCAGATCACCTGGACAGCGTGCACTCTGACGATAATCAGCAACCTCATTAATTACGGCACCATATTCGGCTACGCCATGCGCGACGAAGAGCCCTACGGCAGCATGTTCTAGGGAGGATCGCTTTAAGTCCAGCCATCGCGCAGTGGAAAGTCTCCGGCAGTCATTCAACCAATCTCATATAATCAGTGTATCCAGATAACATAACGCAAACGAAATAAACACAGTAGTAAATATTAATTCGGGTTATCTAGGGGGTTTTACGCATTATTGAATCCTAGATATTTTCGATGTTTTCAACACAAATATTCGAAAAATATAATAAAAATTAAATAAAAATACAAAATAATTATAAATTAATTTTATTAATAATATTATATATTACAAAAAAACGGAATATTTCATTAAAAAATACCAACTTTTTGAGATTTTTTAGGTGGAGAGTCAAATTTTCATCTGGCAACGCCGTCATGAGAGCCTCTATTTACAATGCGAATTAAGAAATATAGTTAAATGTGATGAATTATCACCGAAGAACATCTTTTAATTTGTTAATTTAACAGTCTTGAACATTTATATACAAGTTAAAACAGTATTTCAAGTGTTTCCTCTTCCACTAACTTGTTTTTTGTTGGTCTGGCTACGCCCATTTCCGGGTGTCCTTTGACAGATCAGTTGGTAGAATTAAGTCATTAAATTGTAATTAAAAATGGATAAGATTGTAAAAAAGGAGGAGATAAAAGCGGAGGACTTTACGGGGATTCCCTCGCTGAGCCTGCATGGCATCGAAGGCGACCCACAGGAGCACAAGGACTACGGCGATTCGCTTATAGAGGAGGAGCTAACCGAGGAGGACATAGAACTTGAGGATTGGAGTGACCAGGAATCCGTGGAATCTGCCGACACCGAGTTGACCCTGACGCAGGCAAACGCTACACATTACCAGCCCTTCAGCGATGAGCCGATGCGCAAGTATCCCTTCAAGCTGAAGCACAATGAGTCCGGGTGAGTCTGCTCCCTTTGAGGCATCGGAACTCTTCACTAACTCTTCACTGTTTCGCCCAGGAACATCCTCACCGTGCACCATACGGTCAAGGAAGAGGGTCAGCAGATGCGCATCCAGATCGGCGCCTGCTGCTTCAACGAGCTGAGCAACAAACTGGTGGTCATTGACAAGCGGTAAGAATATCCCCGAAAACTTGGAGTCCTTCTAAATCTGTATCTCTATCCCAGTGGCAACGTCTTTGTTTTTGACTTTGTGAGTAAACGCTACTGGCGCCTGGGCTTCCGGATCCCTAAGGCCAGGCTTATTCGTCCGTCGCCGCGTCACAGGAGCGACTACATCGTGGGCAACAAGGAGGGCCACATTTTCATCATTGATGTGGACAACTCGATTCTGGGCAGCCAAGGCGAGGTGGGCAGCTCGCCGCCCGACGAGATCACGTTCAGCAATCGCCTGAGAAATCCCCGTGCCGCCAACGTCCTGATGCGCTTCGGGCGCGAGGCTCTCCTAGTCAATCTGCAGTCTCTTCAGGTCTCCCACCAGCTGGACTTTGACGAGTCGCGCTACACGCTGAAGTTCGCCGCCTTCTTGCCCAACTCGGACCAGTTCTTCATCGGCTTCTCCAACGACTCGCTGCACGTTTGGTCCTCGCTTACGCTGAGCACCCTCCGGATGGCCCAGCCCATTAAGGCCAGGAACCGCAAGCTGCGACTGCTGCCGGCAGGGGAATCGATTCCTGAGATCTCTCTGCGTGGCTCCGATGATAGTGATCTGGAGGATGACCTTACGTTCGCTTGCCAGGACCACGACTTTGCCGATGGCCAGCTGCTGAGCTACTGCTTCACGCCGGACGGCAACAAAATGTGCCTGAGCACCGTGGACGGCTACCTGCTACTGCTGAGCACGGCGTCCTTCGACCTGGAGAAGCTCTACCGCCTGACCGATCTGGAACTCCGCCAATTGGCCTTTCTCAGCCAGCCCAAGGAGCGTGTGGTGTTCGGGATCACGAGACGTAACCAGGCCGTCATGCTGGACCTGGCCAATACAGACCACAAGCTGATTGTCCAGCCCTCGAAGGCCATTAGCCTGAGTCTGAGCAGGGATGGCAAGCTCCTGAGCATAACCTCCGCTGGCGGGGAGGTCAATGTGTGGTCCACATGCCGCCTGTTCAACGGTCTGCAGGTGCAGACCCGTTGCCTCGACCACATCAAGACCAAGATCCTAAAGAATCCAGCACCGCTGCCCCTTCCGCTGGTCTCCTCCAGGGCCAGCGGCTGCATGAACCCGGAGCTGCGCCATCTCCTCAAGCCGGAACGGCTGCGGGGCATGCTCAAGGAGTACGGTTGCTACCCGGAGAAGTACAGGTTCCTGATCTGGACGTCCCTCATGGATCTGCCCTGCAATGGTTCGCAATTCCAGGCGCTCTTGAAGCTGGGCTCGCCGCTGGTGCTCCGGAACCAGGCCAAGAAACTGAAGATTCGCAATGACGCTCAGCGGCGATCTGTGATCAAGATCTGGAGCTGCCTCTCCCAGTGGTGCAAGGTCCTGGCCCACGCCGAATTCATGCCGCACCTGATCTATCCCTTTGTAAAGCAGCTGCCCAAGAACGGTCTCGTCTCGTTCGAGGTGTTGGCCACCCTCATCTTGAACCACTTCCAGCTGTGGTTCGAGTTTCATCCCCTGCCGCCCGCCAACTACCTGGCCATGTGCGAGAATCTCCTGCAGCATCTGGACGAGGGCCTGTGCAAGTTCTACAAGGCCCAGGAGGTGCTGCCCAAGGACTACGCCTGGCCGCTGCTAAGCAGTGCCTTTGCCGAGGTCCTGGAGGAGCAACAGTGGCTGGTGCTGTGGGACAACATCGTCTCGGAGCCGCCCTGGTTTCCCATCTTTCTGGTGGTAGCCTACAACCTGATCAATCGCGAGATTATCATCCGGCTGCCTGACCAACGATCCGTGCTTTCGTTTTTCCACGACCAGAACCCGCTGGACATCGGGAAGCTGCTCTCCAAGGCCCGCAGGCTGATGGCCAGGTGCCAGCTGGCGCTGCATCCGCAGCGCTTTATGCAGCCCTTCGAGGCCATTCCGAAGGGCGTCTATCCAAAGTTCCTCAAGTACCCCAGCGAGTGGATTGATCAGCAGGAGGAGCAGGCCGTCTCTTTGCTGAAGCACAACCAGGAGATGGACGCCCGCATTCGGCACCTCGAGCTGGAGGAGGTGCACATCATGGAGCGGCTGGAGAACGGCCTCAAGCAGGAGGAGCATACACGGCGCATCAAGGAGATGGAGAAGCTCTACCAGGACACCATACACCGCGAGGAGGAGCGCATCACGTGCCAGCGGAAGATGCTGCTCACCTACCAAATGGAGGTGCGTCACCGCAAGAGCGAGGTCATCAGCAAGCTGCAAGAGTCCGAGCAGCGGCGCAAGGTGATAGAGATGGAGAAGGACATCGATCTGCTCATGCACAGCATCGAGCGGGAGCGTCGCCGCAACAACCAGCAGATGCAGCTGGCCGAGGACGAGATACGCAATCAGGAGATGGAGCTCCTGGCCCAGCGCTACTATTCCGAGTCGGCCGGCGCTCCGTTGGCTCGCAAGTACTACGACAACATCCAGCAGCTGTGCCGGCAACGGAATCAGTTGCAGCAGGATCTGAGAGAGGTGAGCGCGGTGCAGGAGGTTCCTGCTCTCTAGGAGTGAATATAACTTCTCTTTCTCCCTCATATGCAGATGACTATGGAACAGCTTCGCTCGCCCAAGACCTCTTCTGGCCCGTTTCGTTCCCCGCTGGCGGACATTGAGAGCTCCATCCTGGACATCCAGCGCGAGTTCACCGACATTGTAAGCTCAGAGACCACACTGACGGCCAAGTGACGTGGAGACAATGTCTCGTAATCTTAATTAGCATAACAAATGGCGGCCTTAAGGTACAAATAAATTCTAGGCTAGGAATATTTACATGGCATCGTGAAAATAAAATAAATAAAGGCATCTTCTGGGTCCTACTTCCTGTCCGCAGGCGAAGGCACTAGCACATTGGGCATATTGATGAGCAAATGGATGCTGGAGGGTGGAATCTGGAGCTGGTTGGCCATTACTAAAAGATTTACCAGCGATTAACCAGGAATTGAGATACTCTACTAAAAAAAGTCTTCTATCTTACCATCTGCCAAGCTATTCTGGCTCTTGTGCTGCTGCAGCTCCCTCTCCAGGCGGGCGATCCTCTCCAGCAGCTCCCGGTTCTCCTGCTGCAGCTGGGCATTCTGCTGACGCAGATCCTTGTGCTCGTTCCGCATCTTGTTGCGGTAGCGACTGGCGGCTGCCCGTCGCCTCTCCATGCAGTCCTCGTCCCGACTCCTGTCCTTGGGCTTCGTCGGCTTCGAGGGGGCAGAGAAGTGGCGTCTGTTGCTGCTGTTATTGCTGTGCAGGATGGCCTTGAGCCGCTCCTTGATGGGCAGCTGGGAGGTGGGGGTCAGGCTGGCGCTGCTCGGCTCCGGAGCTGGTTGCGGTGGATTGCAGGACACCAAAATGGGATCTGGTCGCCTGCTGGCACTCCCAGATGACCTTGAACTGGGCTTGGGGAGGATATAGGGGCGACTGGTGCTGCTGACTGAGGTCTTGCTGCGCTGGGAATCCGCTGGCGGCAGGGCATTGATTGACTGCGCTGGCAGCACCCAGGTGATGACCTGTGGCTGGATTAGCTGGAGCGGCGGTGGCCCTGCCTCTGCCTCTGCCTGCTGCTCGCTGGTGACTCCCGTGCTGGCCAGCAGCTGCTCGACGTCCACGTTGCTGCAGCTGTCGCTGCGCGTGACCCCGGAGTTACCAGGCGCTGGCGCCTCCATGGGGTATACCTGGGGCGTGTGCAGCGATTCACCTTCGATTGGCGGCGCCTCCGGGCGACTGGGAGTGCTGCCACTGACATTCTGCTCCGCCGCCCGCTGGAACCCGATGTCAAAGGGATTCACGTGCTGCAGGTCCTCGAACAGACCCACCTCATCGCAGTTCTTGATCAGGCGCGTGGGCGTGGGGGTCTGGTCGGCGGCGAAGAGGTTCTCCGACGACTTCTGGCCCAGCGAGAGGTCCAGCGAGTGCTTCACCTGTTGCCGGAAGCTCGGGAAGCAGGACACTTCGCCCTCGGCAAAGGAGACGCTGGCCAGGTCCGGCATGCCGGCGGGGTCGTCCATGGCCAGCCAGTTACATCAAAAACAATGTAAACAATGTAAACGAAGTTTTAAAGTTTTCCCACCTCTAGCAACGAACAGGCAAAATGACGTAACGAGTTGCCACTGCGTTGCAAAAACGAACAGGCAAAATGACGTAACGAGTTGCCACTGCGTTGCAAAAACGAACAGGCAAAATGACGTAACGAGTTGCCACTGCGTTGCAAAAACGAACAGGCAAAATGACGTAACGAGTTGCCACTGCGTTGCAAAAACGAACAGGCAAAATGACGTAACAAAAACAATGTCCAGTGTGGCTGCAAACTTTTAGAATGGCAGAGCTGCACCAGCACCTATCGATACCGATATTCAGATATCAACGGTTATCGCCCGCCAAGCTTTCAAATTTAAAAGTTGGCTTTCAGCTTTTTCATGACGCTGAAGAGCCTCGCGTTCTGAGCCATGTTTACGTATTGTGTTATGTAACCACACTATAAGGCAGCTGAGCCCCACTTTTGACATTTCCGCCACAAAATTGCGTATCGCCGAGTCGCAGCATGGCATCCGTCGCATCCGCATCCCAAAAAAGCCCCAGACTCTGCGTTCGCAGCACGTAGAAGCAATCATATATGGGCATGTGGGAAGGGCAGGAGAAACGAGAAACATTTTTGGCAGCCAAGAAAACCCCATAATTTAAAATTTTGTATCTTTTAAATTAGATTTCTCATTGAAGGAAGCGACGGACAACACAAAATACAACACGCAAAATGTTTTCAAGTCGCTCGCTCGCCGCTCGCATGCACGCAACGAGCGACGACGACGAAACGAGCAATTTTCTAAAACTCAGCCGCAAACTCGTCTTGTGGGTCAAGTTCAGTGCCCAAATACGTTGGCAACTCCACTTCCCAGCGACAAAAAGATGGCCACCATTCTCGCCGGCGACGAGGAGGAGGCAGAGCCACAAGATGCTGCATGAAAATTAAGAAAAAGTGATGCGTAATTACAGTCATTCTCTTTCACTGCAGCCCAAGCGGGCACATAGCCTTACCCCAGACCCGGGTACCCATGGCCAGAGCTATCCCGATCTCGGCATCCCTCGGCCACGTTGCATGCAGCAGCAGTCGCGCGTTTTTCGGACAGCGCGGCGGCCCGGTTGGTCCATGGATCTCCTGAGTCTGAGCCTGAGTCTGAGTCGGTTTTGGGTTCTCAGTTCCTCGGCAGTTCCCAGTTCTCGGTGCTGCCGGTAGAAACAATCAGTTTGAAGTTCGTTCGCATAATTATGGGCAATTTTCAAAGAACATGCGTTCCGATGAACATCTCTCTCCTGCTCGCATTCAAAGTATCATCCCCACACCCCATCCTGGGCCTCGTCTCCTGCTCCTTCCTCTTGGCTTTCCCCTCTTCAAGGCGAGGCTGCAGCATCGCCATCTTTTCCCATTGTCCGTCGGCCTTTTGTAGTTGGGTTTTGGGTGGATCTAGGAGCGGAGTTCGTTAGGAGCTTTATCTTTAATATAAAACAATGGAAAATACATTAAACTATATTATTTTGAATATCTATTAATAATATTATATCTATTTAAGTTTAGATTAATTCTATTTAGTAATATGAATACTGTTACGACTCTAGTAATATCCATTTAACTTACTCTTTTGTTATGTTTTTGGAAATCTTTTATTGAAAATGAAACAAAACTCTGATAATCTTGTAAACATCAAACAAATTATATCAAAGTATCTCTCTCTATTTTAAATTATTATTTAATTATTCTATTCTATGATTTATGATCCCCAACACGGATTTTATATTTATTTGAGTGCAATTTATACGTACAATTTCTTTGTACCATAAATACTCTTTATAAAATTATAAATTTTCACCAAACTAATAGATATTATAGACAACACTTGACCCTTAATGTTTTAATTATTTTTATGGCAGCTCTTCTCAAGAAACAAATTAACATTCCAAACAGGTTGCAGTTCTGCCTGCCGCAGGACATTCTCGGTTAAGAACCCTCATAACGGCATGTGCAGGACCCAGGATCTGCTGTGGCAGATGAAACAGAGGACCCTAATAAATATCCAACTTAGGCTCCTAGAACGCCCCACGTCTGCCCCGAAATTTTTCATATTTCCCGCTTGCATTTTTGGACACTTTGTTTGCTTTTCCCCGCGGCAGTTTTGCATATAAAATTTATTATTAAAAACCAAATGAGGGAGGACTTAAGCAGCAAGTAGTACGTTTTTTTTTTGGAAATTTATTCTCCGCTGGTATCTCAATTTCTTCATCGAACGACACAAAATTTTAAGGTGGTCTCGGCTGCTTTTGTTGTTACATTTTTTTTGTGCAACTTCCAGGGCCCGGGGGCTTTGTATAAAAAAACAAGAAAACTTCCTGTGCCGCCGCGACGCCAAATGGTTTCTGCTTTTCCGACGGCACCAGAGATACATTTCGCTTTGGCGGAGACTGGTGGGTCTTGGCTCTGGGTCTCAGTCTCAGTCTCGGTCTCGATCTCGAGCTTGGCTTGGCTTGGCGCTCCAATAATAATTTCATAATTATGGGTTATCTGGCAAGTGGCATTCGTAAATAATAAAAAGTAAAAGAGAGGAAACTACGCGATTCGCGCCGCAAAGTATAAAACCGAAAAAAGACGCAGCGACTTGCTGAGTTTTGGGGAAGTGGAAGTGGAGCTTTGGCCGAGATTGATTGTCGCTAATGGGCGTGCGGTTCCAGCGAAGAGCTATCCCCCCTAGCTCGGTTCCTCTCCGGGCCAGACAGAGTCCCTGTAATTGTTTTAATTGCTGCCCCTTGCTCGTTCCTCGTCTGCGCCGAAAGTAGATCAGGCGGCGGAATTAGAAAGAGTCTTCATATCTGCTGTGACCAATTAATTGTGACCTTGAGGTAGCAAGCTCCAAGCGAGCTCTGTGATCCCCCCTCCCTTCCCTGGACTATCTAACGGCAAAAGGAACCCCTGTAGCTCGTGCTGCGAACGCGCCACTCTCCTGGTCATCATCATAAGCCATGGCCGTCATAAGGATGGAGCTGGGAGCTGGGGGAAGTTGTCGGCGCTGCTCTCATCACGCCGTGATTCGCCAGATGATGGATTGCGTTCACTTTTGATGTATCTGGCACTTTCGGCTCGCTCACGTCCGCGAAGGCGCTGCCTAATTGCCTGGTCCAGGGGTCCAAAGAGAGATCCCCCCGAGATCTCCCTTGGTCCTGCCTGGCTGCGATCATTTCCATTTCCGTTAAGGCCGCCGCCAGAGGGCAGAGTGGTCCCAACTTTCGCTGGCCAAGACTCTTTGCCTGCCGACGATTTCTAACACATCCTGTCCAGAAGGCGCATCCTTGACTGGCTTTGCCGCCTAATTGGAGCCGCGTCTGGAGGCGGGTCCCCGCGGTCCAGGGCTTGTGTCCAACATGTGCCAAAGGGGAGGCGTGTTTTGGGTTAAGAAAAACCCAAGAAGAAGCCTTTGAAGAGGGCCCCGAATCGTAGGTAGAATTACCTCGAGGGCACACTACTCCTAAACTTCCAAAACTAAGCTCCTTGGAGACCTCGTCATCTAACGGTAAACGTTCTTAGACATTTGTGGCATTTAATTGCATGTTTCGGGGAGCAACTTCATTGGAATTTCAGACTAGAATTAAACAATAAAAAAAAAAAAACCAAAACAAAACATGCAACATGAATCAGAAAAAAAGAGAAAAAAACCGATGATTCGGAACCGAGAGCCCGCGGATCCATTAACTTAAATTGAGGCTCGGCTTCAAAATTCATCAATGAATTTCTACACTGCTCTTTACTTGCCATTAAATGTGGATTACTCAATGGGGGGGGGCAACTAGAAAAAAGACTGGGAAAATTTGGATTGTCCTTATTATTCTCTAGATTTCAGAAACCAAAAGTGCTTGAATTACCCATATTTGGTGGCAAGATTCTTAAAGCTTGACTTGAATTTGAATCTTTATTTTTGATAGGTAGGATCTATGATCGTTTTCTTTTAATTAAACTTTAATTAAATTGATGAACTTACATATATCAATTAAAATATACCATAACTAAGCCAAAAATGCATTAATTTCGATTCGGAAAGCAGTTTTGTGTTAGTTTTTATTAATTTAAAAAAACTGCATACCAAATTTAAAATTTTAACAAATCAAAATTTTTGGCCATTTTTGCTAATTTTAATGATGTAACCCCTTATCAAATTTCTCAAAAATGGGCAAAAAATCGATTTCTTCCGGACATGTCTAGAAAGATTCCCCTGTTGATGTTGATCAAGAATATATATGGTTTATAGGGTCGGAAATGATTCCTTGACTTAGAAAAATATTATTTTGTATTATAAAATCGGATTTTTTATATTAAAAAACTTCTTGATTTTTTTCTAAAATTAAAAATATCATAACTCGGCCAAAAGAGCATTAATTTTAAATCGGAAAACAGTTCTGTGCAAGATTTTCTACAGTTTATAAATCTGCATACTTCATTTAAAAATTTTGAAAATTCAATTTTTTTATCAAAATCAAAAATTTTAATGATGTAACCCCTTATAAAATTTTCCAAAAATGGCCAAAAAATCGATTTCTTCCTGGAATATCTAGAATGATTCCCCTGTTGATGCTGATCAAGAATATATATACTTTATAGGGTCGGAAACGTCTCCTTCACTGCGTTGCAAACTTCTGACTGAAATTATAATACCCTGCAAGGGTATAAAAATTATTACCTTCTGGTACACGGAGATACAGAGTTACCACCAGGAAACTCCTTTCAATAGATGATATTTTTCCTTATAATTTCCTGAGAAACTGAAAATAATATTATTATTGTGTGACAATTAAAAAATAAATTAAAAGCCATATTGATCACTGTGGGCCCAAAGACTTTGCTGAAAATGAAGTTACGATAGTTGTGCTTATTTCTGGATACTCTTTTTGGTTAAAAAACTATTGACTATTTTGGACAACTCCATCACATTCACCCCATTCATTGTTTTTTAACCAAAAGCGGACTTTGGGCACTCCGGCGGCAAAAGAAGACGACCACCTAAGTTTTTACAGTCTCTACTTGGCTGACCCTGCGGCCATTTTCGATGTTCTCGACTCCGTCGGGCTTTTTGCCATTTGACAAATGATTGG